TGTAAGATGTCGATTATCTTGTAGAATGTCAGAATCGTCAAGATGTGTCACTGGATAAATTTCAGATGCAAAGCAGTCGCATGATGGTCGAAAAATACAATAAGAAGCATTGCGAACGTGATATTAACACTCAAGTTGTAGCTTATGTGTTGTAAAAATGTCTCTAATCACTACACGATAGTCTATAGAGAAATCGTAACATGCGTGATGTATCCATTCATACAAGTGACTGTAGGTCATGGTACTTTGAGTTCCATTGATATTTCTGACACTTCTTCAACAATCCTAGCCTTAACCTTAACTGTAGACCCGAAGTCTTCGAACCCATAACCCTACCTACTAGTATAGATTTGCAGAAGAAGTATCTAGTGAATAAGTAGAATACTGTATCTACCCTCCCCAAGTTCAAAAATGCAGACATGATTTGATTTGGAATAACAGTTCATAGCATTCTCTGTATCTGGCCGGTTCTTGAAAGTCAACTTTCGGAAGGCCTTGACCTCAGCTATGAAACTTTAACTTCACCGATCTGTCTTCAGAATTGGAGTGGCAACTAGGTAGCCTTGCAGTCCTTAAGAGGACTAGATTTGATGAAAAAGAAGTTAGAGCGAATAATTAATGACGTATGATTTTGGAGTTAATTGCTATTTAAAGACTTTCTCACTTTTCGCACAGGCTTGTGATACTGTGTGACTTCGCTTACTCTTGGTCTGTGTCTGTTTTCGACATAGAACTTTGCACAAATGTGCGGAAGTTCAAGTCGCCACACTCCATGTAGCACACAAATTAACAGAAGAAAGTAGAAGAAATGCATAATAGAGACAGTAAACAGAGGTGTGAGGCGAAGAAATAGAAGTAACGAAGAACAATGTAGTTTCTTTGGAAATCATACGTCACAAGGAGTGGATGCGTCTATGCCATTGAGAACGACTTTGAGCCATATCACCAATTGTTTCCAACCATTGGTTTTTACCGTCCGAGGACCCCAACCGGGAAGTCTACACCTTCCTACGTGACAGGCTTAGACTAACTGTTGTAGATTTCATTGACTGAAGCTATGCTTTGCTTTGAGCGCCGCTAGCTCTTTTCCAGCCTGTCCCTATGTCAGCTAACATTGCCCGTCGAGGAAGGCGATGACTAGGCATACGTAACACTTGTCCTAACCATCTCAGTCGGTGCAATTTCACAGCCTCGTCCATTGATTTCCCCTCCTTACCTAGCACTCAACTGATGACTAACCTCAATATTGCTCACCTTGTTATACCACTTCACACACGAGATAGAACCCAGGCACCTATGATCAAGGACAGCTAGCCAGGCTTTTCATTTCCTCCACTCTCAATGGCCAGGTCTCACAGCCATAAAAGGGGATGGAGCGGACTGCTGAGAAGTACGCACGCCATTTGGTTGATAGCCAGCTGGACATCACGTCGACGCTAGAGACGGTGTAAGTGGGCATATGCGAAACGAGCCTTTTGTATCCGTGTTGAGATTTCGTCAGCGATCAACCCGCTGGCGTTGGCTGATGGTACTTCCTAAATAAGTGAAGCGGTCAACGTGCTCCACCAACCACTTCACTCCCTATTTCTAATCTAGGAGTCAGTGTGGTCCAGTCCTGTAACATCATCTTGCATTTGGCGGGAGCGAATCGCATGCCAAACATTCGTAGATTGCAGCTCAAGGTGTTCAGAAGACTCTGCACTTTGTCAGCGTCTTCGCCTAAAAGGACTATATCGTCTGCATAATCTAAGTCAACGAGATTATTCCCTGGTAGCAAGTCAATCCCTGAGTCGCTGAAGTCACTTAGGGTTAAGTCCATTAGTACATCTTTGATGAAATTGAATAGAAATGGGGATAATGGGCATCCCTGACGGACACTACTAGTCGTCACCGCTTCAGATGACAACTCGCCGTAAGCCCTCACCTGGCTGCTTGAGTTCGAGTAGAGTGCCTTAATCAGTGCAATGTATTTTCGGGCATTCCCTTTACGACCAAGCATCGCCAGAGAACTTCCCGATCGACAGAGTCGAATGCTGCCTTTAGGTCAAGAAATATAATGACTGTTGGACGCCGGTAGGAATTCCTGTTTTAGAATCTGTCGGAGGGTGAAGATATGATCAATACACCCTCTTACTGGTCTAAAGCCTGCCTGGTTCTCTCGTGTTTGTTCCTCTCGAACACCACTTAGTTTACGCATGATTATTGAGCCTAGGACTTTAGATACTATATTAGTCAAGCTAATCCCTCTGTGATTATCACAGGAAGACTTGTCTCCCTTCTTGCATGTGGGGATAATCAGTGACTTACACCAACCCGACGGGAGTTCTTCTGATTCCCAGACGCTGCCTAGTATCTCAGTTAATGCAGGCAGTAAACTGTCTCCACCGTACTTAAATACCTCTGGAGTCATTCCATCAGGTCCTGCTGCTTTGCGTTGTTTCAGATTAGTGACAGCTTTGGTAACCTCAGTTAGGGACGGAAGACCTGTGTCTATATCCCATTCAAGGTGTTGGATGTTGGGCAGGTTGAACGTGGCTGTAGGCCAATTAAACTGCTCCTCATAACGCTCTTTCCAGCGTTCCAGTCGTCTATCCTGGGAGGTAATTATGGTGCCATTTTTCTCAGAGATTGTTTCACTTATCAGTTGTCTTTTTCCCCCTGTTTCCATGATTAGTCTAGATAGTTGTCTGGTGTTACCAATCGCCGATACCTTTAACATCTTTTTCGCTTTTGTCACCCATCACTGTTCACGGTCGTTGCGAAGACTTCTTGTTAGTTTTCGTTTGAGTAGCTTTCGCTCCTCATCATAATCGGAGCTCGCCGGAATCAGTCTTCTTGCGTCAATAGGTTCGGATGAGGCGGTAGAGATCCAGTGGCTCTTACTAACTTTACGTTTCAGGTTGTTAACAGCTTTTACAACTGTGTCTACAACTAACTGCATGTTTTGCCCAGCTATCGTAGAAGGAGTTCTGCTGTCGAACCCAGACACACGTTTCGCCATTTCTTCTTTAAATAGGGACTCAGTGTCTCGATCTAGTTGGGGACGTAACTGTTTCGCTGCTGTAAATTTCTTGTCCATTTAGTCGTAAGCATAAACGTGCGCGTGGAATAGTGTGTAGCAAATTTTCACTGTACCAGAGATTAGCGAAATGCATTTATAATTGTAATAGCCTTTGTGATTTACCGCCTGCCTATATGATGCCATCCACCAGTCCTATTCTGGATAAAGTAGATGAAATGAAATTGCTTGTTATGTGCTTTCAATAAGTAGATATTTCAGGAAAAATGTTACTTAAAACAAGTCGCTCACTCAACCATATTTTTGTGACGATAGATTCTAGATAGTAAAAACTAAGTACTCATCAGACGTGAGAAACTCACCTTAGGCTACTTAAAGTTACGAATGAATACGTATTCAGGGAAATGAAATATGCCAGTTATCCACCACACAAAGCAAGCATATCTTGGGGGTCCACAACTTCCTGGTTTTCTTTCGATGTTATCAGGTGTGGCTGTCAAACACTGGTCATTTATGTTGTGTCTTCCTGCTTAAAAGTAATGCAGGGTTAAAAATTCTTCACGTGTACGGTATGGCAGTGTGCATCCGGTTACTCTTTTTTCTACGTCTTTTGTCTTCTTGACTGCATGTTTTTGAATACACTTTCTATGGTGCATTTTTAGTGCTGTTTGTGTACAATTTTTGTTTGATATAGTAACTTAGTACTAAATGAACATTAGCAACACTGCGCAAATAATACTGTCTATAAAGTCCATAACTTCAATTGGCGTTTTTTCCCAATTAGTTACACTCAGTTTCTGCTTTGCTTACGTAGTAACTTCATCATATAAAATAAGTGCTATGAAGACATTTGTTGCAGGACAGTTGGAACATTAATCATGAATGACCAAGTCGTTGTACTTTGCACAATGGCATTTCAGGCTGATTTCAAAAGTCGACAAATGACAGCATGGTTTGCTCTCTCCGTTGATAACCTCCTTTTGCACAGCTGTTTAGGCATTAAAAAATTTTCTATACACTTCTGTGACTTCAAATTTCTACTTGTGAATTGTCTAATCTGTCAACTGGTCATCTTATTTGAAAAAATGTTATATGCACATGCTCATACTAGAAAACTTTTCACAATGAACGAAAGCATCAGGACGCAGTTCGGGCATTGACACCAGCTATTGCACGAATCTCAGCCTTCTACTCTCTGAGCCCTTACTTTTAGTACGTAATGGTATAAAGACTTTCAAAACTAAGGAAAACAAGGAGTGGTTTCAGTTCAAAACCTGTTGATTTTTTAGGTTCAGCCAGTGAGCCATAATTTTAAGGAAACATCAGTCGGACTTGAGAAGAGCTAACATTGATATAAGAATATAACTTGTGCACTGTGGTAGAGTGTAATTCCATTATGGGTAAATTTTGTTTTGATAAAATCTCACAGTGTTATACAGTAATATTTACTGTTTACTGTAATGTTTACATTACCGTATAATGCTGTGAGACTTTATCAAAACAAAATTTACCCATAATGGAATTGAGAAGAGCTAGGCTTATTAAGGAGTTGTCCCGAAATTAGTCCTCACTGTTAAGAGTTAGTAGACCTAAATCCTGTTCTTTACATGATGTAGGGAACCAAGTATTATGTCCACCATTCGAAATTATGGATATTTTTTAATGCGTTACCTTCTGTAAGTTGTCACTTGATATTTAAATCCGTTAAATTAATTTTCAGGACAATTTTTTTCTTTTTTCTTTTCAAATACTTATTTTCTTAGTTGTGATGTTTTTCCATGGATGGTGAACCAACTGCTATTGCACGATACTGTGTCAGTAACCACTGTCATCATTTAATTGCTTTGTACATTTTATGATGGCAGCTACTAAGCCTGGAGAATGGGCCATGCAAGCCCTATTGCGCCAGCTAACGAGCTTGGCACGGTCAAAAATCGAAAAGGCTCTTGAAGATCAGCAAGAAACAAACCTTGTGAAAAGTATGAGATTAAATGAAGACCCAGCATATGAAAACCTGATTAGCGCATTCGGTGTTGCTGCTGAATTCGCTTTGCCATCGCTAGTATCAACATTATCATTGTGGTATAGATCTCAGCACTCTTCAGGGAAGTATTATCAACTACACCAACTTCACTGTTTTGCTTCACCCAACAAATTAAATGAAAACGATATTCCAGTGGCAACCCAACGTCCTTCTGAAGACAGTCATATTTTTGATGTTACACAGGCCACATCCGTTCCTCCTAACAAGTCTGTCAAATGCGCCTCAGAATCAGCTTCCTTGTCAAAATCGAATCATGTGTTTCCACCTGATGCCTCTGTTATTTTTGAACGACGTGACGTATGCTCATTTAGTTTTGTGAATCTAAATGTTTTATTTTCAGCTTGCAATCGATATTATATTTTGCCATGTTATACTTGCTGTTCTGAGACAGCTGCCGTTTCATCCGGGTCATAATGATGTTATTGAATTGATTTTAGAACAGTGCTTTAGAAGATTTAATTACAGAGAAGAGTAAGTAATTCGTATTCTTGAGGTATTATTTCAAAGTTGGACTGTGTCTATTTTGGAGTACTTGGTTATTTTTGTATGATAGTAGTGTAAAAAGAGAGAGACCAGCTTCTATAATTATGGTTGCGCTTCGTTACTGAACTTTACGTGAAAGTCCATTAGTCTAAGTTGTTACATTCTGAAAAACACTTCAAAGTTGGATAGCAAAGTAGTAATTATGTTACAATTGAAGAACATGATGTGATGGAGGGAAACAATTAGTTGAATATTAGCTGTGTTCACAGTTTAAAAGGTGATATAGAACCTGCCGATCTGTCTCATTGTAAAGGACCTCCACCTACTGATTCCTTCACTCTAATCTTACTGCAGCTAACATAGCTCCTTGAAGATGGCAGTAGCTTATCATGAGTAGCTCATATCGACGCAGGTCCACACAATTATCTGAACTCAAATAAAGTTCCTCAGTGAGTATGAAATTTTTCTTCGGCACACTGTTTAGAGTGGGAAATTATCTTCTGATGAAGAAATATAACTTGTTGGACTCCAGTAAGTATTCTAATTCCCACAGTGAAGATTTAATCAATGCACCCTGACTTGCGATTACAATCGACAGAGTGCGAAGTACATTGAGTTATTGATAGTAACATCCTTCAATGAATAATGATTGTACATAAGCAGTCATAAAGTTTATATGTTTTAGTGAATGTTGTGGTGAAAATATGTCCAAATTTATTGATGTATACCAAGCACTAAAGTGCAACGTGCTGTCTTTATTTTAAATGTCGGTGATGTTAATTTGATTTTAAGAGATAAGATGTACAGTACTCTGATTGGAAAATATCGCACTAAATTTATGAAATCTGCCATTCAAATTGATGTTTGATGACTATGTCTAATTAATAAGGTCTGTATGGAGTTATTTGGATGCTATGGCAGCATTAATTAAGAAAATCAGAAAAACGAAGGCAAAAATTTGTTATGATTTTTCATCTTCATGTTCAGTAGCCAGTTTCAAAGTAATTGCTTCCTATTTTAGATATTACATTTCAATCGTATTAGTTAACTGGGTTGATAGCCTTTTTATACTAGTACTTCTTTATTAATGTTGAAGCAATAATGAGTTTAATGAATCGTTTTCGTTTTTTTTAATATGCAGTTTGCAACCGAAAAATAGCGAAAACATAAATCTTGTCGCTGACCTTTATGCGGAAATTGTTGGGCTTTTATTCCAGTCAAGGTAATTTTTGTTGTTGTTAGTGTGGTTGGTATTTTATTGTGTATTACTAATACTACTACAAAACAGCTTCTCAGGGTATATATGGGTAGGTGTTTCTTGTCAGCTTAAAAACCTTTTTTGTATGCATCTGGACATTAGTAAAAGAATGTAAAGATTATACATTTAATGTAGTATTTAATGTGACTATTATTTCTAGGTCCGGTGCAGATATGCTGTGTTTTATGTGCGTTGTTTGCATTTTTGAATGTGTGGTACATTTCTTATTGATGCTATGCAAAACTGATTTAGCCAGACAAAAATATTTATCTTGCCTTTAGCTTAATCAAAGAAATCACTAGGAGTCTCGTGATGTAAACTTCACATTCACGGGCATTTTTTAATAAGATATATCCATACGTGCACTTATTGTTCAGTGGCTGTTACCTTTATAACACATCTACTCCTGACTGAATCGTATAGGTTCGTGAGGTGGATATATTTATAATAGGTTCGTTAGTATTGTGTTAGCATCAATTCATCGCGTTTTGACTTTTTTATTCCTTTCACTTTGCAATAAGAACCTGGGGCTTCAAGCTTGACTTTTGAAGTTTCAGTAGCAGTGGTGTTTCTTTTTACGGAGTGCGGTTGCTAGGGTCACTCCCAACCTTCCCTTTCTACCAATCTTACTGCTGACTATGCGGAGTTTAGGTGTGAGTCGGCCGGGGATGATCGAACTTCGGACTTGGTGAATGATGAGCGAGTGTTCTACCACTAAAATACTGACACGTTTTTGTATAAAATTTACATCTTAACACAAACTTCATCTATAGACTTTGTCACCATAAAGTATCGTCATTCCTTAGTTTGAGGTTTGTACTTTTCAGTCATTATCGTCTACGCAATGCCTAATATTTTAAAGCAATAAATTTGCAATCAATTCGAACTCCACTGTCATACTAACATGTATTTATAATCAGTACCATTCGAAGCTGGGGAAACTGTGCTAACTTGATGTGAATAACATTCGTTCACTTACCATTTTTAATTTTTATACTTGGTTTGTAGAAAGTTTTACTAGCCTTATTTTAGTTGGTCTAATGTAGTTCGTTGAAGACATTCATACCAATAAGTCACTACTAGGTAAATTGTGAGAGTGCTTGTTTTTTGAGATAATTACCAACATTTATCTTTCTTAGAGAGGTTTCTTTTTTCCTTTTTCTACATAATGTGATGAGGATTGGTCAAAGAGGTTTTAGATGATAACTAAATAGAAAGTCTAGAATTTAATGTTATCCTTAGAATTCAGAAGCAGTATACAATGTGACCTTCCGCAATTTTTTTCCACAAAATCGATTTACACCCAGTTTTTTTAAAAGATTTTTCGTTAAGTATAATGATGAAACACAAGAATTCATTCATAAGTTTAAATTCCAGTCTGTTGTAACGAGCAGCAGTTAAAATTCACTAATTCATTAGACTTTCTTTTCATATAGATTCGCTCTGGTCCGTCATAAATTTATGGGCTGTTTGAATGATCTCAGATCCAAAGAAAATAGTCCAAATAACAGAGCCAGTATTGTATCTCTCATAATGGGAATGAAATTTTTTCGAGTGAAAGTAAGTGCTTTTGTTCGAATTCGTCATCGTTTTCAGTGTCCTTTGCAAGTGACTACCGTTATGTGGATTTCTTCACAAAGTTGAAACTAATCGGATTCTCACTGACACAATCTAAATGACTATCGCCTTACGGAAGTAGCAGAATTATAAAAATGTGCTTTTGCAGAATGCAATAAATAAATAATAATATGTATGGAATATCAGTGTTTTGAAAAGAACCGATCATTTTGTATTAGGGGACAATTTCATTTGTTTTCTGTAAAAATACTTGATCCAATTATTGCTACAAGGCACAGTGTTTCTTTACTATTAGTATACTATTGCGAACTAGAAATTATTATTTTAAAAACAAACTGTTACCACTAATGAAGTTGTCGAATAATGTTAATCGACATGGCTAAGTTTGTACTTTGCGAGTATATAGCAGTAAAAAAATTAGTTTTCTTATAATAGGAGATTTTACCACTAGAAATATGCCGTTTTTGAATAAGATAGTGGTTTTGTAAGTCATAGATTCAGACATTTGACTGCCGACCAATGAGTTAAAAGTGAGAACTCACACCCAACCTAATATGCGTTGAGCGATCTGGTGATGTAAATCCGCCAGCATAAAGTATGGTTCGTTAAAAAAGCTGAATTTAGTGACTGGGTTTTACATTCAAATGTGGCTTTAATTTACATATCCTAACGTAAATTTTGTTTGTGCCAAAATTAGTGTTGACCTATGTTGTAGTATGCGAATACTATGATACTAAAAGCATCAGAAGTATGAGTCATATAGTGTGAACAAATTGTACTGGAAAAAGTCAGGATATACAAATATATATATATATATATGCCTATTAAACGTTAAGGTCATTAGTTTGGGTGCACATAATCGACCTATCGTTTCACTTAGCACTACTTATGTGATTCCGAATGTTGTAAGTATTTATTGACAACTTCAGCTTTTGTTGGCGAACTACATTTTTCATCACAATAGTAGTAATTCTCTACCTATATTCTTTTAGATGCATCCTATCGAAGATTTTGTGAATTGTTTCAATTTCCTGCAAGAATTAGGTCAATACTTTCTGGAAGTGAAGGAAATCGAAATTAAGCACGTTTTATCAGACTTATTTGTCGAGATCTTGCTGCCTGTGGCTGCTGTGGCTCGCCAAGAAGTCAATATCCCAGCTTTGAAGACATTTGTGGAGAATTTATATCCAACAAGTTTGGAATTGGCTAGCAAAAAGAAGCATGTTCCAGTGAGTCTCTTTCATGTGTTATTATTTATGAGGCTATGTGGAATATTAATAACTTCTTCGTACTAGTTCAGATAAAGTTCAAATAATTTTGAAGTAATTATTTGTGTTTGTCGAAGATCAAAAATGAACTATTTTGTCAATTTTATTCCATAAATACCTAATCAGAGCATCTTGCAGTTTCTTGTCCAGTACTTCAGTACCCTAATGTTAAGGATTATCACACTACTCTAGTGTACCTCATACTATTTCTAAAATAGAAGTAATCTAGAGAGTATTTTAATGGATATGCAAGGAACTTTGGACTTCTCGACTAAGGTATTCAAAGTACTTAGAATCAATAGGTAAGTACCTTCATTGAAATAACCTAAGATCAATTTCAGTCAGACAAATTTATTCACTTGCGGTATCTAAGTTCGTTACAGTCCCACTAACCTTTATTTAAATTTTCTCCCTCATGACTTTTGTATATTTTTTTGTAATATTTTATTTCTGAATGTTGATGGTACCATGAGGCGATGAACGTTTGCTGTTATGTACTCGTCGAGTAGTTAATAGTCCTGACGCAGAAAGAGGGAAATCAGAAGACCACCAGGTTTACGATGATACTTGTATTTTCCAGACAGGGAAAATAAATGTCACACTAGTGTGTGAGTGAATTGGTACAAGTGTACGAAATGTGTGTGAACCAGAATATATAAAAGTGTACAATGCAAAGTATATATGAAAATGGCTAATACACATGAATCAATGAGATAACATCTTACCATGATTGGTTGTAATGTCATGTGATAACAAGGTCATGCATGTTTATTTAGTTAGTGGACAGACAAAAGCATATTGTCAGTTATAATGGAATATCGATCCATATACACATAGCAAAATATAATAGACTGTCAAAACAAAACACACGTCATGTAGATACATATCATTTGCCTACATTATTTCACTTACAGTTTGAACGTTCTTTATTTAACCACTCCATTTTCGGTACCTATTGTACTCTATTGCTCTCCATTAATCTTTCCTGGGCTTCTCAAGAAAGATTATATCATATTATGAAGAGTATTAAATGCTGTGAGTAGAGCTTGTGGTCTGCCACTGCATGAGCTCGCTAATACTATAGTCGAGAGGCATATAAATTCCTGTACGAAATGGGCAAAGGCTGTACTGTCAGACCCTCTGCACCCCCTTTATTCACACCTGTCCCCTTGTATCATCAGGTAGGACGAGAAGTCAATATAAAAAGATATATGCTCGTACTACTAAGTATAGAAATTCTACAATACCCTATTTAGCGCGTACTTTATGTGACGAAGACTCTGTTAGACGTGAAACTTACAAGTTACTATGTAATTAGCACAGTAAATCGACCCTTTTATCGCTCATCTTTCTGTATTTTATGGTGTCACACTTTCTATCGTTTAAATCGTTACTCTGCTGTTTTATTTTTAGTTGGTATTACTATTATTACTACAAATTTGTACTTTATACATATTTTTCTCCGTATGGCACACAGTATTTTGCTACGTAGCTGCTATAACAATCGTTTTATTACTATTATGCAATGTGTATTTTTAATTTTTTTTTGTCGTTTTTGAGTAAATTAGATGCAATATTGTACTGAAATGCTGAAAATTCCTTGCTGTATCATGAGTACTGTTTTTGGAATAAAGCTATTATTATTAAGCGCATATTATATGCGTAAGATTTGCTACTTGGCGGCTCATAAATCTGTCTGTCTGTCTGTCTGTTTTCGACATAGAACTTTGCATAAATGTGCGGAAGTTCAAGTCGCCACATTCCGTGTAGCACGCGAAGCACGAGAAGAAAGTACAAGAAAAGCATAATAGAAACAGTGAGCAGAGGTGTGAGACAAAGGAGTAATAAAGAAATACAAAACAGTTTCATTGAGATCATAAGTCACAGGGAGTGGATGCATCTGCGCCACTGAGAACGATTTTGAGCCATGTCACCAATTGTTTCCAACCATAGATTTTTACCGTCCCGAGGACCCCAGCCTGGAAGTCTACACCTTCCTACGTGACAGGCTTAGACCAACTGTTGTGGATTTCATTGACTGATGCCAAGATTTTGTTTGACCGCCGCTAGCTTTTTTCCAGCCTGACCCTATATCCGCTAACATTGCTCGTCGAGGGAGGCGATGGCTTGGCATACGTAACACATGTCCTAACCATCTCAGTCTTTGTAGCTTCACGACTTCGTTGATTGATTTCCCCTTTTTACCTAGAACTCTACGCCTAACCTCCATGTTGCTCACCTTATTATGCCACTTTACACGGGAAATAGAACGCAGGCACCTATGATCAAAGACAGCTAGTCTTTTCATGTCTTCCACTCTCAGTGACCAGGTCTCACAACCATAAAGGAGGACGGAGCGGACTGATGAGCAGTACACCCGCCCTTTGGTCATAAATCTATGGGCTTAGTACTACCATCGCAGCAACTATGCAGTGAAGTTGACATTGTTCTTTAGCCTTGAGAACGCTACACGTAAGGGGGATGAGAATTAGTGAGAAGATAACACTATTTATTGTCTGATGGATTATTTTATTTGCTTCGTTTTTCCATATGTGTAAGAAGTGTACATCACTCCTTCACTAGCCGTTATGAAATAAGTTTTTTAGTTAGTGTGTGATAAGTGTGAAGGGAAAAATAATAAAATCCCACCTGATAAATGTTTGTTTTCTGTACATGGAAGTTATTGTATGTGCGATTTCTGTATAGTATAGTTTTAGGATCTTAAAAAGGATTTACCACCACTTTGGTCTTAGACTAATTAATAAGGGTAACTTGCTTCGTGTGTTTAACTGAATTAGCAGGTGAGTATTTTCAAACACTAATTGTGTATAGCAGAATTAAAGTTTTATGCAAAAACGTTAATACTAACCGTGCATGGAGGATACATTTAATTATAAAATGAATTTTCTTGTGCATCATCTGACAAAAGTACATTGTGTATCGCCCTAACAAATTACGTGATAGTGATGTTGAAACTCTCCTGCTCATATTTTCATAAAATAAACAGCTCATTCTTGTGCTGAGTCAATGTTTGAGTACCCTGTTGAGTTTATTGTTTCATTTCCTATATTGTCACACTGTACAGTGATTTTTCTAGTGATTTACTTCGTCAACAGATGATGTTTTGATTATTTGATTATGTGGTTGGATAGTGTATGTTGACGAAATGCTATGAATAAGATTTGCTTCCTACTGGAAGCTTCTTAGACATGGTCCAGTTTATTGCATGATCAGCAGTTTGTCTTCATTGATGGTTTTTCACCACCTTCAAGTGTTACTGCCCTTCGATTAGTGTTTTTTTTTATTATACCGGGCTCGCGTTTGAGAGTTGCTTATAGAAATAATAGATGATTGTATTATTGAACAACCAGTCGCATTTACATGCAGCTGGCGATAAACCATACTGTGTGAAGTTTGACGCTTTAACCGGTTGCCCAAAGCTAAGTTGGCAAAGCAGGATTCTAACCCATGACCTAGTTGTTAGAAAACAATTAAATAAACCAATAAGCCGTAGTTCAATCGGAAGAAAAGGTGGTGAATAGTACTGTTCATCGATTGATCAACAAACTAAAGCCTTTATAAATTAATAGGTGTGAATGAAGTATGTAGACTGTTAAGAACTCTCGAGATAATTGTTTAGTTTTTAATAGTAGGGTAACATATTAACATCTGCATTCTAAATGATATAACCCTTTTTCCATTGTTCAAAGGCTCTATTCCCCTTGGTTACATGTTTGCTTTGCGTTGGTACGAAACCATTTTTTCTGAATAACTGGACCAATTTCTTGTCTATTTGCTTGAGTCATCTTAAAAACCGGACTTCTAAAGTTGCTTTGGTCAGCCTACAATCATTATCATGCATACTATGGTGAGTAAATGGTTTTTTTGTCGCATAATTTCCCCATGCAAATTTTCTATCCCAGTCACATTAAGACGTCGGGTTTCTATCTTAAGTGACGACGTGATGAACTAGGAATGTTGAGAAGAATCCTCGAAATAATAAAAGATGAGCTCATATTATCCTGGTACAATTGTTGTTCTTGCTTTGTTCATATTTATTAATTATTATTAAACATCAATGAGAGATCAAAATGAAAACGCTTTGGCGGAGTGATGTCATGATGTGATCGCTCGACCTGTGAAATTTAATTTTACTTTTCCATTTTCATTTTATCCTGGGATTACAGTGCTTAGTTTTAAGTGACACATTTCCTTACTATCCAGATGTTGTAATATTGAGTCTATTTTTCTAAGAATTCACCTGTAACATTTAACGCGTATTAGATGTTGTCAATACAAGATAAAGTGTCGTCAAGTTATAGGTTTAATTTTTACTCTGATCACCGATGTATGCCTGCTTAATAATGCTGAAATAATTGAATCAAAAACTAATATTGCTCGAAAAACTACTTCTATAATTTGTGATTGCCTAATTTTATTTTTGAGGCTTGTGGGTTGAAGCTGAAATGTAGTGATACTTGCTTTGAATTGTACACTTGTTAACTGAACCACTTTTTATTTTATCACTATAATTTATTTATTTATTCATTTACCTACTTGTTATAAGGGTTTATATTGTGCGTATCAAAGGAGAGAAACACACAGAAACGCAAAATAAATTGCATACAATCATTAACAGTTTATTTCCAAAAAATCAGAAAATCATCCTACCCAAAGATGCGCCAATTAATATATTTGTTCGAATAATTCAATTCATAGCTCATGTAAGTTAATCTCTAGTGGCCTATAACCGGTTGTTTTCTTTCTCTTATAACACTTGTCAAGGGATTCATTTTAGTCTGATAATTAAGACAGGAGTTTTGGGGAGACATTTCAAATAGTTGAATATATATATGCATTCTGGATCGAGTTAGCAGTACAAGCGTTCACTCGTCTGAAATCACTGTGGAGATCCACAACTGTTAGCATACGGAACAAAATCTTAATCTTTAATACCAACCAAAAGCTGACTATTTAACAAATAGGGAGAAGGAAATAGGGATAGATCGGATGTACGCTGAATAGTCTGTTTGACATCACATGCTAGCCAGTTGAATGGAACCCAAATGGGGCGCGATGAGGTGGGAGTCCGAGTGTGACATGGAGAAGATTCTGTGAAGAGGAAGCAAAAGCTTGTGGGCAGTTGTAGAGCCATCTGAAAGCGATGACAATTAACAGGATGCAGTGAAAATATATGCCTGAAGTCCTGTTACATGAGCAACACAGGAAATGAATTTATATATATATTATATATTATATATATATATATATATATATATATAATTGTCAATATGATCAAATTATGTAGATCTTTGGGCACTAATAACTCTGAAAGCACTTTATTGATTTCTTCAGTGAACAGTCCAAGTAAAATCACTTCTGCCTCAAATTTATATTATTAATAAATATCAATTTTTCTGGAGTGACATAAAAAGCAAACAGGTAAAATAAGTTACTGTATTATTCCTTGAAATTTATTTATGTGTCCTAAGCTATCCGATCTCTTCACTATTAATTAGGAGAAACTTGACTTTGCGATGAAAGAAGTCATCATTGATCGTTTGGGGGTCAATGGGTCACAGAAAACCTTAGTTATGCCAGAGGTAATTTTATTATTTCAAAATTTATTTTATTATTATTAGATTGCAATGAAATATGTTAAATTGACTAGCTGTAAAACTTGGTAATGTTTGTGTATTCATTTCGTTTTGTTGTATAAACTCTATAGCATTATGTTCTGTTTACTAGAAGATTCTTTTCAGCATACCTTTTAAACGTAAGATAACTCCACAGAATTGGACTACATCGACTCCTAGCTGAGTCAAGGGAGTCAAGTAGTAGGGTGTGTTGACCACTTCACTTATCTGGGAAGTTGCATCAACCCCAATGCCTGATGGCCGACGAAGTCTCAGTACGGATGCAGTAGACTCGCGTAACATTTTCCAACTTACGTCATCTCTTTAGTCGATGGGATATCCGGCTGTCGACTAAGGGACGCGTGTAGTGTGCAGCAATTCGCTCCGTACTCCTTCATGGCTGTGAGACATGGCCATTGAAAGTGGAAGATACAAAAAGACTAGCTGTCTTTGATCATAGGTGTCTGCGTTCTATTCCCCGTGTTAAGTGATATAATAAGATGAGCAATATTGAGGTTAGGCGTCAGGTGCTAGATAAGGAGGGGGAAATCAATCGATGATGTTGTGAAGCTACATCGATTATTGAGATGGTTGAGACATGTAACATATGTTAGAAGTGGTCAAACCGAAACCTGTCGTCAGTCCATGAAGTCTTTGACGGCTGATTTGAAGTGTAGACTGCTTATTAGGGGAATTGGGATGCTCAGAACCAGTGGCTGTAGATAATTCGTGATATGGCTCAGGATCGTTGTCAGTGGTGCAGACTCATTCACTCTCTGTGATCTCTCCACTAAGCTGTTAAGTTTTTCCATCTTACTATACCTTCTCCCTCACATTTCTGCTTATTATGGTTTTTTTGAATCTCTTTCTTCCTCACTTTTGTGTGGTATGTGGAGTGTGACAACTTGAACTGCTGCACTTCAGTGCTAAGTTCTGTGTTCAAAACCCAGTCAGTCAGCTCGTTCAATTTGCTTTGTGTTAATCCTCATTGATTGACTTCATAAGTCGTGACCTATTTTGGTTTCTTTTAAGGTTATTATTCCGAAATAGGTTATACGGTTAGTCCTCGCGTTACTTCCGTCGGAAATGTTTGACAACAGGTGTTTTCAGATGTTGGGTTTGTGAAGATTTCGTTGATTTCAGGGTGGATTTTGTTATAAACCGGTATCATTTAGAGAATCATTGAAAGCAGAGAATACTAGACATCTGTTTTGTGATAATTGTTGTCTAAACAAGAGTTTATCCTTTGCATTTATTTCTTATCTGTTCATGTGTCTCGACTGTATCTCATTATCTGTTTAATGTTTTTTGCTATACTCTGTAGAGAATAAACGTAGGATTGTGTGCTTTCTTACTAATAGCACATGGTCTTCAACAGAAAGACGGTGAACCTCCCATGCCTCAACAGTGTATTGGTGCTGGGGGCGTCGGCGGTGGGTTTAGACAGGCTGTCATTAAGCGATCTTTTCACGGAACCAATTTGAATGAAGCTTTAGGTTCCCTACTAGGAATACAAAGCTATTTAGTACCGGTTCGTAGAGCTTTTGAGCTCATTTTGCGTCAATTGGATACACAAGTCTGTCGTACAATGATGTTACCGAAGCAAGAAGTAACTCAAAAGGAATTCGATGAGTTAATGACGTAAGCATTAGTTAATTTTTATGATATCCCTACTGCGTTAGTAAGCATTTTGACTGGAATATGTTTGTGATTGTATTTTATTTACTGCTTTGTATCCTTTTTATTGTCTATTGTTGATGTTGGAATATGCGGTAATGTTGGATGCCATATTGTTGTTGCTTATATGTTTGGGATAGTTGGATAGAGGTGTAATTTTTAAAATGAACAAGGGGTTTAGAAATTACTCATTCCTCCACCCTCTTAGGTGTGACATTTGCATCACATAATTTTTTTTATTCAGGTAATAACATTCTTCCGGAATATTGCAGCAATATCACATATTCTTTCATGTATGGCTCATGAAATGCTGTTTTATCATATGGGTCTTATAATTTCCTCCACATCTGATTGGTTTTCTGATAACAGAATTCAAGTGCTTTAATCGTACATTGCCTTATCTATAGTTCCCGTGATACCTCTGCTAACTCTTCTGATATCGAATGTGAATGTAAATTATATTCCTAAGAATATGCAAAATGTCGTAGGTTTATAAGCTCTTAACAAACAGCACTTCGAAACAAATATTCACTGATCCGAATAGGTTTCATTTAAACAATGTGATTTACAGGTTGTTGTATAGTGTTCTTATATTCTTAGTAAATAAAATAAACAATTTTTTTAAAATATGGCGTCGTTTAAGTTAAACTTGTTAGGTGAAACTTATTTTTATCTTAAGGTAATGTGTATAAAATATTCTGTTTCTTTGCATCTGTATCCATGCACTTTCTGTTTTGTGTTTTTGTTTTAATAGGGCAGATCGTAAACCAAAATTAGATTTGCTAAAAACTTGTGTTGCATGTATTCCACGCCTGTTACCTATCGATATGACTAAGCAAGAGATTTTAGAAATACTGGCTAAAGTTTGCTTACATGTTGACGAAGATGTCCGAAAAATGGCTCAGCAGGCGATGGCAAATTTAATAGTGGAGTTACCAGCTTATAGAGTTAAGACGATACAAGGTTGGTAAGGAGTTTTTATTCGATTGTTAAGCTTTGCATTCTCTTATTCTTATCGATGAATTAACCCCGACTACGGCTAGTGTATGCCTTGGTGGTTCAGCGGTAGAATGCACACCAACCACGCATATAGTCTGGAATTTGGTCCTCGGCCGATGCACTCCTAAACCTCGCTAAGCCGGTAGAGTAAGGCTGACAAAGAAGGTAGATTGGGCCTGAGGCTAACAACCCCACCCCGTAAAAATAAACACCACTGCTACTGAAACTACTTCAAGGTTTTAGCCTAAAGCGCGAAGTTCCATTTAGAACGTAAAGGAATGAAATAGTAAAATAATAAACAGTTTGTGTGTGTGTATGTGCACGAATATCTTAGTCTTTTCCACAGTTATTATAAGAAAGTAACATTTTCTCTTAAATACATATATTGTTCAAGTACTCTATTGTAATAACGGGAGAACATTCATTCACTGGTGGTGGTCAATAGTGCTTTTTCAACACAAATCAATGTTATGCCTTGTTACGTAGTATTGATCACTTTTACCAAGTTGCAAGATATAACTAGCAGCTAATTCAAATCACTAGTTATTATTATTTTTTTCTGTACTTATGCATAATGGAAGAAAATTTGTCTGTTAATTAGCAAGGATATTTCATGTTGTAGTTTCGGTCGATAGTGAGCTTTTTTCTGGATAAAAAAGCCAAACTCAGGAATTTCATAGTGGTTGTTGTCGTCTGAGTGATTTCGGTCATGGTTATGCCTTCTTATCTGTCAACAGATTGTTTGAATGAATAGTCGCAGTTGATGTTGTAGATTATATAAGGTTCATATGTTTTATAAGCTGTGATTAACAGTTAATTTGATAAGAAAATGATTCTGTTGAAAAGTTCACGGGCTAGTACGGTTATTCATGATTAGAAAAAAAAATATTGTTTTAGAACATCAGTAATAAGGTGAAATAAGCCGCACAAGGTATATCGTGCTCAGTTTCTGTGTGTTTTTGATGTACTCACGTTAGACACTATTATTAATATTACTATTACTATTATTATTACTTACTAATATTACTGGTGTTATTGTTGTTAATTTTTTAATTTATTTTATGTTAGTAATCCACGCATATACTTCTTTTCTTTTTTATTCTAAAGTTTTTATACATTTCATTCAAAAAATGTGACTGATACTTCACCCCATCAACTGGATAGCTGTTTGAAAACTTTATTTCACTTATTAAATAACTGGAAGTTAGCCTTGCAGAAGGTAGGTTATATCTTGCCTATGTAGTCAGTGTCATGATGATTGGGGTGGACTGCGTTTTCGAAAGTTATTTGTGTACTTGATCATTAAATTAATTGAATATTTTACATTTGGTGAGCGGTGACTAACAGTGGAATCCAGGATGCACATTTCTTCCTATTTGGAACTAGCCATCTAAATGCACCTACAATCTTCAGTGAGTGGCTGTGTTCCCTCTAAGACGCAAACCTAACACCTATCATTTCAAAAGCTAATGGGAACACCATCGCTTACTGGAGATTGCACGTACATTCATCTGGCTAGTCCCAGCTAGAAGGAAATGCGCATCCTGGATTCCACTGTTAGTCATCATTCACCAAGTAACATCATGTTAATCGATTGTTTGTTTGTTTTTGAATTGATTTAACGATAGTTTTTAACTAAACAAGGACGCAATGTTAGTGTGTATCATTGGTTTTCGCTCTCCTTATATGTTTAATTTCAGAAGTACTATTGTTAACAATTGTTGTCAATTTATAGTTTATACTAGAACTTTTTTTAATAACTTCACCTCATAGATAGTAGTCTGTTATTTCATAATCTACTTTGCCTAACTTTGTATATAGCTGTACACTGTGTAATATGAATTATTATTGATATTCAAGTATTGGTTTGTATTGGTTTATTGAAATATGTTCTACAGTATTTAAGATTTTCTCTTCGTTTTATTCTCACATTCTACGTGTTTGCATTCTAAGGATGGAGCTGTCACACCCAATATGGCTGAAAAATCAGCATTGTATGAAGCTGAAGGATTTGCTTTAGTTATGTTATGCAGCTGTCGGTCGATAACTCGGCGTTTGGCTGTGTACATTCTTAGAAAATGTCGAGCTTTATTAAACCTAATCCAATCAGCAACTTATGATCCAACTTTAAAACAGTCAAACGATGTACGGGAAATGTGTTGTATAGATGTTCTGGATCGTTCAGTACCTATGGTATTGAAACGTCTTTTACCCATCCTACCACTCAGTGAAAGAGTAAGCCATAATCTTTTGAAATACATGTAAACAAACTTTTGTAATTGTATTAGGGAGCTTCTCCATGCGTACATTTTCAGTCGTCGTTCAATAGTCATTATTTGTTATTTTTCGATCTGTCATATTTACATGCATCTGATTTTAGTGATAACTTCATAACTCATCATAACATGCAGCTGATTTTGATAAATGTTATACTCGAGGTGCTAAAACTCACCTATACACATTATCCTATGCTTCGTTTCGACTACCGTATATTTCTGAGTTTTTGTCTGGCATAAAATCAATCGGCAACAGATTCCCCTTTGGAAATCAGTTATTATATTTAACTGTTGGATTATTATTTTGATAAAATCACACATTGTTATAAAGAAATATATTTACTGATGACGTTTCGAGCACAAATTATTGCGCATAACCATATCAAGGTTAGATTATAATATCCTCTATCTGACAGTTGCAGTGGAAAGTTAGTTTTTCTAGGTTACTAGAAGGTATAAAACCAGGGCAAAAGATCATGGAGAAATAATGACCTGATGACTAGTAAAACAGTTGAAAAGTGCATTCACCAATTTAACTGTAACAGTACAGATCGCTTGGGTGATCATATAGGTCATACTAGAAATTAAAAGAAATGAAAAAAGTGGATGAATTTTATCAAAATGTATGTAATGAATGTTGCATTACAGTTAACACACAGTTTGTTTCAAATAAAGTAAATAAGTAGGTTTTCCTCCGACGGTGGTTAGGTGTACTAAAGAAGACCACATACAATTTATTTTTATGCACTGCGCAAACAAAGAAACAGTAGCTTGAAAATGACCTACACTACATTAACGTTTACTGCTAATTCTCAAGAAACGGAATGTATTTTGTTTCGTTACCTGTCTAACAGATTCTTAGGTCTGCATTAACCATTGTGCCTTCGTGACCTGTCCGAAACAACACCCACTAGGAATCATTTTGGATGATTGTTGGGAGAAGTTCTGGTGCCTGTTAGAAAGATGTTGGAGAGGCATTCCTTGTTTTCCCACGATATTCTTGATCATACGAAAGTGTTGTGTGCTGTACTTACTCCCATCCTTTCCATCGCATAATACGTCTTTATATTACTGGTTATTCATCTTTTTGTATTATTTTGATTTTACAGTCTGCTTTGTCGTCAGTATCCACTTTGGATTTTTCAGTCTTCACAGAGCGGTCACATCCTGTATGGTTTAGTGGTAGTACTGCTCCCACTTACTCACCAATAGTTCTCCCTGCAAACTGTTTAAATAATAACCAGTATTCTGGTTTAATGTCTGGAAACGATGTGCAACATAATGAAACTAGATTTGGTAACTTATCAAGTCGTCATGATCTGAATAGGCCAAATTATCATAATAACAATAGTCCATGTGGAGGGGATTCAGTGACTGCTAATATCAGTGAAAAATCTAAACTCGACGAGACATCTGTACAGGAAACATTTACAAAAATCGGTAAGCACGGTTCTAGTTTCGATTTGAATGATTTTTGCACCCTGACACATTCTAGTGACTTAAATCGATTTAGATTTGTGCAAGAGTCTATTGTGTAATGTCTATCTGTTGTATTGCATTATAATCCTCATGGACTAATTTATTTAGTCCAATTTCTTTTCAACTTCATGTGTCAGTAGTAGTGTACTGTGTAACAGGATTAACTGAGCACTGCAAATTCATTTAAAACCTACAGGTTTTACGTTCGGTCTAGATTTGCTGGCGTTAATTTCTTCCTAAGTTGATTGATGGACGACTTTTTTGGCACTAGTGATAATTTTCAGTTACCATACACACACATTGTGAATTATTAATGTTAGGCGTCACAGTACTGTCAACATAAATCTTAGTGTGTTTCCCAATAAGGTCATTTTCGTTACCTACCCGCACATTTTTATTTCGTAAATTTTTATTTTATTGTAGTATCACTAGGTTGGTTGAAATATGATCTAGCATTTTATCAAATGTATTCAACTTGCTATAAAACTGAGGTATGTGTCGAATTGGATTCCTATCACAAGGCTATTCCAAATGGCCTAGTATTTAGAATTAAGTAGTTTTGATGTATGTCGATTTGTGAGATGAGCTATTTTCAACCTTATGTGTAAGCCTTAAACTAGTTGTTTGCAAATATTTGTTTTTGTTCATCTGCTCAATAGCCATGCCAAAACAGTTAGTAATGTCTCAAAGTAACCATAGACACTTGGTTTCATTGTCGGTTATTTTGAATCTAGGTTTCCTAGAAAAATCAATTGTGAACAGGAAATTTCGATTAGTGTGTTACGTGATTTTTTACTGGTCTTTGTGATGGTCATCATCAGCACTCATCTCTAATAAATATTTCACTCTTGCAACAATTTTGTTGCCTCAGGATGTCGGATGTGTCCCAGTCTTCATCTACCCCATTTGTTTAATGGATTTACTGGAGGTTAGTAATTTATTCAGAGGTTAATTCTGGTTTGATACTGTTTAGTCTAACCGTGAAATCCACACTAGTAAGAAAGTGAATGTGATGCTGATAGTGTTCCGTTTAATTCTTGCAAATCTAAATTTACTTCTGAATAACAGCTAACCTAGAGCAAACTAACTATTTAATAATTGAATGCCTTCCAGGCATTAAAATTCTACACTTGTTTTCGAAAAGAAAAATTTCTATCTCCTCTGAATCACCACTTTTTGTTTGTTTCCGGTGTGAATTAACGCTAAAACGGAAAAAAAGGTGGAATAAATGACTGATTATATCAAAAATGTAATCATTCTGTCTCCATAAAATTATGGAAATTATATATGTTTGACGCAAGTCATTTTACTATCTTTTTGTCTTACTTTTTATTTTTACTACTGTGTGATTATTTGTCATTGAAGCTGTCATACAAACAATATTATACTTAATTAAAATACAGGTGTAACAGCATAATAATTTGAGATATTGTATACTTCTTAACGATGCTGAGAAGATGTAGCAGTTCAAAAGCCGAAGTCATTTAGTTAAGTATTTCATATTAAGCTGAAGAGTAACTCCTTTCTTACCAGACGGTTGGTTTATATCATCTGAGATCGTCAACTGCGTGTTTGTGCTTCGGTGTACTCTAACTCAGGGTACCAGTACGACTCAACATTGGTGAATAAATACATGGGTGTTATTCTCTTATTTCACTTTGGTCAGACAAACTGTTTTCACAGTTTACCCATTGCCAGCAGCTGTCCTCGTACACAGGGGTTGGATGATTACTGTCGACCCAGCTAAAGAAGAGAGGTAAACATAACCAGTAACCTTTTTTATCTTGGAAAATAGCAGTGACTTTTTGGCTATGCATATGATTGACTAATCTAGAAAGTGGATGAGAGAAGCTAATACAGCTATTTTTAAATACCTATACTTAACGAAGTATGATAAGTGGAGACTTTAGGTTTTCTGTAGCTGAAGCTGTGGGATTGTCTTTTTCTGGATTAGCAGTGTTTGCTTAACATCGCCGTTCAGCTGTTTCCATTCATTTTTGCTTTATGATTGGTATTCTGAAAATGTATTTTCAGTGCTCTACCCGTTGATAGTGCTATTGTATCACCCCAAAGAGGGATGTTTCCTGCATTGATTATGCAATCAACATGTCACTATACACGCCACCTCAACCTCACTTGATAGTTTGGTAATGTGTATTGCGTGTGGTTGGTTGAACCATATAAACTTATATTATGGGTTAATTCTTTTTGAATTACCCGGTAAAGATTGTGAACGAATCAGTCTTAGAATGTCTCCGCCAACAGATTCTACCAACCAATGTCAAATATAAACCACCAATTAACTGTCCTCTGGGGTGAAAATTAGCCAAACAACATGAAAAAAAAATGGTGAAGCTAGTGATCACTAATGCTCACAATCGAATTAAAAAAATACCAGCATATGGTTAAATTTCAAAAGGAAATGGTTGAATGGACTCTCAGTTCAGAACATCTGTCAACATTGACACTACCATTAAAGTATTGAGCGAACGACACAAAAAACGAAGGTGAATTGTTCTCAAACAAAAATTGGCTAAGATTTGTAAACAACCATCTGAAGAAACGCTGAATGATTGTGTCGTAAATTTATGGAAACAATCATTATAAAAGATAGAGGAACAACTTCTTCAGAAAGGATTAAACTACAATACTACTGACGCGTCAGAAACAGATTTCTGCGCTTCCTTAGAATCAATACTTTAACCATCAGTATAAAACGAGGAATTACAACGAAAAATACGCCAGTGTGTCATTTCCATAATCAAAAACGCTTAAGAGCAAAAAGCATTGAAGCAATTAAAGAATAGAAAAACATAGTTATAGTACCAGCTGACATAGGAAGAACAACAATAATCCTGGACACAGAAGATTACATAAAGAAAGCAGATGATTTACTCAAAGATAGTAATGTATATTAACAGTTAACGAAAAGAAGCTATACAAACATTAGATAACAAAAGCAAAATAACACTAAATAAACTAACGAAATCAGGACAAATTACAAAACAAGATCAATGACTAATGAAATATAACGGACCTGTTTACCTCGATTTTACGGTAGATCGGAACTACACAAACTGAACATTTCTTTACTTTCAATCGTTTCGCTGCCAGGATCACCAACATATAATCTATCATAAGAACTTTTCAGAAAATTAAAATACCTAACAGAACTATGCGACCAATCTATCAATTCGCCAATCCAATTTTTAGAGTAAATCGAAAACATCTAAGTAAACGACAATGAAATAATGGTGTCCTTTGATGTCACAGCGTTATATACTTCTATTGGTCCAAAACTAGCAAAAGAAACTATGCAGCAACTACTTTGTGGCTATGGGAACACAAAAAAACAGTGTTCAACTTGCATGGAACTCATAGAATTATGTCCTACAACATACTTCCAATTCAATAACCAAATATACGAACAAATAAAGGGAACACCAATGGGATCGTCCATATCAGGATTAATAGCTGAAGCCGTTATGCGAAGATTAGAATTAAGAGCCCTACCTATAATTTAATCAAAAATCTGCATACACTAGATTAATGATATATTTGTATTAATTATAAGAAATGATTTGGAATATACCCAAAATTAATAACACATTTGAAGACATCAAATCCACAAGAGAAGGAAAATTAGACATCAAAATCTCAGTTTTAGATGTCTTAATCAAGAGAACTAACACAAGAAACTTAGAAATTTAGAAGAATGGATATCCTCGAAATTTCATCAAAAAGTGTTTAAACTCGAGTCATAACACCAACAACAAGCCAAGATCAGGGACCCCAAGAAAATTCATCCGACCATTATAAATATCTCTATGAAATAACAGCTAGAATATTAAAACCATTTAAGTAGATATAGCACACAAGTCAGCACATTCACTTCGTTCGATACTGTGCAAACCAAAATATTCGACAAAAAAAAGACAAAATTAATACCATTTACAAAATAAACTGTATAAAGCGCAACAAGCATTACATATGTCAAAGTGGGCGTCTCCTTGGTACCCGAATCCAAGAACACAAATTGGATGTATAAAAGACATGATGTATATTCTTCTGTAGCAATGCATGTGGACACCAATTTGATTGGGATAATACAGAAATTTTGTGCAGAGTGAACACCAAAAAATGCGGTCAGGGGATTTCTAGGAAGTCTGGTACTCAAGTGAATTAGTGATTCACAATCACATTATTACTGACCAAATTTATCACCTAATAAAAATAAACCACATGACTAGAAAGTTCGAATTACAAATCAATAAAAATGTTGAATAGGGATGTAAATTAACAATTAGTCACGGCAGTGGTTGCCAGGAGATACAATTACATCAATAATGGAGAATTTAAAGTCCATTTAATACTAAAACTTGCGCTGAAGACGTTTCTAGAAGGTCGACGAAAGCTACGCAACTAAATCAACCAGCTCACAGAACACAACTAACTCAATATCATCCACGTGAGCTACAGATCTTCTCCATTGTTTTGGGCTTAGATCAGTTGCGTATATCTTTGTGGACATCTACTTTAAATACTCATCTTTCTAAAAGAAAACGTCAGCATACGTTCATTCCCCTGACAAGTCAATAATAGAATTTTGTTACACAGCTTGGTGTTGGTTTGTTTTATTATGTTTTCTTTTGCCACTGTAACATTTCTACAAACCGCTAATTTATCAGAATAGTTTTGTTTTACTTGTCAAAGCTGTGGTTGCCACCTTTTGTTGTTTTAGTATTATTGATAACACGATAGCGAAAGTCAGGGTAGTGTTTTTTATTTGAGAAACTTCTTTCCATTGTCACCTTGGTCTTCACTTCTTCACGTATGTTTCATACAAATAGACTGGTCTTCTCAAGTTGAAAACTTTCAATGATTTTCCTTGATTGTTTACAACTGTATCTCAGACTCCTTTTATTCACTGTTAATAATTTTGTGTTTACATATTTTAAAACTTTGGTCTTGCTTTTGAGAGAAGTAAAGCGATTCACATTTGTGCTAGTTTACACTGTCAGTCAGTGAAGAGAATCAATAGAGTTTGACAAGCATAAGAGTGAAACAGAATGGGTAATGGTAGAAAGGAATATGAAAGATTACAGAGACTGAATACATCTATGCCATTCAGTCTCTGTAATCTTTCATATTCCTTTCTACCATTACCCATTCTGTTTCACTCTTATGCTTGTCAAACTCTATTGATTCTCTTCACTCATCTTCTTGTCTAACTTTGTGTGCTATTTGGAATGTGGCAACTCGAACTGCTGCACTTCGGTGGCAAGTTCTATGTTGAATCCAGACAGAGACAGACACTGTCGGTCAACTGAAATAGCCCTGATTCTGCTTTTGATCGTATTATTTTCTGTGTCTATGTTCATACTTCTAATCTTTCGATCTAAAATTAGAAGTCATTGCTGAAAATTCCATACTTGTACCAAAAATACTGTATGGTTTCAAGCTATTATCAAAATAAAAAAAATAATCAAGGGTTAGTCGGCAGGTGTCAACCTTGTTGTTTGCACTCATCTTCCCTTTCAGAATCAAACGTGCATCACAGACTGCTGAGGGCAACTACCTGTTCACTAAACTATTCAAGTTACAACAGATTCCTTGTAGCAGTGATTGATGTAAATAAATAGGCCTCTAAATTGTACTGTCTGGGTTGAAACCATGTACAAAGATACTCTGTTGAATAGAGAGAGTGTATTTGGCAATGTTGATTTGCAAGGCCGCTTCAAATACTATTTCACTGTTCATTCTATCACTCTTTCTAACTTTACCTTTTGGCTCTTTCTATTTTGATATCTTTGTGATGTGTTAATACAACACTATTATACCTGTCGTCAGCACATATTGTAATCATTCAGACTTTTTACCAAAATGACTCAACGCTTTTTTTCAGACGGCTCTATCTAAGTACTAATCTTTATATCGTAAGTTTCTATTATCTGAAGCATTGTGATAAAACTTTGGTTTGAGTCTAGGTATTGGAAAACTTGAACAGTCTCTGAACTGTTTCATTTTTGAACCCAGTTTCTGAACGGATGTTTATGAAGTATTTGAGGAAAAAATTATTTCTCTTTTCATTTTGTGTGTCAGTTCTGCTGTATATGCCTTGCACCATATATTAACCTGTGGGCAAAATTTCTACACAAGTTAAATTAAATTGTGCGCACTAGTTTTTTACGCACTCATGCCATTCAGTGTAACTTGGCGGTTACTTGTATATGCGTTTGCTTAGCCATAGGACGTAAATGAAGCTTGGTAATACTAACTAGTCATGGTAATATATATATATATATATATATATATATATATATTAAGTGGGAGATCACAGATACAACCAAGTTACGCGGATCTGCTTTTCAGCGTACCAATCTATGAAACAGTTATCGTGTGAAGGTTCCCTGGGACGAAATAGGTGAAGTGGGATTGGAACCCGAAAAGCGTTCATTGAAAGTCGATTGCTTAAGTCATTGACCAATATCTTGAAGACCTATAATGATAGGCAGTAGCTTTACTTTTGAACAAGCTAGATAAAGTGAATAATGTACCTTGAGTCACTCGTTTCTTATCCACCTATCGATTATCTTGGTTTAAAATACCAGATGACTTTATATATACATATTTTAAGGTCATAAAGTTGTTTGGATTTGACTTATCACTTTTGGTTGCATAATGTTAGTGTTCATTTTTATGTCATTGAAGTATTCTGACTATCTTGTAGTATTTGCTAATGCTTTGCTCTAATGTTCCTAATTTTGAATGAATATATATGATATTTCGTATTTCGAATTGTGTTCATGCTAGTTACGTTCACTGTTTGATTTTTTTTAAGTAATGAAATCACTATGAGATTTTCGGTATTGGTGTTAAGCAACCTGTCTTATGAGGCACAGATTTTGCACTTTTCTAGTTAAAGCGAGGTAACAGTTAAATCAAATGCGTTCGTCAGTTATTTTAAAGTCTCCAAGTATGAAATCTAGATAATTTTGAAAAGCTATTTATTTTATATCTTTAAATATTCCCATTATTAATATTAGAACAAGACACAAGCGTACAGTATTGTTTCCAATTAGATCTTCTTAAGGCTTTACTCTAATTTACATAGATTTATATGTAAAATTTTTTAACCAATTACAGTGATTTTGTGGATCAAATAATAATAATAATAATGTGGTAAATGTTTTGACCATCATTAATAACAACGATTACAGTGATAACAAAATATTGATAATAAGGTTTATGCAGGTGGCGATAAGAATAATAAAAGTTGTATTATGTGGTATATGTAGACAATTTCATAAACAAATTAGGTCAAATCTTAAAGGTTACGTAATACTAAAGGTGAAGTGGACAGGCAGTCAGAGTTTAAATAAGTATCGTAAGATTTCGAAGGAAATGGAAAATAAGAAAGAGTGGGAGTGTTTTGGGTTAGAATTCACCTCGGCTAAGGGAGAGACAAAGGTATAACAAACTTCTTTTGTTGTATGCTAAGACTAGGATTGTTCTCTCGAATTCCCATAGCTTCGGATATGTGTAAAAGGCGGATTCGAATTCCGTTCGGAAGTCTCAATGGAATGCGATAGATAACTTTGAAGGCACTGTTTCTGTCCAATTGATGACCACTGTTAATCAAATGAGCCAAAGTACAAGTTCCTACAGGTTTTATTTGGCCTTTTCCGAACCATGAAGGAAGATGCTCATTAATGCGTTTAAGCTGTCTAGTTGTTCACCATATATAGCTCTCTCCACGGGAGCAACTAAATTTGTGGATACACATAGAAGTGGCACAGCTAGGTAGCTTGTCTTTCTCTTGAACAGTTATTATTGGTCGGATGGAAAATGACAAACCAAAGGGTGGTCCTCGATAATCTCAGATGTAAGACTTCGCTAGCCACCTCCCCATTAAATTGCAGTTTCATGAACTGTTGTTTCTTTTTAACTGTTGTCAGTTTCTCTTTATTGTACTTGGTGCGTATGTGTCTCCTTATAAATCTACTAGGTTTAACCCATTTGGATCAGCGTATTTTGGATGTATCCTAACTCATTTTCTAGGGAGTCATCTGTACAGATCGTCTTGCTCTATTCGTCAGGTATCTTACCAAATTGATTTTGTATCGGATTGGTACAAAACTGAGGAAGTGTGTATATTGTCCTACATATGTAGGTTTTCTGTAGACATCTCTCTTGAGTGAACCATCCTCTCTTCTGCTCTGTTTGACATCAAGGAAGTGTAGTCTACCGTCATGTTCTTCTTCACAAGTGAAGATGAGCGATGGATGTGCATCATTAAATGTTATTAACATTTCATTCTCGTCATTTTTCACATCAAGAATAATAAACGTATCATCAACGTAACGAAAATAAGAATGAGTTTTATCTATTACTTGCTTCAATGGACCATTTTCAAGCTTAACAAGAAAATCTGCCAAAATTGGACTCATCGATTTGTCTGTAATAAAGGTTGTTAAATGTGAATAGTACATTCATAGTACATCTTAAAAGCAACTCTTTCATACTTATAACTCGAATCCCGATGTTAAACTGTTTTTCTAGTATCTGTTGGCATATGAATTCCACAGTCTCCATAAGTCGTACATCGGTGAACAGTAATGTGACATCTAAGGATAACATTTGCTTCCCATTTACATTGATATCATATAAGTTAGAAATGAATTCAAAAAAAGCAGGTTGAAGGTAAGGCATTAACTCATCGAGGAAGACATTGCGAAGTGGTAGCACTGCGTCACGAATTGTCAGCAGTTAGAATTCATGGGCTGGACATCAGGTCGGGTCACAGTGGCCTAATGGTCTACGATCTAGCTCATCTTGTAACCAGAAGTTTCTGGGTTCGAATCCGTGTGGTGAGTACGTACTTCTGGAGAGTCCCAAACTAGGACGAAGCATCTGTCCAGAACTCCCTGCAGGTTTTCCAATGGTTTTCCAACCGATGTCAACTGATGATAAAATTCTATGACCAATCAACCAAATCCCTACAAACCAGTACTTGATAACAATGCGATAAATTGGTGTCAGCTGAGTTTGTATGAAAATTGATTTCAGTGGATTGCCAATAGGGTTCATAAGGTGTGTGTTTTATGCTAGGGCTACTTAGCTAATCTGATCAGCAGTATAATTCCATCAGTATAATCTTCATTAGAAGTCTCTGCCACTGACGAAATGATACCAGTGTATTTTTCTTTTAAAACGTTGAATGTCTATCTTAATTGGTGATAATGATGTTGATCAACATATTTTAAATACACAGATATATGTATTGGATGTTTTTCTCACAAAAAGTATCTACAGAATCTTTCCTTCTTCCGAGAAAATCAACCTTAGATGTAAAGACAAAACAAAATAGTAATTTTGTTATTGTATTTCCCTTTTCTTTTAATTAAAATAGTTAGACCATCAATCTCTGGATTGCTTGCAACTTCAAGGACTCTAGATTCTCAGAATGTGCAAACTTCTAAACCTTGTTCTTCAACAACACCTGTACATAGACGGCCTTCTCAGTACAACCAACAAGTTCAGCACACACAACAAGCCTATATAATGCAGCCCACACAAGAACGAGTGGTCCTCGCAGATGTTTGGGGCACTTGTCTTTCTGTCGTGTTTAGTTCGTCTAGTTTGCCAGCCAGCTGTCCTATGGCTATCAAGTCTGCTTGGTCTATACTTTTTCAGAGAATCAGCGCTCTGTTTCCATTAATCGATCCAAGGTGAGCAATGAGTTAGTTTTTGTAGCTATTTTAAACTTCATCCTCAAGTCGTTCTACCTATTTGCTGTCATTGTTTTTATACTATTAAAGATTTTGAACACTTTAGCGATTGTACCATTATTCGACGTTCCGTGTTCATCTATCGGGATTTCTATCCGATGCGTATGCTCATTACACAAAGTTTGACTGTCTGTTTGTCGTTTTAAATTGTAATTTGGTTATGGTAAAAGTGATCCTCTTTTAAAGATGAAATGTCTGTGTTTGCGATTGAAACCATTATTAGCTTGTATGAATAATGCTGGTAATCACAATGGTTCTCCACACTTTCTTCTTACTTAGCATGGTATATTTGCAGCTATGCCTTCTCCTGTACTCAATGGTAATCATTGTTTTACTGTTTTAGCGCACAGATAGCTGAAAATAGAGCGTCATCCCTATTGCGAACTGCGAGTAAGAAACCTGCGAATGAACGTGAACAGTTTGTTCCATTATGGCACAATTATGTTGTTGTTGGGTGTTGTATAGCACCAAGTTCTACTGGTATACGAATTTCCAAACCTCCAGATACATGCTATCAGCCTGAGTTACGTGTGCAAAAGCATTCACCAGACTGTGGTACAAAACGGGATACGTTGCAGTGAGTGAATGGTATTTTTTTAGTAAATCTTTATTTTATCCTAATGAAATGAATGTTCGTGACAAAGGCGACTATAAATACTGTACTTTATATTTTTGAGGAATTCTACTGGTTGTAGTGAATTAATTTGTTACTTCAAACCCATTTGTTTGACGTTCAAAGAGCATTTCTGTCAGCTAGTTTATTGATACTCTATATAAATCGAGAATTATAATTAGAGTTCAATTTGATTGCATGCCTTAATACTTCATTATGTTAGGACATAGTCCTAATATGATCGTTTTAATGTATGTATGTTTGTTAATTTCTTTCGTGTCAATGTTTTTCTTATATAGGTCGGATTCAATTATCAGCTCAGTTTTTTCATTATCTTTTCACAATGTCTTACCTTGAATTAAAGAGAAGTAAATTTTTGTCAACTTTCCCTAGTTTTTTAAGCGGGAATATCCACGTGATATCCCTTCATAGAAAGATGAGAGTTCACAAGAATAATCCTTTATTCTTACTAGTAGGGCTCATTAGTAGGATTTTTTATTGGCACGTCGTTTAAAAATCAGATTTTCATCAATAGTAGTGATAATAGTGGTTTGATGCTGAATAGGGCAAACTTGCTACATACTTTTGTATCTTAATTTGTTTGTTCCTTGTAACTGGAATACCTTCGAATGCCTATTATTTTAGTATCGAATTACTTGTTGATAAATAGGAATGAATCATTCACTGTATGTTCGGTTTTTTCTGTACGGTTGCTGCTCATTAGCTCAAGTATTTGACCTTCAGTTTGTATTTCAAGGTTTCGAATCTTGCCCCACCTACTCCAGACTAGACAAACGGGTAGTATCATCAGGTCTTGCACAATATGCCCGGCTAATAAGCTGTCTACATAAGAGATTAGATCCGAGTGACTACTTTGGAACACTTGTTTTTGTGGTACTGTTCATTGAAGAAGACTTTGACTGGAAACCAGTTAGTAACCAATGTCACGTATCTAGTCCTTCGTTTGGTGCAGACTGAATTCTATTAGTCAAGTTTGCAATGCGGCCGCCATACTAGTTGGCTCACCATTAAACTGTTAACACTAGATTGTTAGAAGGAATCAGCAGGGAGTTTCGGACCTAGGTTTCGAATGTCAGAAGGGACATGAGTCCCCTCAAAATTGCAGGTACGCCTTACTGACTAGTGCCAGCAAGCACGAAATAAAGGTCCAAGACCTCCTTCCGATTGCCTCCAAATATCTGACAACAATTCAGAAGGAGAGTTCATTGTTGTGCTCTAATTACTTAGCTGATAACCTTCCATTATTCGAGTTTGAACAAGAATTCCGACGCCAACGTGAATACGGATCCGTTAAGTTAGTGTATCTAAAGGAACATTTTAGTGTTTGGCCTGATTATGAGAGACCATCAAATTTATCTTATACGATAAGTTATTATTATGTTGCAGTTTTTATCTACCGTTTTCTTATGTTTAGATTCTTCCCGTAATGTGAACTACTTCGCATGATTCAAACCCTGAATCCTTTGACTGATGAATCTTTACTTGTTGAAATTCACAGTATAGCACCACCGTTATACGATCAACTGTTTTTATTAAAAATTGCTTACTTTTTCATCACATAAAGAATTGTTATGTTTATTGCATTTTAGTTGTCGTGACAGTTCTCGATCACCTACCCAGCCAGATGAAATACAAAATCAAACAACAGATTCCAATGCAAATTCATCAACTTCTCGAGCAACGATGTCCAACTCTCCATGTTCCAATTGGCCCAATTCAACAGATTTAAAACATTCAGCATCCTACGGAAAAGTGAACGCTCGAGATTTAGTGAAGTTGTTAGTACCGTTGTTAAGATGTGAGCAATCCGAGATACGCGATTCAGCAATTGGTGGTCTCGGCAGAATAAATCCAGCGGCTTTCAGGTAATTTACGCATAAATTGCAAATGAATTGGAATAAATCTAATACAGTAGAAAAATAACTATTATTGTTTATATTTTAACGATTGTTTTGTATTCATTGCTACTCGAGTTGTCCTTTATACTTTGTTGAAGACCGTCTTCCTTTTCTTAGAATCTAGCTTATCAGTGAAGTCTAATTTGGTGGTTGTTTCAACACAATCTTAGTTTGTCCTTTATTATTCCACTGGGGAAAAAAAGGACTTAAACAACATAGTTTTCACTTTCAGAAATAATGAATTAATCCTAAAACCCTATATGAAGCACCCATAAAGTCACTTGAAATATTTCATCCCTTTTATCTATGTATACATGGTTTGTTTGCCAGATTTACAACCATTGAGATTTGTAGTCTTAATCGTGTTGATTGAAACTTATCAGTCAGGTGTTACATAACCATTAACACAAATTAAACGAAGCCAAATGTTAAGAGGAGCCTTGAACCTAGGTTTTAATGTTTGTCATTACTCACCAGTAAGACACGTTTGTAACTATGGTAAAGTTCACATTCCTTTTGAGGTTTGCGCCTGTGTCACTTTTTCAAAATTCTGATACAAAATCTGTGTACTTACTGTATGTATAAACTAACTTACTGTATCTTCTCACTGGATTAATCATTTGAGAAAGTAGTAAGTCATTTTTATCCATGTCGTATTCAAATATAAATTTGAATTGTCTGGTTATACTTGTGTTTATTGAAGTTTGAAACCTGAAAAAACTTAACTGTTCAACTACGACATCATTATTTCATTTTTATTTTACTGATGTTTTTTTACTTCAGTTGTGAATAATGAATCAAGTGGTATATATTCTTAATTGTTTTCTCTACATTTCTGGAATATTTCAGAGATGTCCTTGAAGATTTGCAGCCACTACTGAAAGAATCTTTTGATCGGAAACAAGAGAATTTACGCCGTCGTCGTCGACGGGATGGACTACGATCAGCTTTAATAAAGATATTATCTCTTATGGCACAAACAGGTGTATTTGCACATCCGTGAGTTACGAAATTGGTATAAGTATTCTTTTTTCTTACACTAAACCATCTGGTTAGAGTTTAGAAACATAAATAAGCTCGTGACTGCGTGATCCAGTTCACAGATTTCATTCTTACTTTGCATATTTGTCTCTTATCATCTTTTTGTTACTACTGACTGTTATTCAGGTTTTAAGTTTCATTTGAGAAGATCTACTAGTATGTAGAAGTAACTGAGTGACATCTAAACATTCGGAGGTTGTGCTTATCAACGGTAGATTAAATTCTAACACTTTCTGTCTTGAAAAATGCAACTGCCAATCATTAAGTGAATCATGTAATGCAGAAATGATGTATTGGATGTTTGATTTTGCATCTGTTGTTCAGTGGGTAACACTTATAATTTTTTCCGTTATAGTCAACCTTCGTGAATAATAGTTGAAACACTAATGATTCATTGTGCGGAAGCGACGTATGACACCACTTTGTCCATCGGTGGTACAGTGGTTAGGACTCTCGCCGACCATGCACATGGTCTGGGGTTCGATTCCCCACCGACGCACACCTGATATCAATGTTCGGCCTGAAAAATATAGGCTACCGATATTCATGCTGAAAATTCCATACTTGTACCAAAAATACAGTGTGGAATCAAGCTGTAATCAAAAATAAAAGTAAATCTATACGAAATCTTAAATTTCTAGATGTTTATTATTTTATTCAAAAACTAAATCAGTTATGCAGAAATAAAACAGACTGTTAATCTTTGCCAAAGACAACTACACCTATTGTGATTTCGATAAGCGCAAGTATCAAGAATTAAGTCATTCACACAAGATGTCATTTTTGAATCTTCTGAGTTTTAAAATGGAAAAACGACCTTGACGTGCCTTTTAATCAGTACTCTACGTTTGCTTAGTTATATAAAACTCTTATTTCTCTGGTGTTTCTTGCCAGGAGGTTTTGGAATTCATTGTAATTATTTAACTTTCGAACACTGAATCTGTTGATATAATCTTGTTGACTGTTTTAAAATTCTAGTTGGACGTGTGTTAGTGGAGTATCTTCATATCACATAAAACGGGCACTAGTCGAAATTCTTTATTGATAAAATGTTCTGAATCCATGAGCCATCTATACTTACTGGTCAAATAAGGCTTTTCCCGTCTTCCTCGTTCTCACTCTGCTTAGATGCATATTGGTTCAGTGTCTTATGATGACAAAGAGATGTGTGATATCTAGATACAAGGCTCATTCGTATCATGTGTTCGACAGTTTATGCAAGTTTTAAGCGCTTAACCAAATAAATTAGTCGTTTTTATACCAATACTCTAACTTATAGAATGTTTGAACAAGACTGATTCTCATGCATAAGCTTACTTTTAAGTTTTAAAGTCAACATGCCTAATTACATTTTTTTAAACCCCTCAGTGTATTGATAAAATTAATTAAGTAATAAGATGCCGGTGTTTATTTTTCTATAATGTTAATTTTATATATTTTACTTCTTGAACAAATTTTTTATTAAGCTGATTATTTGTTCTAATTTTCTTGTAGCGAATCAAACAGTGTCACACCGCAAGGAGCCCTGATCCCTCAGCTGCTGGATTATATAGATGGGATGAGAAGCTATTTAGAATCAGTTTCCGATCAATTATTGAGTCCTGTTAGTCACACTCACACATCATCTGCTTCTTTAAATATTTTAGCATCTATGCCCTCTGCTAGTTCATCCCAGCAAGTTGGGACAAGTGGGAGTAATACGAGTAATCAAGTATCTGGCTCTATTAGCAGTGGTTCTGTGGTTAACTCTTTACCTACTCCTTTGTCCTCTGGGCCTTCAGTATCTGAAGCCTATTTACTGAATGAAATTCGCTTACACTTTTGCATTTTCACTAAAGAGCTTATTCGACGTTTACCTAGTAAGTAATTTTTTGATGAAATTACACGTATTGCTGCACAAATATTTATTATTTTTTTCTACTCGAAATAATTACTGTTACACTGATTAATTCTTTAGTAGCTAATTAATTATTCACTTTAGTGTAATATTCCTTATCAGCTATATTAGCTCTAAAACGGTATGATTGGAGAAAAGACGTTTGTATCCCACTGTGTTTATCACCCGGCTACTAGATACTTTTGATTGTGTAGTGTAGAGTGGTTATAGCGCTCGACAATTAAAGTCAAGTATTTTTAGTGAAATCGTCTATTCAAGATAATCACTACTTTTGTTACAGTTCTAGTACCAGGCTTTATTTATAGATATTTATATTCATTGATCAAAATTAATTCATTCAGTGTGTCTTTTGGTTACACAACGAATTGAGTGGACTGAGTGCACACATTGTATCTGGTGTAATTTCGAGGTTGAAAACAAAACAAAACGTTTTCTGTTACATTATATGGGTTTGAAAATATCATAAGCACGGGGTATAAGAAATGCATTTGTCTCACCTACCATCCATCACACGCTCCAAACGTTTCATTACTTTAGTTGCAGTTGTTTTATTCTGTCCATCTGTCTTGTTTATATCGTTTCCAGTTGTATGTTTAAATTTTAAGTGAATCAGCCATTTGTTGACACAATTATTCTGCAACCTATATTGTGCTAATTCGTAAAAGGTAACTGTAAAAGTCTTCCCAAAAATCCTGTTATGTGTGGCCGGTGTTACGCAACTTATTTCAGTCTTACATGAAGAAAATATCTCATATTTATGTATTCATTTATGATCATTCCTCATACCTTTGGCAGTCTTGTTCTTATGTAACCTCAGTTTTCTATTCAGTTAGAATCGTTTGGTTAGTACTCTTATTTTTCACCTTTAACACAGCATTACAACTGTTCGCCTTGAATAATATCATATGAACGAAACTCGTGTTATTTCCTACAACTCAAATCAAGATTATATGAATTAGCAGATGATTAAATTTACATTCTATGATTAGTAGGTTGTATGCATTAGATTCCATGTGTATCAGTTACGGGAAGTTTAATATGATGTTGATGTTCTCGCTGAGTCTTGGTTTTTGTTATTTTCCTGTTTTATCAAAGCCTATTGGTCAATATTTTCAACCTTTACTGTATTGATTCATTCTTTTTTCTATAGAGCAAAGTCGTGCTAACTTATTACCACCTACATTAAGACATCAATTGTTTATTTTATTGTCTCATTGGAGTGCTCATTATGATCATGTTATGGGAACTTAGTAAGTTGTGTGTTTACTATTTTCTTTTCTTGAATTCATATGCTTTTTCCTACCATAATGTTTTGACGTAAAACTGAGGTTCTTCACCACCTGAGGCTATTTAAACATTTAAAAGGAATGAATTGCTAGACTTAACTGTTATAGAACAGCTTGTGCATCTGTCAAACCATAGTAGGTAAGCATGGCGATGTTAAGATCATTGATGGAAGTTGGCATTTATTCGAGTATTAACTATTAGTTATGAACTAAATTTAGACCTACTTCTAGTCGGTTCAGCTATTTGCTGGATATGCAGTGCTTCGCGTGCTACACGGAATGTGGCGACTTGAACTTCCGCACATTTGTGCAAAGTTCTATGTCGAAAACAGACAGACAGACAGAGTGGTCGGATATTATATAAAGATCATTATTTGTGTTATAATTAACACTATAAGTAATATCAAGTTTCCAAGTCTAATTAACTAGACAGGATATGGTATGGACTGATATGATTAGCTGAAAATTACCTCAAGTTCATCTAAATACTAGTCGACTGTTTTGGTTGTGTGAAACTAAGCTCATCATAAATGTGCTCTGATGCTAATGGCTCGCAAATTAAAGCGTAACTAGATTTACCTATGGATTATGCATTTCCGCTTCTTATTTTGCATCTCGTTAACTAAATAGAATTCGTATAGTTTGCATGATTCTCACTTTTATCCTCCATGTACCTTTCCAGCTTAGCTTCATGGTAAATGGCTGAAACGGTTCCTCGGTATTTATTTTATTTTATTTAAACGCAAAAAAAACTTGGTACAATATGGCACCAAGAAAGATGCGCCACACAATAATAATAAAACAACATAGATCAAAAAAAGGAAGGAAGGAAAAGAAAAAATATATATAAGTAGAGAACGGATAAAGAACTTCATCTGGAAGGAAAACAGTCATGCTTAACAAGTTCAAACAGTGTTCGTTAGCTATCATCGGGAAGGGAAGAAAGAAGGAAATCGCAACACATTCGCCACTGATTACGATTCTTGGCCATATCCGATAACGTTTCGAGCCATCGATTTGAGCTATCTCTCGGACCCCAACCAGGGAGTCGTGACACACCAACCGATGCTAATCTAGCACAAAAATCCTTCATCCCACGACGCCACGTCATGGACTGACCACCTCTCCGCCTTTTCCATCCCGTCCCAGGGCTAGCGAACAGAGACCTGTACGGAAGCCTCTGGGGTGACATTCGGAGCACATGTCCAAGCCACCGGAGCCGGTGTTTCCAGATGACGACATTCAATGAATGGTGATCTCCACTTTGTTCAAACACACGCCGCCGAACCTCAGAATTACTCACGCGATGATGCCATCGAACGCAAGCAATCCTGCGGAGACAGCGGTGATCGAACACGCAGAGTCGCCGCACATCCTCAGCTCGGAGAGGCCAGGTTTCACAGGCGTAGAGCAGCGCAGCCCGCACCGAAGCATTGTATACCCGACCTTTGACAGCCAGGCTAACGTCGCGACGGCGCCAGAGGTGGCTCAAGTTGATGTATGCCACCCTAGCCTTCATTATACGGTTGGAAATCTCATCCGTCACCCCTCCGCCAGCACTCACACAACTACCCAGGTACACAAACTTATCAACAACTTCAAGCGGTTCACCCGCAAGAGTGAGTGCAGGTACAGGCTCCTGCCAATCTTGTAACAGTACTTTGCACTTAGACGGCGCAAAGCACATACCATACTTACAGACACTGATCGCCAACTGATTAAGTGCGATTTGGGCAGCCTGCATGCTATCGCACAGTAAGACGATATCGTCTGCATACTCGAGGTCGAAAAGTCTATCTCCAGGTAGCAGATCTACACCACCTTCACGCACATCCTTCAGAGCTGACTCCAGAATGTCATCGATGGCAAAGTTAAAGAGAAATGGAGAGATTGGGCAACCCTGTCTAACCCCACTGTTGGTTGGGAACAGTGGTGATAGTTGGTTGTATGCCCTCACTCTACCTGAGGTGTTTCTGTATAGGGCTTTCAGGATGTTAACAAATTTCTCAGGTACACCTCTCTCTAACAGACAGTTCCAGAGCACAGTTCTGTCCAACGAATCGAAGGCAGCCCTAATATCAAGAAACACAACGATCGTTGGCCTGCAATACGTGTGGCGGTGTTCCAACAACTGACGAAGGGTGAACACATGATCAATGCATCCACGACCTGAACGAAACCCAGCCTGCTCTTCGCGAATCAATCCTTCACGTATTTTGCACAGTCTGCGAAGCAAGACAGCAGCCAATATTTTAGACGCGACTGGTAACAGACTGATACCCCTATGATTGTCACACGAATTACGTCGACCCTTTTTAAAGATGGGGACGATAATGGCTTCGTTCCACATTGATGGTACACTCTCTGTCTCCCACACCTTCCTGAACAACCCAGTTAGAGCCATTGTGAGAGTCTCGCCACCATCTTTAAAAAGAGCCGGGGGTAATTTGTCTGGGCCGGGCGCCTTATGGCGTTTCAGAACTTGGAGTTCCTTACGGACCTCCGCTTCGGTGGGTGGGTCGGTACTAACCGACCAAGGAGCACTCGGGCTAATGATAGTAGACACTGAAGCTGGTGGCCAGCTGAACTGCTTCCCGAAGTGCTCTGCCCAGCGTTCCAGGCGTCTTTTCAGGCTGGTAATTGGAGTGCCATCTGCCTCACAGACCGTCTCGCTGACACCTTGTTTCTTGCTGCCGGTGGCTCGTATGAGTTGGAACAGCTTCCGACTGTTGCCAGATGCAGCAGCTGACTCCATCTCACACGCACGTTCTGACCACCAGGCTTCGCGGTCCTTACGTAAACACTGTCTAATCTTGCGCGTGAGCGCCTTTCGCTGATTGTTGTATTCGCTGCCAGCCGGAATGGACCGGCGTTCATCCATGAGTTGCAAGGAACTCGCAGAAACCCAGTGGTTGTTAGCGGAGCATTCTTTCAAGCCGCAAGCGGCTACACTCGCCTTTTGCATGGCACCTTGCACATGAAGCCAATGTTCATCTATACTACTTGGGGGGTTGCTGGCAAGCATTGTTTTTAACTCATTCTGATATTTCAAAGAAGTAGCAGGTGCTACTAGTTTGCTCACATCAACGCTTAGACGACGGCTTTTACGAACCCCACCAAATCGCAAGACGAACTTGGCACACACTAACGCATGATCGGAGTCCAGGCATGTGCTCCAGAAGGAGCGACAGTCTTGTATGCATCCTCGCCACCGGAAACTGACCGCGATATGATCAATCTGAGTCCAAGCTTGCTTCGCAGAGGGAGGACGCCAGGTAGCGCTACGGCGATGGCTGTGCCGGAAGTTGGTGCTAGCTAGAAATAGGTTGTGATCCGCGCAAAGCTGCAGAAGACGGTCCCCATTATCTGACCTGCGACCATGTAGTCCCCACTGACCACCTAGACGATTCTCCTCTGAGCTTAGACGCCCCACCTGTGCATTCAAGTCCCCAGCCAGCACTACGATATCCCTCCGACCCGCCTGTTTCAAGAGATCGCTCAGTTGGTAGTAAAACTCATCCTTCATTGCATCCGGGCTGCAATCCGTCGGTGCATAGGCAGAGACAACAAATAGACACCGCCTATCTGGCCTACTACTCCTTACTTTCGTATAACCTTCCAGCCTCACAGCACATAAACGACTGTTAATGGGAATCCAGTCGAGCAGTGCAGCTTCGGCTCTAGCGCTCAGTGCGACACCGACACCAGCTACGCCGGATGCCGACGCCACAGGGTCCCCGGATAAGCGCAGGTGGTACATACTACTAGAACTTCCAGATGGAGAGGATAGTCGAAGCACTTCACTGGGATCTTGAATGCGGGTCTCCGAAATGCAGCAGACATCGATAGCGAGGCTTTCCAAAGTTCTTGCCAACCCTGCCTGTTGTCCGATTTGCATCAGCGTCCGAACATTGTAGGTAGCCAGCTTGAACGCAGCACGCGGTTTCAGGATATCCGTGTTAGATGTCACATTGGGAACAACCATTTTGAGGACTACTCACTAACATCTCGAAACGACACGGATAGGCTGGGAATCTCGACAAAGGCGAAAGGCTGTCGAAGGTTAAGAAGCCAAGGTTAGAAAAGGTACAATACAGGAAACTATGTATAAAAATAAAAGTAGGGTAGGAAGGAAATAAGTTCCTTGAGGGATCAATATTGCTTGGAATCATTTTACTAGCGCGCGTTGAGTTTCAGTGAGTTCGTTGCTTTAATCATTCATTCATTGTGTGCGGGCTGAGATACTGTCCGGACGCCCAGACCGAAGCAGTCCTCGGTATTTAGATCAGTCCAGATTGGTTAATGACACAGTGTTTGTTGGTGTGGATAGTTTATGTCAGTATGTATTACTAGTTGTTACGACGAATCATTTAAAAAGAAGCTTTGTAACCTTGTGGGAATCGGCATAACTTAGTGGTAGAGCTTCCAGTTTCACTACTTAATCACTTGGGTTCCAAATACCATCGAAATATAAGAAATCGTAAGGCTTTATTAACTGAGGTTTTGTGGACTGTACTTTTACAGTGAAGTTTATTCATACGTCCTTTCACGATTTAGTAGTCGAATTCGAATATAACCCTCTCCTCTCAATTTACCTACCCAATGTTTTTATCTCTTTCAGCTTTGGATCTGAAGGTCCAGTTCCTATACAGTCTTGCTTTAATAATTCAAATGTTGACTTCACTGAGCATACCACCGGTTCCAGTGGCGCGGTTGGTGTTTCTCCATCGAATGAAATATCACCGGGGTTTATCGGACCTCATCATCAGTTGGTAAATGACAATTTTCTACAATCTGTTAATAACTTGAGTCTTAATAATGTCACACCATCGGGATCTACGGACTCTACTGCAAATTTAACCATCCCTCTAAACCAAGCTTCTCATAGTCCTACATTTCAACAGAAAGTTTCAAATAACGAACAAACTGAAGGACTTGATTCTCTAGAGTATTGTTTATGGATTGACCTGATCTGGTTGTCGAACCAAGCTATGGCAGCGCTTGTATGTTGTGGGCCATATATGATCGTCTAGCGCTTTTACCACACGATAATTCCAAAATTAACCAGGGAGCAGCAGTTCCTGGATCCGATTCAGTATATGGTTCATGTTCAGATCGCTCAAATGGTACTTCGTGTTCAAATGTTTGCACTCCAAGCCCTGGTTATGTACTTCGTTGGATTTCCGGACTTCTAGTTGCACGCGACACTGCTCTTAGTTCAAGTCCATGGTTATGGTTTTGTCCCATCACAAGTCGCGGTCTTTTGCATAATACTCTTAATCCTGGTGGTGCCTCACTCTGTGGCAATAGTCACACGCGCTCACGCACAATAGCAGCTGGTGGTGGACGTCGATTAGATTCTGTAAGTTTCACCTCTAACTGGTGTCATATTTCTGCACCTTCTGTGCATTACTTTTAGTGTAATAATTCTACTGTTGAGCTGAAATGTTTATCCATGAGATAACAACTAGTCGTTCGCATTATGAACTTGTCTGTAAAAGATATTATATAGGTTTCCATTTTATATTCAATGTGTCAGTTTCTAATTTTCACTTATCCACTGTACCCTAGTGCTAACAACAAGAGTAGCAAGGATCAATTAACAGCTCGATGCTATGCAACGATACACTCAGCTTACTGATTATCTGAGTGTAGAACATCATAGTGTTTTTTATTACTTTTCCTCTTTTGATTTATTTTAGTTACTGCGTCAATTAGGCGAAGAAACTTTGGTTCTTCTATTGGATTTCAACATAGATAATAGCGGCCTTTTCAACTGGGTGGTCGATCAGTGTTATACCTCATCGAACATTTCACTATCTACAGCGTGTTTTGAATGTATTTGCCTTATAATGAGTAATATGTGAGTCGTTTGCAATTATTTTATTTATTCCTTGTCAACAATCTCCCTTAAGCTTTAGTCAGCAGGAAATTGTCATTTTTTAAACCAATAGTCAGAGTCACTACCTACTATCCTTTTTGAAGAAAATTAATTAAGTATTGTAGCACTTTTTTGTTTGTTAGTGTGAAATGCAGCTGCGTCTCTGTTTAGCGTTGAATTCCTCAACAGTGTTGGCGCTGAGTAAACTACTTCATAAATGTGTACAAATATTAGTTTTTTTCTTCATAAATTTCCAGGCGAATATAATCCTTTCATGGGATGTTGTTAAATGATAAATGGTAGTTGAATTTCAGAATTTTTTGATGATTACTTGATAATATGAAAATAACTTCGTTTTTGTTTGTTTTCTTAATACTTGTGATTATTCGTGGTGGCACTTTGTATGTAGAATTACCCTGGTTTTAAGTTATCTGCATGGTTTCTCATCAATAGGTAATCAGTTTACAATACGAACTATATTTATCATATAAAATTATATACAGGATATAAAATTTTTGCTCCTTTTAAAACAAAATTTTGTTTATAATCGGCATACAGGAAAAATATTTAGTGTGATGCTTTCCGACTGAGGTGAACTAAATGAGCGTCAGATAACGGTGTCGGCATTCCTATCAGAGTTAAGACATTGGTAAAGTGTAGCCTCCTAAACACACTGGCATTAGCTTCACTCCTATCATATGTGAGATGTCTGCACTAACCACTAGTTTAAGGAGAGACGTTGAAGTGGTCAACATTGTTGTCTCTATTTCACAGACTACTGATGACATATCAGCAGGGATGCAAAAAGCATTTTTAAACTTGCATCATCTTAGACATAAATGTGATACTGTATTATCTGTTTGAAAGTCGTACTTCTCAGTGTCCTACTCTACGGCGAAGACATCCGTAGCGATTATAGGTTTGTTTATTATTTGCTCATATTAGGTGGGTTAACATGTAAAGAAATAATTACGTTAGATAATTAAGAAACCAATACTTGAATAAGAAACTTCAGTCAATGAAATTTCACAGCATTATTGATTAAGGTGAATAGAATCTTTGTTACGCATACTGAGCTGCCGACTTCCTCTACCCTCAATGTCAGCTTAAGTAGAATTAAGTTTCAAAAGCGCTAGACGTGGTGGTCAGATTAAAATATATCAGCACTTTATGAATCCATTGACTTTTGATCTGAGCTACATGTAATTAGACATTAACCCTCTGGTTGGTAATGGTCGGAGACTGTTTGCGACACGGCTCAAAATAATTTATCACCGCACAGGTTTATGAATTTATTTTCCACATACTAAAAATTCTAACTAGTCTCCATCTAATTACTCTCACTCCTGTACATTCCCCCCCCCCTGAAGTATGGCAACTTAAATTGATAGAATTTTGTGTGAAGCTCTTGACTGATAAGCCACCAGTAATCAGAACATCAAGATAGTAGAATATGTCGGATTTTTAACTGTATGTCGTGTCATCTTAAAGAAAAACAGTGGAATCAGTGGATTTATGCAAATTAAATAAAATGTGGACTTTTGAAGTTATTCTTTAGGTGATGGTGATATTAGGTGACATTGTTCTCTTCATTCCTTCTCCAATTCCACATACTGATTTATTCAGTATTGATGAAATTAATCTTTTTAAATATTTGATTGCTATTGGCTTTCTGCTTTTGAAGTTATCAAATGATTTGGTTACAATGGAGTCAGTTTCCCGTTACTTTAATTTCCGGATTAATTTTCGATGTATGTGAGGTAGTTGATATGATGACAGTTCTTATATCGATATGAGAGCCATTCAGTCAGTAGTGTAGCTTCATAGTTCACTGCTGAAATATGTATGAGAAAATACTCCACTAAAACTACGCTTTCTCACTGATAAGCTTCAGAATAATCATGTCTTATTTACTCTGGAATTTAAAAGTCATCATTTAGTTGATTGCATGAATTCGTAAACGTATAAAAGTACAGCCATTTCAGCTAAAAAAATTCTAGAGTGTTAATTCTTTATGTATAATTGTTTTCATTTACAGGTCATATTTATCATTTCTATTTTTTATTTACGCATCTTCTTTCCTATGTAGACCTAATTTCACTTGTGATCATACTGTTCTAATCACATTATGCCTGATTTTTATTGATCATCCGTCGAGATTTTTGAGTGACAGAGCCTTTTATTTACTGCGCGTGTTGTATCGGCGTTTCTTTATTGAAGTATGTTCCGTACCAGTATATTTTTTTTATCCATGAATTTATCTATTGTAACTTTATTTTTATTTTTAGCAAGATTTATATTAAATATCAGTCCACAAATGTTTTCATTATTTCTTCGCAATATATTTATTAGATTAACGTCTCACGTCTTCATAATTTATTCAAAAATATATAATTTAAGATAACAGAATTACCATCGAAACATAGTATTATCATCCTATTGTGATTTTTTGAATGCTCTTACTTTGGCGGTGAATTAGATACGCTAGTAGTACGAACTTTTCGACAGTCAAAGTTAGCCTTTCTTGTTGAAATATAGTAACTACAACCAGTCTATCTTCTTGAAGTCTATTAGCATAATTTCTGTTTTTTTATGATTGCAGCGTCAATATTGTAAGTGTCGATCATTATATAAGCTTCCTAGCTGACAGACTCTGTACAGAATTATTGTAGTACATTGAGTTTGGAGATTGAAACAGGGGAATGGTGCTTCATGCCATTGGATTAGTAAAGATGGAATTGACAAGCACTTCCCGTTGTAGAGTTGAACATTTGCTGAAGGTTTCACGTGGTGGAACGAATCCTGTTGACGAATTCATCATTTAAACTGCTAGCATATTATCTTAAATTCCTTAAGCAGCTACCCCGTGGAATATCTGGGAAAAATAGTTCAACGATCAGGTCATAATTAATAAAGTTTAGTTTGTTGAAGTCTAAGAAATAACAGTTGAACGTAATTTACTAAGCGCCCATTCCTCTGTTATGGTGCACAGTTTGCACTAAAAAGGAAGTACTTTATGGCACTTTTATCATAATGTGGACTATGTTCACACCAGTGAATCCCCAATAATTCAGATTCTCGCGTTTTGTATGTATTTTCTAATTTCAGTCAATGATTTATTGCTATTAACTTTCTTATGACAGCGTGCTGAAATTTTGTACAAGCAAGTACATTCAGTGGAATCTAAAAAACCATATTCTGACAAGGATTCACCTCAGTCTCAATCATCTACATGTAACCAACCGAACTGTGAATGTACCCAGCTATCTACATATTTAAGAATAAACAAATTATTTTATCGCTCTTTTAACTACTGGTTGCCGTGTGAAGTCGTACGACAATTTGCCGCCCAACATCCAGACTACACACTGACTATTTTTTCAGGCAAGTATCTTATCATTTATTCATCTTTTATAAACGTTTATCATCTATTTGTACGAATACTCGAAACATTTTTCGGGCAAATCTGTCAGTATAATACGCCAATTTTTTCATTTCTTTCCCTTCCTAGTGGAACATGGGGCCTCATGCTTTGGCGTTGAAGTTTAAGTGACGTTAGTGTTTTTTTACAGGGTGGGGTGGATGTGTCTCTGTCCTCTGTTCTTTCTCTATCGGGCTTACATCCCGTTAGGCGAGGTTAGGAGTGCGTCAGCTGGGAGTCAAACCTGGACCTAATGCCTTGGCTGGTGAGCATTCTACCATTCAGCCACTGAAACACGAATGAACTCTAGATGATAGAGATCTCAGCAGTTAATTGGTTCTGTAAATCTTCATCACACACGAAACACTAGTCTTCTTTTACGTGGATGGTGTGATGTCTCATATGAGAATAATTGCATTTACCTTCTAGCATTTATGTGAAATGTACATACAAATTAGCTAGGGTTTGTAGCTCCTAATACTTTCTTTGTAATATATTTTCTTACTCATTTTGCTTTGTTGATTGCATTGCATTTCAGAGGTCTCTAGACGTCTTGAAAATGCCCGAGAAGGTCTTCGTGTTCCATTACTGCATTTACTTTCACCTTGGTTTGTAAATGTTGAACTGGTTGATCTTATTGAAGGCGAAGTTTTCGACTCACCAGACCATAATTTAGATATGGATGATGATTTTTCGTACACGGAAAAAGAAAACGACCCATTTTCTATGAGTAATTATGAGAAGCCTTCAGATATCGTTGACGTCTCAAATAGTAATAATAATACTTCAGATCAACAACAGCAACATGTCAGAAAAGATAATCCAGAATATCGTATTCGTTTGTCTAAGCGATATAAACGTTCGAAAAGCCTATTGAATGCTGAATCATTACGTTATGATCCCGATGATACTGATGCTGATTCAGATAATATTAACCATCAGCGAAGCTTCAAATCACTTTCATTGTTAAGAATGCGTGCTCGTCAAGCAATGATGGGTGAAAATACAGATTTACATAGTCCTCGTTCTTTCCGCTCTTCAAATTTATGTTATAATAATAGTCATTTCAGAAACGGGTGTAAAGCAACGTATGCAACGAATAATGCTGCATTATGGTCAACTGTTCCTCCCACACTTCGATCTAAAGGATGGGGCTCAAAACAGGTTCGTTGCTCTTTTTTGAATTTATTTCCGAATTTTTTACTCATATTTTTATTGTATATTTTGGTATGGCTTATCTAATGATATGTGATGCCAATGCGCTTTTTCAGTATTAGTTTCAAAGTTCAGTCTTACTTTCATGCAGTAGAATGCGCAAATCAGCTTATAGATTGTTTTTTCTATCTAACATGGCTTTTCTCATCCGTCTTGTTAAAGTAGGCGAACACACTGATTTTATCACTAAAAATGTGACAACACTCCCATAGCGTCTGTGATTTGGAAACTGAGCAGTGTCGGTCCTAGCCTCCAAGGTAAGGCGTGTTCTCTTAAGGCAACAGATAATATTATGTGAGGTGACTACTAACGTTCGATACCGAAATACAGCGCACTGATGATTGCTGTTTCAGTTAACCCTACGGTCACATTTCCGATTCATCGGTGCTTTTTGATTGGAGTCGACAGATAAGCAGTTTTACCGCTCATTATCCATTGATGAACCTATTCAAATTAATGTCCTTATCTACTTATGGGATTCCTAGGATTTCAGGGAAGCACAGTGCCACTATAGTGTGCTCAACTGTATTTTGTTTCGTTCGCTGATACTTACACATCAGTAAAGTCTTGGATGCACAAGATTCATTTGATTACGAATCCTTAGGTTTTAGTGAAAATTAAATTCTGTAGATTTTTTATGGTCAGCTGGTGTTTTAGGTTGTGGGATTATTCGACACCCGATTGAGTGATGCTGAAATTACATGTGAAGTACTGAGTAAATGAGTAGATTTTATATCTTCACCTACTGATACAACTTGGATGTAATATGAACCACAGCAACATAAATGAGTTGTGTTAACTGATGAGACGAAATCTAATGATTCTCAAATAACATAACTGATAGAATTCAGTCTACACCAAAGAGAGGACTAGATACATCACACTAGTTACTAGTGTCAAACCAAAGTAGTAACAACAAGCTGTAAAGTTAGTCTTTGAAACATCAAGATCTGGTGGTTAAAGACTATTCGGGAATTGACGTAAATCTAGTGAATTCATCATAGTCAGTAAGCCATATATAATAAAACTGACGTTTTAAGTAGCATAAATCTATTGTGTTATTGAGCATGACCAACTTTCCGCATCAAGTAGTATTCCACTGCTCTGTGATGCAAATTTAAGTTAACTTTTGAGCACAATACATGATTTCAAGACATTGAAATCGTTTGATAACATTAATTGGATAAAATATGTAGTTAGGTAATTAAGCGAAGTAGTTGGTTTCTTGTGTTTTGTGTTCACGTTCATCGGTTACCACTTAATTTCACAGTAAATATAATTTCAAAAATGGTGATATGCTGCAAATGAGATATATTTTCTATATTTCACTTTTTTATTTCATTCTAAACTAGTGATATTTTTTTTCTTATAATTAACTGTATTTTTAGGCCACCGAGTTCGTACTCACAAATCTGTTCTACTTGACATTAAGACTTGCTGATTGTCCAACTTCATCTGAGGCGCTAAAGCAACTTTGGATTACACTAATTCGTCATCGGTCTGCAAATCTGCGAGTGATTGTTCGTTACCTAATTATAGTTACATCTCTCGCACCTGGTACCCTGTTAATACACGTGAGCCCAACTAAATTTTCTGTCATGTCATTGAACATTTTTTACCTTATGTATGATGAATTATAATACTATAAGACTGAATTTCATTTGCTTTTAGGTTATTTTATCTAGAAGTTGACATTTAACCTAGATTTTCTTGATGACGTTTGGCTGCAATGATTTGAAACTCGTTGTATCACGTTGTATAATTTGTGGAACCATCGAATTCTGTAAATATTTCACTACTTGTTGCATTAACAGTCAAATTTATAGAATCTCTTAATTAAACGTTTAACTTTTATGTTCTAAGCTTTGTTATGAGACAAAATAGTGTAGTAATTCATTCTTTAACATATTGTAATTGCATTATTATAGTCCAATATCCCAACTTAGCCAATTTTCCTAAAACTATACTTCCATCAGTATACTTGAAATAGTTACATGTTTTCTAATCAGTTACTTTAATCTACAAAACTCGTGGTCACATTTTCTTTGCTACCCACGTTATTAAAGTCAGTAATAGTCTTTAATATTGTACTGGTGAATGCAAAAACTGTTTGGCATTTTTAATTTGCTTCTGCATAATAATTTTCATCTGCACGTTAACTACTGTCGGAAAGAGTATGGATTCACAATTATCATCTATCACGTTATTTCAGGCATTTTGCACAATATTTGTTTGTATTGTTATATCACCTAAATTTGCTTGTATCTCTGCTTTGATTCCAGGTTAAACGTATTCTTGCCTACTTGGCCTCAGAGCAACCTGAAAGTGTTATAGGCGAACTAATGGTCGAGATGCAAGTTAGTTTCATCTGTTCTGTTAAATTGTTAAATTCGTCTAATTTCAACAGATGATTAGTTTGCAGCATTTTTATCTTCAGTTATTCATTCCTTTTAATAGACACACAAAATGAGAGTTTGGTTGGTGTGGGCATTCTAGAAACAGGACACTAAGGATTTTCAGTCGTCTATTGTTATTAATGCAATGTCGAAATTCCTTCTAGCATAATATGAGTAATTAGTTATTACTGCATGACACTCATGTTTATAAATTATTTAAAAGCGTCTTCTACATTCAAGAGTAATTTTTAAAAGAGAAATTTGTTTACGGTGTCAATTAGGAGTGTGTTTTTTGTGGGTACTGACGTTAATAATTAAAGCTAAAGTGGAGAGATTAACGAAATCCCTGAACAAGCCACCCTATCAATTTCACGGTATTTCCCGTGTAAAGTGGTATAATAAGGTGAGCAATATTGAGGTTAGGCGTCGAGTGCTAGGTAAACAGGGGAAATCAATCAACGAAGTTGTGAAGTTACAAAGACTGAGATGGTTAGGACATGTGTTACGTATGCTTTGTCATCGCCTTCCTCGACGAGCAATGTTAGCGGATATAGAGTAAGGCTGGAGAAAAGCTAGCGGAGGTCAAACAAAAACTTGGCACCATTCAATGAAATCTACAACAGTTAGTCTAAGCCTGTCACGTAGGAAGGTGTAGACTTCCTGGTTGGGGTCGTCGGGACGGTAAAAACCAATGGTTGGAAACAATTGGTCACATGGCTCAAAATCGTTCTCAGTGGCGCAAATGCATCCACTCCTTGTGACTTATGATTTCCAATCAAACTGTTTTGTTCTTCGTTAATACTCTTCCTTTGTCTCACACCTCTGCTCACTGTCTCTATTATGCTTTTCTTGTACTTTCTTCTGTTGATTTGTGCGCTACATGGAGTGTGGCGACTTGAACTTCCGCACATTTGTGCAAAGTTCTATGTCGAAAACAGACAGACAGTCAAACAGTATTGATAATATGCTTTTCATTAAATGAATAGCATTTTTTGCTAAATGTATACATAGAATCTTGGATTTATATTTTGGATTACCTCAATTTAATCAACTAGTTTAGTTGCTACCTTGTTATGTAAGCCTAAAGTGAAACTAACTAGTGATACATACTGATTATCTTAGACTGTCATAATCTTGTCATTTATTCAAGTGTTACATTGCTGTATTACATATTATGAGTTTGCAATTAGAAGTGGTCAGTAGTTTGGTCTTTTTTTTCTCCTTTTAGACAATTGATGGTATTGGCTTGATTGTAGAGCCCTCTCCTAATCTACCATTCTTTCATGTAATTGCTTCCATACCACAACGAAAATCGAATGAGGACATACAATCTTCTAAGGTGAAATCTTTTATTAAACATTACTCATCGTCGAAAATGTTTGAAGACTCCTTAAAGAAACCTACCTCTCATACACTGCCAAGCCAAGATGGTCTTGTACAACCGGATGCTGAATTAATTGCATTAGGTTTGGATAGCGCGCATAATTCTAATACTACAACACGAACGCGTACATTGCGTAGCGCCGTCGGAGGGAAATATGATTGTCATAATGTTAACGGCACTTCAAATACAAGGTAAGTATTTTTATCAATACACATTATCTGTGTTTCGTGCATTTTTATTTAATCGCATAATTAAGGAATCTGAGTCTGTTCTCGACTAAATTCCTTTCTGATGGTCCTTCAAAACAAATAGGAGAAACTTCCGATGATTTATTTTACGAGATACTATACTTAACTCATGGTAAGCATTTAGCTTCTTGTTAAAGCGTGCGTCCTCGAACTCTTGTCAAGATATCTAACGCAATCGAAACCGTAGAACCTGAATTATTTTTAGTAGATGTTTCGGAAACAATATTTTGAAGTATTTTGGTCAGAATAGATGATATTTGAACATGACCTTTGCACCTTATGTTAAAAGGGAAATTTTCTAATCGAAATAACCTATGTGATGTGGTATTTAAGATTCAAGGAAACATAGCCATTTAACACATAACGGGTGCTCAGAAACATTAAGGGATACCAAGCCGAAGTAATCTCATTACAAAAAAGACTTTCCCAATCAAATATACATCGTTCAGGGGGCTATGACTCAAAAGCATAATTGGCGCCGTTTGATGTGTTATAGATAAATAGTTTTTAATATCGAAGTGTATTTTTGAACACTCCGTCGATTAAAAGATGATATGCTAGCATCCAACCTTAAAGAGATTGTCAAGTGCATTGAAAAGAGGTGTGAAAGCTTATAAAAGACGTCACTTGATGTATAGACAACCTTTTGATGTCCAACGTTTTTACTCACAAGCATATTAGTAGAGATGATACTGTTTATTTTCGATTTTTTAGGACTTTAGTCTTATGGTGTCGTTTAATTTATTCAGAAATATGTGATGATGCTTTAATGTTTAGTGAAAACGTTGCTTAATGCAAACTGTATACTTGATTATAGTTTCATGCGTGTCAAGTTTGTTAACTGTAAAATGCAGTAGAGCAAACAGTCTGTACCTACGTTATTTTGGAATGGTAGATTGTGAGTCAGATGAATGCGTTGATTGTTTTACTTTTCTGAGGATTTATATCACATTATTATATTACCTTTTTGGTGAAATCTATTTTATTATTTTTTATTTATTTATTTTTTTGACTACAGCTTGATTCCACACTGTATTTTCGGTACAGGTGTGGAATTTTCAGCTTGTGGTATTGGTAGCCCAAATTTTGCAGGCCGACCATAGATACCAGGTGTGCGTCGGCAGGGATCGAACCTCGGACCATGTGCATGGTCGGCGAGAGTCCTAACCACTGTGCCACCGACGCAGGTATCCGAGATTTATTACCAGGAGAGTTGCAGTGTATATTATTCTTTACAACCTTGATGTTGGACAGCCCATTATGGAAGACGAAAAATGAGATTAATTATGTTTGAGTGATATTTATTAGTAAACTGAGTATAGCGGCTAATGGGCTTAATGTGTCATGAACTTTTTCAGGTGCCTAAGGTTTTACAAAAGTTTACTCAACAATCTACACAGGTGTGTGATAAAGTCGGGTTGTTTTGGATGAAACCTAATGGTTGCCAGACGACATCCACACATTCTCTAAAGCGTGTTTTAGACATCGCCTAATTAAAGTTTTCATGTTACAGATTGCCTCAGAAATGATCAAAGTCACAAAGACTTGTTCCCTTTTTGTTGTTTCCATTCTTTATTATCTAATGTTGCTTTTGTTTTTGTCTGCATTTCTTTTCTAATATCGCAGTCTTCTTTTGCAAACTTCTTCCTCTTTATGTTTAATTTTGATTCTATCTGTTTTTGTTCATGTGTTCTGCAGTGCATTATTAACTTTTGTCTCCATGTTATTTCCCTAAACAGCACCGTAACTCCTGCGGTCACTATGCGTCCAAAGTCAGCTACTTGCCAACCATGCGGCAATAGAAGTAGTAAAGATGATCCACAGATAGAAATGAGGAATACAGGAAAACATTCCACGTCAATATCACCTGCTTCTGGAACTGCTAACGATAATCTCACATCCATGTCTGAAACACCTGGGACACAGAAATCTCATTGTCTACCGTTATCATCAAATTGTCAGTTAGTTGAAGGAAGTGATGGTGAACCGGAGATTGATGTTGATACATTTGAAGGTAGGTAGACTTCTTAACTTGGTAAATCATTTTTTACAAGATGAGAAGTTGACAATACATACTAGATGATGTGATGGAAAAGGACTTAGTAAGAATATAGAACCTAATTATGTCCTGAATTATCCAAAATTCTGCTATTTGTCATGTTTTATTTTCACCATAGTCAACCATTTCGATATTATTATTCCTAGTATTCATGTTATATGCAAAGTGATTGCGTCAATTAGTGTGTACATGAGGTTATTTCATGAAGCAGTTATACCTACATTCTTATTCAAATTTCTTGTGTGAACTCAACAGAGTCGTGTATTTAAGGGAGTAAGGAGGGAATTATTTTCACTTTCCAGGATTGTCTTGTCTGCTTCCTGTAAACTAACAAATAAGTGATATTTTTCTCATATTTTAAAAGCTTTTTAAAGCTAATTGTCATCTGAAAAAAGTGTTTATTTGAACAACGTAATAAGAATAAATGTTGTGTAATAGGATGATTTCGTTATACTTCAAAGGATTTTCGTCTGTTGTAAAAGCCGTGTACGTTTTAAGAATCAAGGTTTCCGTCTAACACTTATTTGACAAAGTTGTGACTCATTCAGTCATAATTGTAATAATAATAGTGTAACAACAGAAGACAAGGGTCAGGCAACAGATCGTTTTATTATGAAAATCAACACGTATTTATACATATTTCACATACATTATTATAGCTTATGCAAGTAGACAAGCGCAGTCATCTGATTGGTTGTTTATCAGAAGTTAGGCAGACAAACGCAGGCTTCTGATTGGTTGTTTCGGGATTCCTCGACAAATAGAGTTCTCTATCTGCGAATCATATTTTGCCACGTTGACTTTGCTGTGATTGGTTGTTGAATCAGCCTTGCTCATATTTTCTCACGGCCTGCTCTCACCACAATAGTAATAATAATAATGAGCAGTCGACAAATTTATCTGAATAGCAACAGTGAAAATGGCGTCGTTATATAAACAGATATTCCGACAAATGCAATATATGTTAGTGCTTAGAAAACAAATATCTGTAAGGGAAGCAGATAAACTGAGTTTTAGTGAAGACATAAAACTTATAAAGCTCATTATAAAAAGATTTTGTGGAAGGAAAACATATTCAGAAGGGATATGAGTTCCCTCAAGGTTGCAGATACGCCTTGCTGACGAGTACTAAGTAGTACGAAACGTAGATCCATGGCTTCCTATCGATTTTCTCCAACCATCTAACAAAACCGTGATAGCCAGTCACATTACAAACTTGACTGATAGAATATACTGTACACAGAGGACTCGACACATTACACCAGTTACTAACTAGTGTTCAATCAACGTATTCCGTGTACTGATATGGACGTGTAAAAGAGATGACATAGTTATTAGTTGTATACTGCATAATGTCCAGCTTATTAGGTCCAACAACGATCAGTAAAGTCAGGCTCTTGACATATCCTAAGTTTTTTTTTTATTAATATTGAGTAGAAGAAGGGAAAACTTCACAATATTTTCTCTACAAATCCACTGAGCTATGTTGTCAAGCGATTGTTACTTGAACTTTATTTTTTAGGTCTTGGCAAACGTGGACTGCCTTTGGATGATAAATATGCTACTCTGCGCGCCAAAGATATTGCGAATTTGTTGATTCAACCTATCCCTAAGGATTTCGAATCTAGTGATTCTGTTTCTGACTGTGATTTGCCCAATGTATCTCACCGTGGTACAACCTTCCCTAATACCTATGCTGCTCAGGAGCGATCTGGTTTTTCATCTACTTTACCAAACCAAGTAAATGAAATATCCCGTTTACAAATGTGTGGGAGAACTTTACGACAACCCAAATACCTGAAAGAATTCAGAGAAAGACGTTTCAAGTGGTTTAGTAGTTCAAAAAACGAGACTATTTCTTCTTTGGCGATGGATGCTCATCTGCATTCTGCTTCATTACCACCTAATCTAACCGACCTTCCTCCTTTGCCATTGGCGCTTCCGACTAGCATTTCTACTATTCTAAGTCTTTCTTCGAGGGGATCTACTGGATCTAATACCTGCATTTTACCAGTAAATTTGTCCAGTGCTGATAAGAGAAGTAATACTGGTTCTGACAAAATGGATAACAAACCTAATTCTGTTCGCATACGCACATGTTCAAATTCGGTTGGTAAAATATCTTTTGATTGCAACTCTAAACCATTACCCATGCCTATAAATGGAGGTTATCAAGCTCCTCTTGGTTCATGGTTATCTGAACCTTTGGTGATTGGCGGATCAGTCGTTTTCAGTGGTGGATGGCCTCCTGCTGGACCTAGGTCACCTTTAGTTCTTATTCTAGCCGGTGGCCTAACTCAGTGTAGAGATATCCGAATAGACTGGACCCAGCACCTACCTGTTATGCTACTCGGTGTATTTCTGGGTAAATATTTTTCCAGTGTAACTTATTTACTACTGTACCGAATTTTTGTTTTTGATTATTTTCACAGCCTTTTTAGGTGCTTTGTAGATTTAGCGAAATACGCTGAGATTCAGTTGTGTGTTTATTTAAACAGATACCTCAAGAATTCTTATTATTGGCCTTTATTCATGCATACAGTTTTTACAAACCACTGTTGTCACTTATAAGTTTGCGAATTATCGTATCATTGATTACACCACAAATTTGGTACATTGTAGGCACCAAAAAGCTGCGCCACACAAAATATCGTAGTTTGTGTGAGTCCGGACGTCCAGACTGTAACAAGTCGTTGTATTAATGGACCACCTCCGAGTCTTTGACTTGAAGTCTGATCCACAGGGAAGTAGAGGAGAGGCAAGAGCTACGTTTCTAAAACAGGCCTATACACCTCTCGATGCTTTCTGATTCTGGAGCCCATGTAAGTTTGGAATCATGGTTTTCCAGCACCCTTAGGTCGACCTATATGTCCACCAATCCGATTATAACTTGCAGACGTTCGAATTCATCCTTCAACTTTTGTGAGGAACATCCCAACCACGTAAAGGTAGTGAATACTAGTTATCTGGCAGAGACTACGAACATATAACCACATGAGAGCATTTCGAAGGCAAACCACTCTTAGCCGCCTGTCTGTCTGTTTTCGACATAGAACTTTGCACAAATGTGCGGAAGTTCAAGTCGCCACACTCCATGTAGCGCACAAATCAACAGAAGAAAGTACAAGAAAAGCATAATAGAGACAGTGAGCAGAGGTGTGAGACAAAGGAAGAGTATTAACGAAGAACAAAACAGTTTGATTGGAAATCATAAGTCACAAGGAGTGGATGCATTTGCGCCACTGAGAACGATTTTGAGCCATGTGACCAATTGTTTCCAACCATTGGTTTTTACCGTCCCGACGACCCCAACCAGGAAGTCTACACCTTCCTACGTGACAGGCTTAGACTAACTGTTGTAGATTTCATTGAATGGTGCCAAGTTTTTGTTTGACCTCCGCTAGCTTTTCTCCAGCCTTACTCTATATCCGCTAACATTGCTCGTCGAGGAAGGCGATGACAAAGCATACGTAACACATGTCCTAACCATCTCAGTCTTTGTAACTTCACAACTTCGTTGATTGATTTCCCCTGTTTATCTAGCACTCGACGCCTAACCTCAATATTGCTCACCTTATTATACCACTTTACACGGGAGATAGAGCGTAGGCATCTATGATCAAAGACAGCTGATCTTTTCACATCTTCCACTCTCAGTGGCCAGGTATCACAGCCATAAACGAGGACGGGGTGGACTGATGAGCAGTACACCCGCCCTTTGGTCGATAGTCGAACATCCCGTCTACTCCAGAGATGGCGTAAACTGGCAAATGCGAAACGAGCCCCCTGTATTCCTGCTGAGATTTCGTCTGAGATCAACCCGTTGGGCTGATGGTACTTCCCGTAGGCGTACCAGGTCGTTTAAAGGGGCATCATTTGGAAGTATACTCTGAAGATGAGATTTTCTCAAAAATTAGTTAACTGTATAGTTGTGTTGTGCTTCCAAGTCCGACTTTGTCTTCTGTATACTTTTCAGCTGAATTCATTACAGGTAAAGTACCACTCCTGAGGAAATTTCAGATTTCGTTTTCTCTAAAAATCACAGTCCTGGTCTAGTTTTGAAACCCTTTTCATCATTGTTTGAGAAGCTTTTGTGTACAGTGGTATCTAGATGTTTATTCCAGGGTGTAAATTTCTCGACTATCTGTATATGAGCACTTTTGCAACCATACTCCCCTTTTTTAATATTGCTGTTGTTACTAACTTTGCACTATAATATGCTGTCTGTAGAAGAAACAAGCCACATTTTCTAAGACTTTTATCTAATCTACAAGGGGATTCATTTGTTCCATCAGAATCTTTGTGTTTTTACTGCAAATGGGGCACAGAAATACCTTTATATCCAGGAATTTTCAAAAGTCTTCACTTAGCTAGAAAGGGTATTTTTATTCTCATTCGACGCCTTAAACATACAAACATGAATGATTATTATCAGTAGACATTAGATATCTGGGTTAATTAGTTATATTTCTACAGTACATCACTAATATTTATCATTGTGATTTTCTCAAACTTATAGGCATTGATCACTGTCGTGCTCTTATACAAGAAGAATCTAAACAATTGCTTGTTTCTCTGTTAGACCAAGTCTGTCCACATCATGATGCTTTGCATTTATTGCGACTAGAACTGGAAGCGAATCTTCGTCGCCTTGCTCATCCGTCTGCACTGCCTGGTCCTCGAGTTCAAGACTACCGTCTGACTTTTGATGGTGGGCCGTACTGTGTAAGTAATTTTTATGTAACTGAAGACCTTACAAATTACTTTGTTATGCATATGATACTACAAACAGCTTCCTGGTACGTGTCTTTCGGTTGTAAGAGGTCTTTTAGCCAATGCAACAGAAAACATATTCTGAAATATGTTGCTGATGAATTGATGACTTTATAATTTAATTACAATTTTACTTTAATCCGAAATATAAAAATCTTTTGGATTTTTTTGCTCTCTGATCTATATTATTCTTTCCTCTCTTCTAAACCGGTTTTCGGTGGTTGTGTTGGTTTTTGCCTGCTTTCAGTTTAGTCCTTGCTTTTGATGTGTTGCACTTCTTAGTATGGGATAAGCTACACAATGTATTCAGTAGTCTTTAAAACAGAGTTGAATTGTGAGGTACCTAATAATAAACTAGTATTTAGTTGTATGAAATTTCCGTTCATATTTCTGTATTGCATAACCTCGTCTTCGCTTTCTGATTCTCATGAACAGTATTTATGTCATTTATAGAAGTTAAAAACGTGTTTTCTCTATATTACTAGTAACTTTACTTACTTTTCTACTCTGTTACAGGAAAAATTCAACTTAGTGATCGATCCTTTCATGACAATTGAAAGTGATAATCTGTTTTCATCACCAATAGTTTCCAGCAGAACAGTTAAATATGACGACACGGAGCAGTTTAAAAATATGCCTTCAACTGAAAAAGAGCCAGATGGTGATAGCCATACAACCTCACTTGATTTGTTACCGCTGAAAGATATTGATGTAACAGCTAGCTTAGCTGCTAGTCCATCTTCACCGAACTGTAGTCCACCGATGATTACACAGCTTCAAACTAATCCAACACCTTTGATAAAACAAGGTCGACTGAGTGATTCTATGTTCAGTCTTACGAGTACGGCAACTCTAATTCCTCGTCATCAAGATGTTAATGTCTCGGAACCACAGTATTTTAATGATACTACAATGCATAAGTCAAATATAGTCAATAATAGTAATAATCAAACTATTGATGTTTCAGAAAAACATGTCCTACGTAGCAAAACACTTTCGAACGCGACTCGACCTTCATCTGTGTACACTAGTTCACAACCGTCGAAAACAGCGACAACAAACCATGTCCAGACATCCAATTATCATCCTTTGAAAATGGAAAAGTCCAAAAAAGTCAAAGAATCCGACTTAAAACTGTTAGAAGAAGCTATTCAGCAACTTAGATGTATACTTCTAGATGGGTAAGTTTAGTGTTTCATTGCAATATCGCTTTTACATATATATAGTGCTTTAGAGAAGGTCTGTTATCACACAGTGTATCGATTAGCTTGTCTCTTGCTGCATCGAGTTAGCTGCATCAGTTTAACAGATACTTAAGAAGTTGTAGGAAATTAATTATGCTCCTAACTCCTGAATAACTTCAATCTGAGTATTCTTAATTTTTCCACTGAATAAGATTTTTTCTAGTACATTTAATGGTTGTTTTCCTCGTAAAATAAATCGTCTATAAATCCGTTAAGACAGTGTGCTGATAAATGCGATTGTCGAATTATTGATTATGTTTTTGGACTATCAGTTAAAATTCCATTACCGAATTACTGAATCGTCTGATAATGTTATTTAGTTTAAACTGATTTCCATTCAGGGTACCTCGACTTTTGTGTGACTTCTTACTATTACAATGATACTGAGCGTTTGTTTGTTTTTAACGGCTCATGAACCTGTATTACATGGATCTGATTGACATTGCGTGTTATCTGTAGTAGATGTAGTTTTCTCTCTGTTTGGATTTGTGTTACATATAATTTTAATACAGTCATAATTATTATTTTGTTTATGTAATGATGAGGTGGTGGTTTGTAGTACATCTTTTTGTTGTCTGAGTCAGTGAATGTTATGATTTCTGTTCATTGCCAAATAATCGAATTTTCCACTGTATGAATTAGTGTTTGTATTTCAGTATTCATTGCTATCGTTTTGATATTTTAGTTTAGGACAAGCTTTATGGACTTGGGAAGATTTTAATATGCAACGGAATTCCTTCAATTCAACAATCCAATCAACCTATCAGTATGAATGTAATCAAATATTTTCCAATGAGAAACCAGAAATTAAAGAATCCACAATAAAAACAAAGATGAATATGAACTCACTTGAACAACTTGTTAAACTAGTTGCTCGTATACTTTCCTTATCTGAAGCTGGTTCTGAGGAAGCTGAAAATTGTTTACAATGTCTACATGGCCCACCACATGATCATAACAAACGAGGTGTAGTAGTTGATCAAGATGATAATTGCAAAGATACATGGTCTGATCATTCAAATTATTGCTTGGTGGCACGTTTATCGCAAGCTGCTTTAAACACTGGTTTATCCTGTCCTAGTCGACATTATGCCAGTCGTTCTTTACAGATTCACCGTGCTCTTGGTGCACATTTGGACAAGAAGTCTTTGTCACAGTTATTAGCCAGATTAGGAGAAACAGTATCCGATGGCAATGAAGAAATGCAGGTAAATTCTCTCTTTCTGCACAGGTAGACGTTTATATATACTAACTGTTGTGTTTTAAGTGCTATGTTATCGCACTGGTTTCTGATTCCTACAAAGCATATTTCTTCTATATACGTACTACTGATGAATTCGTATGAGTAGTTGTATGCCACCCACTTGAGTCATTAGTTCTTGCTACCCAAATCGAAGTGATCTCAACACCGGGCTGCTCCGCTCGTTTGGGGCAGAGCTCATCAATGGTGTACTCGGCTAGCTAGCTAGCTACTAGGACGAACTATTAATACACTCATTGAAAATTACTAATTCGATTTATTAGTACATTTATATTAGGTGAGTCAAAATTTGCTGAACGTTAACGTTGTTTTCGCTCTGAAATCTGACTTAAAATCAATGAAATCCGAACAAGTACAACACATGCTAATTCTTTAAACTTCAAAATCATCCTTCAATGTTTCCTAATGTAGTAATAATATTGGAAACGAATCAATATGGGGAACTCAGGGATCAAATAAATAGTACGTTCACGTTATGAAGGGAAGAAATTAGACTTCTGGAAATTCTACTGCACAAATAAGAAACATTTCGCTTATATATTATTCGGCTGACGCCCATCTTCTGATGGTTGATGGTATCATACCATTGTTTGAATCTGAATTAGTGCGTCGGTGGCACAGTGGTTGGAACTCTCGTTGACCATCCACATGGTCCGAGGTTCGATCCCCTGCCGACGCGCACCCGATATCAATGGTCGGCCTGCAAAATTTGGGCTACCGATATCCATGCTGAAAATTCCATACTTGTACCAAAAATACAGTGTGGAATCAAGCTGCAATCAAAATAATAAAAATAAATTAGTGTAACGGAACTAAACCCTTTCATATTGGTTGAAAACTGATATTCTAAACTGTTGTACCATGATCCCACTATTTTTTATGATATTGGAATTCAACTCAATATCATACGATTAGAAACCGATAATCTCACCGTATCATTGCTTAAAAGACATATTACTTGTGTTCCCATATAATTACAACATATGTTGACGACCACAGTGCTGGAATGAACCACTGTTCAAGTGTTTATCTTTTATATAAAACACTACACAATATTGCTCCTACGTAGTCTGTTGGTTAGGATTCCTGCCTTTCACCTAGGTTACCCGAGTTCAACTCCGGTTATAGAATCACTTCTGTTTGTCAGTGGTTTCATGGTAGACTGCTCCCTGACCACGCACATGGTCCGAGGTTGACTCCCAATCACCAACGCACTCCTAAATCCTGTATAGCCGGTAGTAAGCTCGGTATAGAAAAAAGGTTAGTCATGAAGCGGATGATTTAACTGAATAAATACAGTACCAGCGCTACTGTAACTTCAATACCTGAAGCTTGAAGCTTTATATTCTTCTCTAAATGAAAAGGAATGAAAAGAAAACTAATGTGCTAATGTTCTCTGAATGGGTAGTTTTAGTAAAACAAAATATGACTAAGATTTTTAGTTATGAGAAAGCACTGAACTTGCTAGTGATAATGTCCGTACTCTCAGTGTACAAACAGTTTCTGATCAAATAATTCAAATGCGTCGTTTACTCACTCACTTAAATAATATGATTTGAAACCTGGATGGAGAAAAAGTCCTTATGTTGTTGTAGATTTTATATTGTACTTTATGTTAGAAAAATATTTGGCTCATTTTGAACAATCTTTTTCGATAGATGGTTTTGTAACTTTTTTTTTACCATCCTAACTTTTTAAATCACAAAGTTCCATACTTCAGAAATTATACTACTTTGTTTCCTGTTTTGTATAATTTCCCTCCAGGGATATGTAGCTGAACTTTTTGTAACACAGGAGGCAGCTATTCACCACCTGAAAACAAGAAGTGATAGCTTACTGGAACCTGTATCCACACTTGCTCCTGATCCTGCCTCTCCATCATCTAGCTCCATTAGCGGGAATGGACGCAAGTCCATTCAGAGTATAGTCTCAATATCTGATCGTCGGCATTTACATCGTCATTCAAAGTCATCATCTCTAATCGGAAATCGTCCGTTCATTTAAACACTGTGGTACCTGTCAATGATTCGCCAACACTTAAATCCGATCAAGCGAATTCTCCGTCTTCAGAACGCGTTTCATCATCACCTTCATCAATCCCATCTACTCCAAGGTAGGTTACATTTATTTACTAAAGTTATTATTATTATATGAAAATAAAAGTTATTACCTTTTCGTGTGTATGCTGCTTATTATATAATTTGAAACAATTCAATGTCGTAACCAATGGCTTAATGTAGGAAACTGTAAATTGAGCATTTGATTTTGACGATAGGAGTACCGTAGAGCGAGATCCTTATTGTTTCATTCATCTTAGACCTTTGACATGATGCAAATACTTCAACAAATTAGTAAACAATAATTCATATGAATTGTGATCAAGATTTGACTGAATAGTTCAAAAATAATTGGCTGCCGAGTGAGAAGTAGATATTTGTAAAAATTATATTTGTAAAAATCTCAGAGAAATTGAAATGCCTAATTCCAACGTTTCGTTCCGAACTTCTTCAGGGAAATTAATCGAAATTAACATAACAGAGGTTTATATATGAATAGGAAATCTCGTGTTTTTAAAATCTTTGTCCAACCATATGAGTCATGAAACAGTCATCAAAAGATGATAAACAAAATGGTATGAGCTGTGATCAAAATTCGACCTCAAACTTGCAATTATTTGAATAAGGCATTTAAAAGACAAATTTCGCTAGATGATATCATCTCGTAGTTTCTCCACAATCACTTTTTATAAATACTCTGGGATAATTATTTGATTCAAGAATGGATCGAACCAATTTAAGTTCCTTGCTGATCTGTTCCTCCTCAGTAACTAGACGTTTGACTCTGTTAATAAATTTCTTGGCTACGGTTACTAAGGAGAAAGAGATCAGCAGGGAACTAAATTTGGTTGAATCCACTCTTGAATCAAATAATTATCCGAAAGCCTTCATAAAATGATACTTATAATGTGAAGATAAGGATGGATCGAAACCTTTTGCTAAGAATTTGGTTAGTACAACGGTGATTCCTTACCGCAAAGAAACTTCGGATGAGATAAAGTAAATCCTTAATAATCATGACATAAGAGTGTATTTTCGTGCAACTAACACCTTACGTTCATCACCGATCAAGGTTAAAAATAAAATTGAAGAAGAAAACCAACAGAATTGTGTGTAACCAGTTCAACTGCAAAATTTGGGCTACCGATATCCATGCTGAAAATTCCATACTAGTACCAAAAATACAGTGTGGAGTCAAGCTGTAATCAAGAAAGAAACTGTGGGGACTGTGATGCCTTAAATGTGGGAGAAACTTCCAGGCAGGTAAATATAAGAGGGGAAGAGTTTACACAATGCTTAAAGGTGGTTCCAAAGACCTCCGCAGACTTAAAGAAGCTAGAAAACAGATCAGTGATTGCACTGCATTAGATAGACTAAAGTTCTAAAAAAAGGTTTTGGTTCGTATAAAGTGAGAGTAATTGCAGAAGCTTTGCGTATATAGTTGAATCCCAACAGTTTGAACAGATTTGAAGGTGTGATGTTAGCTGATACATGATAAATCCTGATTAAATGAAAAATGGATATGTATCACTAATTAATCATACTTAGTCTAAATTTCCGATTGCCTACATCCTCTTATTAAGAGGCTAACAAATGTTTTACAACCTTTTACCCATACACATATGCATACACATACACTATTGTATACTGCATATACACATATATTTTCTTATTCAGTTATCTACCACCATGAATGTAATCAGTCAAATTCTGATAAAAAGTACTCTCTATTTAAAGTGTTTAACCAAAAGTGGACTAGTACTTGTAAGTCTGAAGTCAAATTTCGACCACAACTCATACAATTTTGTTTATCGTGTTTTGGTGACTGTCTCATGACTCATATGATTGGAGAAAGATTTTAAATTTTCTATAGTTTGGTTTGTAAGGGTTAGTTATGTTTTTATAAGTTGATCCCGGATGGATAACAGTTAGAGAACCATTGAAAACCAGGGAGTACTGGACAGCTGTTCCATCCTAGTTTGGGAATCACTCACTGGGGTTCGATTTTAAAAACACGCGATATCCTTTTCATACATAATGTTAATTTCGATTAATTTCCCTGAAGAAGTTCGGACAAGTTTGCCGAACGAAAGGTTGGAATTAGGTATTTCAATTTCTCTGAGATTTTACAAATATAATTTTTTGCAAATGTTAGAAAACAATTGTTAAGTATGACAAATTATCTAATAATAATAATAATAACAGCTTTATTCCAAACAGTATTTGTGGTACAGGTATGGAATTTTCAGCGTCCGTTACAACATATTACATCTCATTACCTCGTAAATTTTATAAGACTTTAAAATCAAAAAGCAAGGCAAAAAAAAGATAGATAGAAGGAAAATAAAAACAACAGCGTTGCGTTTACATTTTAAACAATGCACCACAGGATATGAAGTATAAAATTGGTGTGTAATAGAAGATGAGAACAACAGTGCAATAGTAACGAGGAAAGAAAAACAAAAACTAATGGGACTATTTGTTAGAGTGCCGCAGTAAGTTGATCGTATCTTACCTATTAGAATATATGTTTATTGGAAAGCTGGATTTTGTATTAGAAGTCCTTATAATCGACATCCCGTTTTTTTTTATTAATTTTCGAATGAGAATTTTGTATTTTCGACATTTTACGTGTAACCATGTTCACTGGTGAGAAGAAAGCTAATAACTGTACATTGTATCACTTAAAGTAACAATTTTTTGTCTCTTGTTCTTATTTTAGTCATTTTACGAAGAAATCTCACACTTCAGTTACATCTTCACCCAAGTTAATTAATCAAAATAATAGTGTATGCTTGTTACCTGCAGCAGAGCGTGCCGATTTAATTGTTGGCATCTTCTGGACGGGTGTTCTACTATTGGAATCAGATTTTGAGCATGAATACTCAGTTGGTTTGAAGTTACTAAGCTTAGTTATTCCAAGTGTCTGTGCGTCAAATCCCAGACATTCATCTACAGCACATGGTTCAAGAATTAATCTCAGTGATAGAGCTCAGAAAATGCTTAATCAATTGCGTTGGAATCCGTATTTCCCTGGGATACTCAGTTTGGTGATTAAAGTGAGTTGTTTTTAGTATGGACTGCTTAATGAGAGTTTATCTGTTTGACTTTGGCTTTCACATTCTTGTCTTAAAGCTGAAAGTAATACCTTCACGAGACTGTATTTCGTTTTATCTGATTGACAGTGGTCACTTGGTGAACTAAAGAATTAATTCAAGATAATAGGTGTAAGTTCACCTTCATTCGAATTATTCAGAAGAACTTTAAAATATTTTTATGACGTCTGCAGTCACACACTTGGCGAGCAGTCATTCTTCTAAAGACATGTGGACCCTTGATCCTTGTGACACATCCTCTTAAATGACTAAAATGATACAGTTCGAACAGTATCACTTCTCATTAGGTCTTTTAACTTGAAAATACGTCGTTCTTTTGACAAATGCAACTAGTTATCTGTATTTCATGATTACATTATCTTTTGTTCATGCCTTTTTCCACCCAATATATATTGTGTTTCCTCCCTTTCTAACACAGGGTTGCTCTTCGCCAAATCTAGTAGATCAAGCCTGCCGATTACTCATAATATTAATACCGTTTCTTACTCATCCTTTGGTAGTACCATGTGGGCGTATGGGTTTACCAATCCAAATATCACTTCCCATTGTTTTGCTTACTCTTATGCCTATGTTGACTACTGCATGGGATGAAGACCCGTCCACATCAGTTCCCATTAATCCATATGAAATGAGTTCTGAACAGTTTAGTTTCTTACAGGGTGGTTTTCTTGGTCGTGGTGTAAGTTCATCATTGAACATTATACCTCGAGCACTTGGTTCATGGACGTCATGTTACTGCACTGCACATACTTCATTTGCGAACCCAAACTCAACCGTGGCATCAAATTCAAAAATGAGGACGGATAGTGTAGGACTTTTTGGCAATTACTCTTCAAACAGTCTTGGGGTTTTCAGTGGAGCTGAATCAACCTTAAATTTAAATATGATAGGTACAGGAAGTATAAACCGTGATGTGAATTCGATTCCCAAATCACCCGTTTTACGACCGAAGAATCCCGTATGCATTCAGGTATGTTTTATAAATGTTAATCTACTCTTTCTTATATTTTCAAAGTTACATTTTATCAATTTATTTCAGGTTTGACGTCAGATTGATATCAGTTAGAGAGCCATTAAAAAACAGAGAGTACCGGGACGACTACTTCATCCCACTTCAGAACTTTTCAGCATTACACACCCATGACCCCACCAGGGATCGAACCCGAGACCTTCAGGTTACGAAACCAAGCTCGTTGACCATCTAGGCACTTGTGTTGGAATTCGGTAACGCGTGAATTCTTCACTTCAGCGCTACCAGCAACCAGTGTCATCGGAGAGTATTTGTCCTGACATCAATCTAGAGTACCCTACTAGTTACGATGTCTCTCTAGAACTACAGACCTGTTTTATCGTTCTTGATCTTTTTGAATGAATATAACTGTAAAAATTAGGGTGGTGATAAACAATTAGTTTTGATCATATTCTGTACCTCGAAGTAATTAGAACTGATTTTATTTTTTCCGTTTACTATCTTTATGATCCTATTACGTAATACGGTTTAAATAAATGCATTACATTCTTTGCAGCATATTATTATCTTTGAACATACTGGGTTTCACCAGAATCACAGTCAGGTCTTCTTAGGGCATTCGTGAGATCAAGCCATGGTTTTAAGGCATTTGGTTAGCTGGGGTGAACTTTCTTCCGATCTCAGCGTCACTATTAGGGTTAGGGTAGGCAAGCGACTATTACCGCCACTCAATCCATCTTTGAGTAGGATATTTGTAAATATTGTAAAATAGGAGTAAAATTAACTTACTGTAGTATCCTTATATGAAAATTGATCTCTGAATTTTATTTTTAGGGTTGCCTCTTTTATGTGCAAGTGAATAGCACTTATTGAACAAGTTTGTTTGCATAACGATTTTCTTCTCTGCGGTGGATATGCTTTTTTTTGCTTATTGCTATTGTGAACACCGTATCGCGTCTGTACCTTCAATCCTCAGCTTATGTTGTACTTTTTTTTAGGCTGCTGAATCACTTGCTCAGGCTGCACTTAAAATAGATCCAGTTCAATTCAGTAATTTAGCGCTTGTACTAAGACTCTATGCTTCTGGTAATTTTTCCAAGGATGTTGATCAGTGGAGCAAGTGTGTTATATGCTATCTGTTAGAAGGTTGTGGATCAAATGCACCTCGTATGCTTAAACACATTAATATGGTGAGTTGACTCCTGTTTTCAAACTTCTTTTTTTTTAAGTACTCTGTTTGCTTGCACTTATGTTTACAAGATGTATTGATTGAGTTGAGAAGAATTCTCCAATGTATACAATGATTGTAATTTGCCACTAATTTCTCTTCTCTGTAGTATTAATACGCATAGTACATTATCTGTAGAATCTTAGACGATAAATAACCAGCGGAATGTCTTGTGTTGACTGGATTAGGCTTAAGATACGGGGGATTTTGTGCGATCTGTCTTTTTGAAGATTCACCGTCACAACGACTAATTGTTTCTGTCAAATTTATTCTGTTTCAGAAAGACGATTTACAGATCGCACTGATGAATTGAATGCAGTTTGTATTCCACTTAAATATAACGTATTGTATATAGTCATTGGTGAACCACTTGGAAAAGCAATCAAGACCTATGACTCTGACTCATTATTTTGATTTAGTTTTAAATAGCATACAGTACTACAGTGTATTAACTTTATATGACTATAAGGGTTTTTTTGTAGAATAATGTGCACTAATTCAGTTGATACACACACACCTTTCAATGTTACACTGATACATACATAGGTTGTGTAATGTCATTCCTTTCTTTCATGAACGGTTGTCTTCTTATTTTTTTTTAGCTATTAACTTCTGGACCACCATGTCTTCAATTACCGTTACTAAAAGTGGCTTATTTATTCCTACAACAAGTCGATATTAATCAGCCAGATTTAGGGTCTTCTCTACAAAACTTTATTACATCGATTATTGGTCAGTTTCTTGGGGTAAGTGAACAGTTTTCATTGATGACATTGTGAATTATGTTTATTTTACTGAAAAACACAATAGAATATTTATTATATAGAGTATAGCATGACTAATAGATTATAACCATGTTTAACTGCCTTAATGGTAGAATTTGAAACGGTCTACTCCTCTAAGATAAGATAAGATAATAGCTTTATTCCAAATCAGTACTTGTGATACAGAATGGAATTCTCAGCATTTTACTACAATATTGCATCCAGTTAGTACATTAACAATAAATATAGTTCTACATAGATTAAAGTTATCTCAGTCAGTTTTGACAACAACATATTAGCATGTCGGTAGCAAAGCCAAAATTTAAACAGTGTTTGAAGGTGTTAGAAAAGTAGATACTACTAGCATATTTACTGGCGTAAGCGATAGCAAAATGGTCGAGATATACAGAGTGTGAAAGAACGAACAAGAATGTTTTAAGTAGAGTTTGTAAGGAAGAGAGAAACAAAACAGCACATAACAAAAATAAATACAGAAAGAGAAAGAAAAAAAAGTAGAGAGAAAACGTTGTACCTGTAAATGATGTGAGTTGGAAAGACGAGATCCATTTGTTCTACTGACTATTTAATAAGTTAAAGGTTTCACGCCTAATGCTTTCTTTATCGCACAGAACACGAGCTAGGTAGGGTATGGATGAGTTTTTGTACTTACTAGTGCGGGCATATAGTTTCCTATATAGGCTTCTGGTTTTCCCTGAAGAGATACATGGGAAGAGTTGTGAATGTAGAGGGTGTTGTGAGTCAGATAAAATGGATTTCGCCCATTTTTCACATGAGTCCATGTGCCTGTCCACCAGAATATTAACAAGCTGGCTAAGTGGCAAACTGCTTACCCTGCTGACAACCTTTAACATCCTACGTAATAAGGTATAGTCTTTCTTCAATAGCCCAGGAAAGACTAAGGGGGACAATAGAGAATAATAGGCAGAATACGGAAGTTAACAAATTGTAGGAGTAAGGGTTGGGTTACACCAGAATGTCTTAACTTCTTGATGTAGAAGGTAAGACGGAATATTTTCTTAGAAATCGTCAAGATATGAGACGACCAGGAAAGATCAGAAGATAGAGTGACGCCTAGGTATTTAATTTCCGACTTGGTTTCAATTTCACTGCCATCTATGTTGCACACCTCGTGAGTGCTAACCAGTTTGTTTAGGTCAGATTTGTGCCTAAAGGTGAAATTAACTGTTTGGCATTTGGAGGGGTTTAAGGTGAGACCGTTTTCCTTGGACCATTGGCTGATTTCTGATAAGAAGCCATTTAGTTTAGAGCAGTCACTTTGACATTTGACAGGTAAAGATACAGTTAGGTCATCAGCATATTTGACAAAGTTAATGTCATTTGAAGATGGTAGGTCATGTAGGAAGAAGGAAAAGAGAAGTGGGGAGAGTACAGCACCTTGGGGGACACCAGCTTCAGTGAGCACAGCAGAGGAGGATTCGCCTTTGTATACGGTGTACTGCATTCTATTTGAAAAGTAGGAATGCAACCAGTTAGTGACCCAGGACTCGGTTTGTCCTGGGTCAAACAGATAAAGACGTTAATTCATCTTATTTAGGTTGGAAATATACAGAAAGGTATTGTAGGCTTCTAGGCCAGGATTCAAAATGTGCTAAAAATTAAGCGTTGGTAATCCTAATCGATATAACTTAGGTGGTCCTACTCTCTCTCTCTCTCTTCCTATATTACATATATGTTTCTTCACTATTTGGTGGTAATATTCTTCTCCACTTAATATCTTCTTCGTTTTGTTGACTTTTCTTACCCATGCTACTGAAAATTATGCAATTCAAGATGTTTTTGACAGCTAGTTGCTATTGCTGTTTTCTCCCCTTACTTAATTGTTTACTCCAGCGACAGGGTTCTTTTTGAAATAATTAATCATCTAGTCTCAAAGACTGAACTTAAAAGTGAACCTTAGCCGGTAAATTCTATTGCAAGAGCACCACATCATTTTCCCTATAAGTACTTTATTGTAGCTATCACTAATCGACCGCAAATAAGTTTATACCATTTTGTAGTGACACAGGTTGATATTCAATCACTTAAAGAAAAGCAGTTAAAGTGTTCCCGTGTTTGCAAATTAACGAGTTTGGCTACTTAGTAATTTTGTTCTATTGTTCCCTCATAAATACACTGTTTGTAAACAAGCGTACAATTCTTCTGTCCCAAATGTCGTCTAATCAGTTTATTATTTTCACTAATTGCAATTATTCTTTCTTTTTACTGGGTAATGGTAATTCGTTTTCTTGCATGCTGTGATAGTGATTTCACCACTACATCCTAGTTTTATCAGGATTGTGAAGTTACCAATAATGAAAGTTGGCTTGTAGATTAGTTGTCTATTGCTTAAAGTTTTGGTTTTCGTTTGTTGTTTCATAAATTATTTTGTGTAGATCTGTTTGCTAACACACTAACCAACCCGTTTACTTTCTTTCTTCGTGACAGACCAATTTATGGTCCTATGTTATTCCAATTCTGCAAGTCACTGTTTCACGTTCAGCTGTGTTAAGCACTGTGCCAGAAACTCCTGCATATACCCTACCTGGTTTGGATCCTTCAGGTAGTGGTCGCATTTTAGACTTCGCAGTTGCGGCTGCAGCAGTTGCTGTTCCACTTCCAGAAAGTGAACCTCCGAGGTTAGAACTTGCTGGTCCTGTGTTAGACTTTACTTTCAATGTTTTTCAAGAAGCACCATTACTAGCTCCTGAATTTGCTCCAAGCTCTTCATCAAACGCGAATTTAGAAAATATCTCCAAGGTGGATACTGCTTCGTATGATTTTTCTCCTCTAAAAGGAAATAGAAAAGACTATATTGATGCCAGTGATATTGGTTTGACGGAAACATTTGTTTCAGCTTCTGGTGGATGGAGTAAGCCAGGAAGTTGTCAGGTATACATTGGTTTTTCTTCATTTATTTCAACTGAAAGAGTATTGTGCTTTCCAACATATGAAGTGTTCCATGTAAAGTTTTTTCTTTCCAGTGAATTCGGTGCGTGTTAATTCATGTCTTAATTGTGGGGTAAAATGGTAGTTTTGTCATCAATTTCTGATTACTGAAATTTTAGTGTATTTCTGTAATGCGTTTGCTAGTGTTTAGAAATGATCACAGAGGTAAGAGCAGTTGAAGAACCTGCTAGTTAAATAGTATTAACTGTGCGAAGAAAAGAAGATGAAGATGGTTGATAAGCAGGAAATCTTTGTGCTTATAAAAGTGTGTGGAATTCGATTTCTTCTTGAAAAACAATATTGATTTGTTTATTAGATATATTACACAGTGAAACAGTATTATTTAATGGATGACGTTGAGAACACAATTTATCGTTCATAATCATATCAGTTATAACCACACAACTTCCAAACTTTCGTTTCATAGTTTTCTTTATTCTCTCCCATTCGTCCTCTTGAAATACTTGAAACAGAGAGAGTGATAGTGTCGCATGACCACAGAGCCTAGGGGATAACTGTGTGGGGTCGGACATCCACGGCCTGTTTGGTGTTGCGTGCGTACGAAGAACTTACCATCAGTGATGGACTACCGCGCAATATATCGGGATTTACGGGATCCATATTTCCTAATTTCCTCTTCACAAATTTGGGAGACAACATAACTAACTCGCTGATAGTCCGAGAGAGATGCTTTACTTCTTGTGCACCCGTGTTCGCCAGCATCAAGACTTCACCCTTAGGCCCCCATCATAGTATCAACGAACTTACACCATAATGGTAACTGATCTTAGTCTAACCGCTATCCAGGAGACCTTTGTAACATGATAAGTCCACCTATGTTTCTTATTATCATTTACACCCAGTTTGTCTGACATAATAAATGTCAGTCTGTTGTAGAAGGTGTATGTTTATCCGAAGAACTTCTAGTTAAGAAGTCTTCTCATGTATTTTGGTTTAGTTAGGGTTCAAATCAAAAGACTTCGTCAACTAATTAATAGCAGTTGTCTGTTATATTTGTTTGTTTCTTTTATTATTTCATTCAAATAAGCCTTGAGTATTCTCGATCGATTTAAACTCTTTTAACAATGCTGACATCACTTTCACTTGAGGCATTTTCTAAAACTACATTTCTTCTAATTGTTTTCAGTCACGTTTGCGTGAAAAACTGTATCGTCTAGTTGGTTGTTATGGTATGCCTGCACAACAATGTATCAGTGCTCCAAGAAGTCCATCGGTAAATGACTATATATATATATATATCAATGTTCCTGTGAATTTATTTTGACTTTAACCGTATTGATTTTCCGTAGAACTAGATTCAATAGTATATCTAATCCGTATATGTCACTTAGTTTGTCTCTTTTTGTACAAATACCTCTTGCACATGGAATACCAATAGCATCAGCCTTTTTATGAAGCGAATATTTTTTTTGAAATCTTAGTTACACATTTAAACTATAAAACTAAAATAGCAACAGGATGTCTAGAAGATCTCAATGACATTCACTAGTAACACCCCTCTTTTCTGATTTAAAATTCTTGTTGTATTCTTAACTCTTCATTTAGTCAATTTTCTTGAGAGCAAAAAGCCGACGAAGTAAACTGTTATTTCTTCTTCATAAGCGTCTATAAAATGAATTTATGGCTAAAACATTTTCCAAGCCTTGTCGATGATCATCCCGGTCACTAAGTTATGTGCATAGTTGAATATTTAATAATAATTGCTTGAGTAAGATATAGTTTAAAGCGTAATTTACTTGATGAACCGGTAGCAAGAAAAGCTATTTAGTTTTCATATATTTGCATCAGTGGATTTTGACTCGTTTGGCTAAAAGGTGTATGTATGTGTGTCGGTGGCACAGTGGTTAGGACTCTCGCCGACCATAAACATGGTCCGGGGTTTGATCCTCTGCCGACGCACACCTGATATCTATGATGGGCCTGTAAAATTTGGGCTACCGATATATTTTTTTTCTTTCCTTCACGTTCCCAGTGGAACATAGGGCTTCAAGCTAGTGACCTGAAGTTTCTGTAGCAGTCTTCATTTTACAGGATGGGGTTGCTAGTCTCATGCCCAACCTTTCCTCTTTACCAGCATTATTTCTGGCTCAGCGAGGTAAAGGAGTTCGTCGGCCGGGAATCGAACCCCGGACCATGTGCATGGTCGGCGAGCGTCCTAACCGCTATGCCACCGACGCTACCGATATCCATGCTGAAAATTCCACACCTGTACCAAAAAAAATACGGTGTGGAATCAAGCTGTAATCAAAAAATAAAATATGTTTAACGTAGCTGTGTATTTAGAGATTGAAGGTTCACTCAGTTAAAAAGAGTTTCATTTCGCTTGTTAGGCAGTTACTAAACTCTAGTGATTTTTACACTGTCGTTTTCAGACGAGACGTTTATTTTTCCCAGCCTTTTATTAATTATTTCTGTGTTAGTTAGCATAGCTTCTTCCTCCCCCTCTACCCATTATATTTCACTTAGTTTCAATTCCACAAACTTTTGGCTTTAAATATTTCAGTGTAGCTAAATAAAAACTTAGTATAGCTTATCATGTGTGTTTTTTTCGACTATTAGATTTACGCTTTTTCTTCCTTTTGTCTAACAAATAGGTTATCTTCAGTCAATCCACTGAAACATTAGACCCACAATTAAGCGTTCATTCCAGTAGCGAAACAACATCTGTTGTCGATATAAGCAATTCAGGTTTGTGTACAGTAATCTTCCTCTTTTTTTTATAATTTATATGTTATTTTCCTCTTTTTGTTTCTGTTTTATTTGTATAGCGCTTTTATCTTCTATTTTTATCAGATACACGGTCATATTAATGTGTGTTACTCTACTTTTGTTATTCTTTGTATGCTGTTCTGTCAGTTGCGTATGTAATATCAAATCATGACAGTTATTGTTATTTTGTGAATTAAAACAAAATCTGAAATGAACATGAGGTTTCGTTTTATTTGTGGTTGGAATAGTCAAAAAAATTTCCGATTTATTCAGAGTAATTTTCAACCAAATCAAGTTAATAATGAATGTCCTGTGTACCACACAAATATTTTAAAATGAAGATATAAGTTTTTAGAAAAATGTTATCAAATTGAACAGTTAAATGCTAAGTGAAAAGTTCTCCATGTATATATGATGCTTTTAAATAAAATGAAGCATAACAATATAGCCCCGAGTTTTACCAATCAGTTCCTTTCACCTTGAGAAGGTTTTATACATTTCTGCATAAGGCTTGGAAGGTCGGTAGACTATACTTCCTTAGAATGGTCATTTCTACCCCAATGATACTCATTCGCGTTGTAGCACATGTTGAGATTTTATGGAAGATTCGCTAGGCCTATAAATGCAACACAATTACAAACCATGTGATCGATGTTTGACACAAAATTATGCGTCGCTGGCACAGTGGTTAGGACCCTCGCCGACCATGCACATGGTCCGAGGTTCGATTCCCTGCCGACGCACACCTGACATCTATGGTCGGCCTGTAAAATTTGGGCTACCGATATATCCATGCTGAAAATTCCATACTTGTACCAAAAATACAGTGTGGAATCAAGCTGTAATCAAAGATAAATAATAAAATAAATCAGTAATTACATCAATTATAATGACTAAATTCACTTTTGTTTTGAAGTCAAATATTGTCCTATTTACAGTTTTGTTTTTGAGGTTTTACATAACTTTTTCTTCATTTTTAACAGATGATATACGCCTTGATGATACAAGCAGTGGTGAACAAACTGCAGTATTCCGAGATTTGGACACTTATTTGGATGCTCAACTAATGAACATCAACTTCCTAGGTGTACCAGATTGTAGATTAGTAAGTTATAATCTTTGCTCTTAGATTGTCTAAACTCATTAAGTTGTGTTTATATCGTTATGTACCATAATTAAAGAAGTCATCGTTCATACATTTAGTCTAATTTGATTATAACACGTATTTAAACTCTTTTTTTGAAATGTCATTTGTGGCGAGAACATTATTTAGTGTTAGCAAATTTACAACTTTAAATTTAAAACAGCCTCCGTAGTCTACTTTCGCAAAACAATGGTAATCACAATGTCATTTAGCTGAGTAGTAATTTATGGCGTATTCGAAGACTTTTTCTGTCACTCAATGGATAATATCAACTGGAAGAAAAACTTCGAACTGTGGAATACCATGATGGCCTCTTCGTCTTACTAGTACGCCGATACAGTAAAGCGAAACGGAAGGAGCCATGGAAGTACTATAACCTACCAGTCTAAATTAGAAGAGGTGTAAAAGATAAGCTGTTTAGTTTGGCTTACCGTTCAAAAATTGACATAAAACCGAATATATCCTTATTCATCTCGAGAAAGAATCATTCAACAAGTTCGATTGGTCATTATCATCAAAGCGATAGGTACAAAATTTGCAGGATAAAATGTGCACATTTTATTTTGTTGCTTTTTTCAACTCTAGGCATCCTACACATAGCATTAGTGTTTATATCACATCACATTTCACCCGTTGTCTTTCCTTAAACTACAGTACTCATGCCAAACTTCTGCTAATAGAATAAAAAGTGTGTTCTTATTTCATTGATACTGCGTCTTCAATTGATGCAAAGTTTTAGAATAAAATGTGCACATTTTTGTTCTTCTTGCTTCGACGAATATATTCATTAATTACCATCGGGTTTGAATTGGAGGTATCCGGTAGTACACAACCATCTGGCGTATTGGATCCTACAGTTCTCAAAAATAAATATTACACTACACAGCTTGATAAAATTTTATCGAATCTATGCAAGTAAAGAGCTAGTTAACCACCAATCACTGAAAGTAGTTGAAAACAAGTCAAAAATAAACAAGTTTGATATGTGATACTTTTTTTTCGACTTTCTTTTTCTTTGGCCTCCTAGCTAATACACATATTTTCTTCTTTTTTTCCTACTTTTTCTTTTACAGGCGTCCACAAGTGTGAGTCCATACATTCTGATGTGTTTGAATTGCATTACAAATTTGTGTTTAAACAAGTTTGTTTACACTGTTATCGTTTGTTGATGACATACTCGCCTTTTTGTTGACTTTTCGTGCAAAATATAATTGTTAACATATTTAAAAGAGTTTACTGTGCAGATCAAAGTCGTTTATCTAGGTTTCTCACTCCTATGAGTTCTGAATGGGAAATTAAGCTTTAAACTCTGAACTTGCATTATCGGTGTTGTTCTTTATTCAACCCTAATGGGTGTGCTTACTTTCTGCCCAACCTCCTCTCTTCTTCTGGCTTACCACCACCGACTAGTATAGTAAACTAGGTAGTTGTAGGAGTGCATCGGCTGCTGAGAAACGAATTCGGCTCTCCTGCATTGTTGGCAAGCATTCTACCACTGAATTACCTATTTACTAAGTGTTTCGACACTTTATTCACCTTAACCTAGTTTAGTAAGTAATGTGTCACACATCAGTATCATATAGATAAGTTGATACTTTGTAACTGTGTTTAGAATAATTTATGCGAAATAGATTTCAATGCATAGTCAATCGTTATAACCTACGCTTATACACTTTTTGTCTACTTTTTCATTACAGAGATGACTTAACTTCCTTTCTTTTTTAATTTCTTTTGTTTTGGATTCACGTTAACCTAGTTTATTGTGTTTCTTGGTACTGTGTGCAAGTATACGTTTTGCCTACAGTCTTTTATCTTTTAGATTGTCTTTCAAGTCAATAGAATACCTCATGTTGTAGTGATATTTCCACTGAGCACTCCCTATATGAGATGGAAGTATCAATTGACAGTTGTTTAAGTTTCCTTTCAACTTTCAATTGTTTAGTTTAAGAATGCCTCATAGCTATGTTTTATTTAGAAGGTTAAAGTGCCTTACATAAGCTGGATGTTACTCCTCATATGCCTTTGAACCAATTTCCTTTCAAGTAACATTTAGCATCCACAAATGATATAGAGAGCCGATAATCAATACTCTTAGTAATTCTTTTAAAGAAAGAGATAGTTTAATTGAACCTCTGTTCATTTCGATATTTCAGAAACAATTCATATTTTTTTAGAGAGAAATTAATTATATTAACTTTCTGTTGAAGAAAAGTCTGATAGACGATGTCTACGTTTTAGGTGAAAATGTATACAAAATGAATGGATTTCCGAACACCCTGAGAAAATTGTTTCGCTATGTTCAGCGTCCACATCTAACTCGTTAATTGTAAAGTGGTGATAAATTACTAGTCTACGTCGAATGCTAGCATAGAATAAGGACTGAAATTGTCAAATGTATTGATCACTTCTACTAATTTGAGAAGTTATACATGGCAAAATAGACCTAATAGAATGATTGCTGATTATATCGCAGCAAGGATACTGAAGTTTCTTTTAGCATTTACAAATCTACGTCATTTTTGGTGTAGGTGTTATAATTACTAGCGACTGTGAACTGTTATCTATCTTCTCGAAACTTGAAGACTGCTGGTGACTTGACTCAGAATAATTTTCTACGATTCACCTTTATGCACTCTTAGTCCTCTTCCAGCTTGTAAAAATATTCACTAACCTTCATGTTATTCTGTTTACCGTACATCCTGCTTCATTGTTGTTTCACTATATTTTCTCTCTATCTATGCTATCTACGCTTTTCCAAAGTGTGGCAAGTTGAGTTGTGATGCACTGTGAAAAATTTCTACCTTGATCTGTACTAATCCTAATCACTATAGCAGAAACCTCACTTGCTACAAGCCCTATAACCTATACTGTTAATATCAGTTTCCAAAATTAGTTAAAATGTATCCCTTTCATCTTTACCTTAGATATTAGACAATAAGTCAGTGAGTTTATATTTCTTGAAGTTCCCCAGTTTTACAAAGTTTCTAAAATATCCACTGAGTTTACTTTATTTCTAATTAGTTTTCCTTCTACTGATTTGTTTTATATTATTAACTGTTATTTAATACTGTTGTACATTCTAAAAGATTGTTATTTGTGAAACATATTGTTAAGTTAGAATTTGAATTTAGCATACATCACAGAATGAATGACATTATTGATAAGTATTAATAGGCAGCAGTGATCTTAATCTTAATACTGTTACAGAATCCTAAATCTATTGTCTACTGGCCTAAATATGACTTTCACTCAGTAATTAAGTCCAAACTACCAGTTTTGAAACGTCCAAATGTTGCATTACACTGTTGAATACGATAGAGAAGATTTGTAGCTCAGGTGGATGATTTTGAATACGCCATCATACGAGTGAAACCCGAATACAAAACGACTAGTTTGGCATCCGAAGGTAATATTGAGGCGTTCGTGTAGCAAGAAATGAAAGCTTATGGTCTAGTGGGGAGCCAGTTTACAATGACTGCAGAGAATAAAGTCAAATGGAAATATCCTTCGGCAGCCTAATGTTCGGCTCAGAATCCAAGGGAATAATAATAAAAAATAAATATCGTATTTAACTTCCATCTTTTATAGGTCTGCTTCTCGGTCAAATACGCTTAGTCTAATGTATATCTGTTATGTATATTATAAAGCCTTAAAAGAGTGCTGATAGTAAAATTCATATCATAATTTTACTCAATCTTTTAAATTTCTAGTATTCGAGGAATAAACACTTTTCATAATCTAATTAATATCTTTGTCTTGTCACTGATAAAAGTTTTATTTTTATTTAATTGTAGGCTTCAATGAGTGTAAGTTTGTTCTACAGTTTCTTTATTATATGAAAATAATTAAAAATTGATATCTCCTCCACTCACCAACATCTCTAAAGTTATTCGAATGTAGATTAAGTAATAAAAAGAGCTTTTCTACAGCACTGTAAACGTTGATTCAATATATCTTGACCATTGTGACAACACCACCTAAAGGGGCTATACAACTAAGTTATACAGTTTAATGAGCCTGGTGCCACTCTAAATCTACGAGGGAGTCGGCATATTAGTTTTCCTCCGTAGTAGTAGTAGCTGACTCGGGGTCCAAATCCAGGACTCACCAATTTCGGGAAGTTAAGCGATTAAGTCAATGGCTGTTATTTTATTTTGATAACCCTGTACTTTTCTGAAGCCTTCTAAACGCAATCTTGACTAGGTTTAGTAGAAGAGCTTTGAAATTTCATTAGCGGCGGTGTTGTTCCCAGGGGCTGGGTTACTAGCCTCACGCCCAACTTTCCGTCGTAACCTGACTTAATACCGACTCAGTGGGGCTCAGCATTAAGTGTGAATCGACAGAGTTTCGAACCCGGACTACGTATGTAGTTGGCGAACCACTGACGCAGCTTTTAATTAACCAGCGAAGTTGGATTTGTGTTCGTGGGAATCAGGTGTTTTGTGTGCATTGTTCTCAATTCTTATTGTAGCTTTTCCTATGTATTTTGTAATAGGTGATGTTTTTAAGATTTTTTGCGCTTATCCAAACATCAGTTTCCTGGCGTTTTTGCAACGCCGCATATGAACTGATGAATACAATAGGATTTATTACAATTATACACTATTTGTTAGTATTTTTTAGTAACTACTGATGACCTTATTGCATAATGTCTCTTATACAGATAGCTCTGGTAGCCATACCAAATTATTGTTTTCTGTCATTCTCACTCAAATAGTTCAAAATTGCCTTTGGTTTGTTTTCCTAAACAATATAAAATCCTCTCACATCTATCTACATTTCAATCATCAAAGGAACAAAAATTTTATCAAGTTTGAGAATACTGATTTCTGATGGTTACTTTTAGATATAGAACCCACCCTCCCCCATGGAGCATAACTTTCTTTCGATTGTCTGTAATACTAAAAAACCTCAATTTAGTGTGAGGTCGCTAAGGTTAATAGTCACAGTTGATTGTAATAACTGTACCGATCACTGTCCAGTGAATTCACATTCAGGCATTTTTACACCAAAGCGGACATTACTTTTTATTAAAAGTGAATATAGTTATCTTTTTAATAAAGGCTTAAAAAGAACCTATGTTTATACTATTGTAAAAATAGTAATCATAATAAGATTCGCCAAATACCATTTAATGACTGTGAGGTGAATTGCATAGGTCACACTGATAGATCAAGCACAACTAGACTATCATAACATAAATTCAGCTAGATCTAGAATGATTGACCCTGATAAATTAAGTAATCTCGAAAAAAGCTCCGCTACTGCAATACATTTCCTTGGAGCGAGATAGGGTAACAACATTAAAAAGTGATATCATTAGATAGACAGTTTAGTTACCGAATCTCTGTTCATCGCGCCAACTCGGAACATGGTCAGCTGAAGCCACGCAACGCCTATAACGCATGTATGCAAAATTCCAGTTAAAACAAAGGAAGTGAACGCATATAAAACAAGTGAAGAAGTTGTATGATTACACTGATTTGATTATGGTCAGTAAATTGTGCTCGAAAAACTGTCCAGTTACTAATACTGTATCACTCACTGTGTATAATATCGAACATTACTCTTACGTATGTATAACTTTTCATTTAAATAATGCGTAAAGTTATCTTGTTGAAGGAAGACTTCAAAAGATCTATGTGTATGTGTTCTGACTAAATATTATTATACGTAAAATAATTCCAAGGACTATTATGATCTCTAAATTTAGAACATTTGGATAAACGACACTTTCATCCATAAAGTTTTAAAATACTGGACTTCTTCCACCAGTGTATTTTTTATGTGAGAATAATGTGTTATAATTTTGTTTCCTGTTAGCGGTATTTAGTTTTGGTAAATTTATCACGCTTATGTTTTTTAACAGCTAAAATAAAACTATAAATTCACTTTACTACAAATTCACTTTCTTTAAATATATTTTACAGGAAGATGAGCCTAGACGTCCATGGGGTGTCCGTGGTCAAGCGATTACTTGTCATTTTGATCTCAATGGAGATGGAAGTGAATCCATTGCAAATGAAACTTTTGCTGGATTATCAAGACCAATTCAAACAATAGAAACAAAAATAATTACACCAGCAGAATCTGATTATTTATCATCTACTTACCACCAAAGCAGAACTAATTCTCTACCGCAGTTAACTGCTTTTATCGATAATAGGTCAGATGGAGTAAAACATACAGACTCGAAAAATTTAAATACAAACAGGTATTCAACAATAACAATAAGCAACAACTATACAGATTGTAATGTCGATAACAGATATTCAACAGGATCACGTGATGAACAGCAACTACACATGGATATTCAGGGAGCTTCAAGTTCACTTATATGGAAATCATTCACTGAAGAGAGTAACACCGCAGTACAGTTAGATCGTGCAGACAATGACTATATGAGTTTGTTGTATACTACTAGGAAGAGTGACACCCTAAGTGAAGAGGATTGTGAAATGAAATCTAGTAAGACTTCACAAACTAAAAAGCGTTTAAATGTTAATATGCGCAATTCGCGAGCTGAGCATGTATCGTTTGATCTTGGTGATGGCACTGAAGAGGTCGAAGGAGAAGACAGTGAGGTAGAAAACACTACAAGGACTACTACTACTATCGGTGGTAGTGTGCAAAATTACGAAGAAGAAAACAGACAAAGCAACGCGAAAGGGATTCTCGTAAGCCATTCACATTGTCAATCTCACAAAAATGCACACACCACATTGCAGTCAAATGCTGTTCATCTCCCTAGCGCTTCTATAGTGCGGTTTGCATCTATACAAGTCCTAAATAACAGTAATTGTGATTATATTGACTATTCTGCTGCAAAATCTAGACCAAATATTTATTTCCCTCGATGTTACGTGTCCTGTCGAAATGAATTAGGTTTACGGGATAAACAACATATTCAAATTTTGAAGAAATCAGAACATCAAAGTACCAATCACAGATATCGTGTATGTAATACGAGAAATTCTCTCCTGGGACAAATAAAACGTTCGGCGTCAACATCGGAACTATCAGTTAATAAGCAGCAGTACATATTAATTGAATCAAGTGATGGTAATAAATCCTTCACCAATTCACTTTTACTATCACCTTTAAGTTATCGAAGTGAAGTGAATAGTAATAGAGACCGAAATACTTTTGGTCAATCCTCTTCATCGTTATCCTCATCAAGATCATCATCGCCCAAATTAAGTAATAATGAGTTTAAACAACCCATATCCGATTTAATTATCACAGATAATAATAATAATGGTGATAATGATGACAACAATAATACTAGTACAGTGAAAGCTGTCTCTTCTTGGACATGTTCTTCTTCATTAATATCGCCTCAATCAATTCCATTTTCACCATCACTTTCAGTATCTTCGTCATCAGCAGCAGCATCTGTACATAGTTCTCATTCTTCATTGCATTATACAGAGACAGGTGGAAGAAATAAAAAATCTAATCATTACTTCCCTGCTGTCACCAAGATGCATAGATCAACAAGTGACTCAAGTATAAATTGTAGCGGTAAAAAAATAATATATGTGCGTCGTCAGCAGCAACATGAACATGGCGAGCAACATAGTGATCAACAGCAGCATCATAAAAGGCATTCTGCTCATATTAACGAAAATGCGCAAAACTTTGCTTCATCCGAGTGTGCTTCATTAAACAAAATAGTCTCAGTTCAGTCGTCAACAAGTTTATGTAATTGGAGAAATCCGGTTAGTTAGCCATTTTGTTGTTGTTGTTTTACTTCTGTAATCTATTGTAATAAGTAATATTGGTTTTTTTCGCCGATTTTACTAGTAATTACGAAAAATATGACACAAAAAACATATAGCTACATAGGGAGTTAACTGAAAAATTGTATGGAAATATTTGCCAAGCATCATTTCAATCACGGCCGACAACTGCTACCTTGCCGTGGTGGTCGGACTTGAATACCGCAGTGACCCAACAAGCTAAACTGGCTGGGACTCATATCCCTGCAGGTCATACCATGTCAGTAAGGTTGTTTGGATAGCGGTTAAACGAAAAGAAGTTACTATGGTGTACATGGGCTACATAATCCAATCGGATCAAATGCTGTATGAACCCATATGGGTCACCGGCAACCATGGGAATGCAACTCCTGACGCTGCTCCGCTGCCTTGCGGATTAGATTCCAAGTCAAAGGCTCTAGGTGTGATCCCTTAAGAAAACCACCTGCTTCAGTCTGGGCGCCCGGGCGGTATCAGCCCTCACACAACAAATGAAGTAAAACAACAAACTGTCATTGAAATTCATCGCGCGCTAGTAGAAATCATTTCAAGCAATAATGATACCTCAAACAACTTATGTCCTTCCAACCTTACTTTTATTTTTATACTTAGATTCTTGTATTTTACTCTTGCTAACCTTGGCTTCTTAACCTTCGACAGCCTTTCACCTTTGTCTGGATTCCCAGCCTATCTGTGTCGTTTCGAGCTTAATCAGTTGGCGATCAGTGTCTGCAAGTATGGCATGTGCTTTGCGCCGTCTAAGTGCAAAGTACTTTTACAAGATTGTCAGGAGCCTGTACCTGTGTAACAACAGAAGACAAGGGCTGGCAACAGATCGTTTTATTACGAAAATCAACACGTATTTATATATATTTTATATGCATTAATAAGGCTTATGCAAGCAGAAAAAGGCAGTCTTCTGATTGGTTGTTTCTCGGAAGTTAAGCAGACAAACACAGTCTTATGATTGGTTGTGTTCGATATTTCTCGGAAAGTAGAGCCATCTATCTGCGAATCATATTTGTCCACATTTAGGTTTGCTGTGATTGGTTGTTGAAACAGCCTTGTTCACGGCCAATATTAGTGACCTAGACATTAACGTAGATTAGTGCCAACCAATCGGCTAGCAGCCTGCTCTCACCACACTCGTCCCCCCGTCAAATAGCTTTGTGCGCAGACGTTCCGACCTTCTGGGTGCTACATCCTCTAGTTGAGGATTGTTACTGACCGGCTTGTCCCACTGTACCCATCTTTGGAGCTGACTGGCGTTAACTCGTTTCTGTTTATCACCTCTTCGGATGGTATATACTTGACCCCGTCTTTTTGTGATTGTGTATGGTCCTTCCCACTTTGGAAGGAGTTTCCGTGAACCTAGCCCGCCTCCAACTGTATATCTCCTGTCTCTACACTTCACTTGGTCCCCGACTGCAAAGGTAATGCACTGCGTCCTTTCTTTCATCTGAGACTTCGTGACATCACTGCGCTGCTTCCGTATTACATTCTTGACTGCCTCTTTCCTCTCTGCTTTTAATTTCGTCGTACTCCACTTTTGGTGCATGGGCCAGGTCTCATTGTGTACCGGTAATCGTGGTTTTCTACCATACATCAGTTGGAAGGGTGACTTCTTCGTTGTTTCCTGAGTGGTAGCCCGATGTGTTAGTAAAATCAGTGGAAGCTCCGTTTCCCAGTTCCCGCCCTTCGAAGCCAGCCACTCCTTCAGTGTACGGTTGTTTCTCTCCGTTAGGCCATTCGTTTGTGGATGGTATGGGGTCGTTCTGATCCTCTTGATGCCCAGCTGTTGCAAACGGGAAGTAAACTCTTCACTCTCGAAACAGGGACCTTGGTCTGTCAGTATTGTCTTCGGTACGCCGTGGTCTGCAACAATGTGTCTAACTACTGCATCTGTCACGGTTCTTGCACGTTGGTCTGGGATTGCTACGGCGTCTACCCATCGTGTCGCGTGTTCCGTCATCACCAAGAGGTACTGATTACCATTGGATGTCTGAGGAAATGGACCCATGACATCTACGGACCACAAGTCACCTATCGCGGTAACTGGAATCGACTGAAGTGGTGGTCGTATATACCGGTCACCTTTCATCAGCTGGCACCGTGGACATCCAAGTACGTATCTTGCTACGTCTTCTCTCATACCTGGCCAGTACATACTTTGTCTTAGGAGGTCGGTCGTTCTGGCCACGCCTGTATGCGCTAGCTGGTGACATTCTTCTATCATGTCGTGGCGCGACGATTGAGGTATGACAGCCAGCCAGCTTCCGTCGTTCTCTCGCCAGGTCAGAGTCCCGTAGGCATTCACTCTGAGTCGATCCCTCTGTCTGAGTAGTGTGGTTAGCTCCTTACTCGCCGTAGTTTGATCCACTTCTATTCCGTTGGTGATCACCTGTATTACTGTATTCAGCGTATCGTCCAACCTCTGCCTACGTGCAAGTCTTAGTGGGTCTTGTTCTACTGCATGCACTCCGTAAGCGACCTCGGGCAACTCAGACTCATCTTCTGGTCTCGATAACAAATCTGCCAAGACATTTTCACTTCCAGGAACGTGTGAGATCGTAAAATCGTACTCCTGAAGACGCAACATCCACCGTGACAACTTCCCCCGTGGGTCTCTCGCTGTCTTCAAAAATTGTAGCGGCTTATGATCAGTTTCGATGTGGAACCGCCGGCCGAGTAAATAAGGTCTCCATTTGTCGACTGCCCATACCATTGCTAAACATTCTTTCTCTATCGTTGAATACTTTCTCTCTGTGAGGGTCAAAACCCTACTGGCATACTCAACGATTCCCTCGTCCTGTCTTAGGACCGCACCTATAGCGTAGTCACTGGCATCTGTGCACACTGTGAACTGTCTTCCTGGCACAGGTAGTTTTAGCGTCATTTGTTGGTGGTCGAGCAGCTGTTTAATTCTGTCGAATGTCCTCTGCGATTCTTCCGACCAAACAAACTTTGGCTCACCTAGTAGCCTGTATAGAGGGGCTGCTATCTCATTGAAGTTCTTCACGAAGCGACTATAAAACGCTGCTCTACCCAAGAATTGTCTCAGTTTTCTCTTTGAATTCGGGGCTGGAATCGTTTTAATCGTCAAAATTTTCTCCGGCAGTGGTTTAATCTCACCATTTCCCACTTTATGTCCCAACAGAGTAACATTCTTTTTGGCTATCTGAGACTTGGTTTTGTTGACGCGTAGTCCAAACTCTTCGATGCGTCGCAGCACGGCTTCTACATGGTTGACGTGATCGTTTTCGTTTTGACTGTATATGACGAGATCATCACCATAAACCTCCACGTTTTTCAAGTTCCTAAGTAATAGCTTCATCAGTCGTCTGAACGTAAACGGTGCACCTGCTAGTCCAAACGGCATGCGTTTAAATCGATATTGTGTCTGACCCACGATGAAAGCCGTCTTATCTCTATCACCTTGTTTTATCGGTATCTGCCAGTATCCTGAGCGAAGATCGAGAACCGAAAACACATTCGCACCTTGTAGGCGATCTAAAGTTTCTACCACTGTTGGCATGGCACACGGTCTTAACTCTGTCATACTGTTTAACTGTCGAAAATCAACACAGAATCTATACTTCCCATTCGCTTTTTTTACTAACAGCACTGGAGAGTTGTACGGGCTATCAGCTTCCTCAATAATATCATCTTTTAACATCTCTTGCACTTGTCGCTCCACTTCGCCTTCCAGATGACATGGAACTCTTCGCGTTAAAAATGACCTTACTTTCGGATCACTTAACGGAATTTCATGATTCACCTTATCGCAATAACCGTATGGGTCGCCATCTCCAGTGAACAGATGATCGTATTTATTAATTAACTCTGTCACATTGTGTACCGTCGACAGCTTAATCGCTGCTATCTCGCTGGTCTCATACATGTTGATATGCCCGTATTTCGTGATCACCACGTTCGCTTGCGTGTCGATTATGGCACCAATCTCACGCAGAAAATCCGCTCCTAATATCGTTCGCTGTAGTTCGGGTACAACAATGAAAGGAAACGTCACCTCGCAGCCACCAACAACGACCGTACAGTTCGATCTACCCGTGATACGCAACACATACCCGCCTACTGTTTGTACTGTCAATGAACACGGGCTAACACTCTTACATAAATTCTTATCTATTAACGACACGGCCGCCCCTGTATCTATCAAACATACTACTTCTCGATCATTCACTCGCAACTTCGAATACAGAGCGCCTTTCTCAATAGCCCCCACTAAATCTAGGTTCATACGAAAGAAAGAACAAGCATTATACCGTCTGAAATTTTTTCTTTTTCGCCTTTCTGGGCAGTATCTTCTCCAGTGTCCCGGCTTACCGCATTCAAAACACCGGTCTTTTCTATCAGCCAACTTTAACGCCGCCACTTCCCGCTGCAATGCTTCAATTTTTTGCTCATATTCGTTTGGTTTTGGTTGGTCTATAGCGGCTACCGTTGTGCTCAGCAGCTGTCTGGTCACCTTCGCCAGCTCACTAATATCCATCGGCTGCGTTGCGTTAACCAGTTTTAATCGCTGAGAAATGTGGTCTGGGACACTCTCGATGAATTGGGAAGACAGTAACTGCGCTTCTGATTCTTCATCTAAAGTGGGAAGCGCGCGTCGAAGTAGATTAGTCAGTTTCACCGCCAACACTAGCGGGTCTCCATCAGGTCCAAGCTTCATTGACCGGAACTGCTGCATTGCTAGCTGTCTGTCTGTTTCGCTGTCAAACTCGGACACTAGTCGTTCAACCAATTTCTTCCAAGACGCTGTGCCATTTGACCTGTCTACGCTGTCATATGCAGCCTTCGCTCGGCCTCTCAACAGCGTCCCCAGGACAACTGCCTTCGCCGCCTGCTCCTTGACACCCACCAGCTCAGCAACGGCTTCGAAGTCACGTAAGAAGCTCCGTATGTCTCCTTCTTCAAACGCAGCTGGCCACGGGATCTTCATCTTCTTGGAGGCAGCGACACCAAATGTAACAACAGAAGACAAGGGCTGGCAACAGATCGTTTTATTACGAAAATCAACACGTATTTATATATATTTTATATGCATTAATAAGGCTTATGCAAGCAGAAAAAGGCAGTCTTCTGATTGGTTGTTTCTCGGAAGTTAAGCAGACAAACACAGTCTTATGATTGGTTGTGTTCGATATTTCTCGGAAAGTAGAGCCATCTATCTGCGAATCATATTTGTCCACATTTAGGTTTGCTGTGATTGGTTGTTGAAACAGCCTTGTTCACGGTCAATATTAGTGACCTAGACATTAACGTAGATTAGTGCCAACCAATCGGCTAGCAGCCTGCTCTCACCACACCTGCACTCACTCTTCCGGGTGAACCGCTTGAAGTTGTTGATAAGTTTGTGTATCTGGGTAGATGTGTGATTGCTGGCGGAGGGGTGACGGATGAGATTTCCAACCGTATAATGAAGGCTAGGGTGGCATACATCAACTTTAGCCACCTCTGGCGCCGTCGTTACGTTATCCTGGCTGTCAAATGTCGGGTATACAATGCTTCGGTGCGGGCTGCGCTGCTCTACGCCTGTGAAACCTGGCCTCTCCGAGCTGAGGATGTGCGGCGACTCTGCGTATTCGGTCGTCGCCGTCGCCGCAGGATTGCTTACGTTCGATGTCATCATGGCGTGAGTAATTCTGAGGTTCGGCGGCGTGTGTTTGAACAAAGTGGAGATCACCATTCATTGAGTGTCGTCATCTGGAAACACCGGCTCCAGTGGCTTAGACATGTGCTGCGAATTTCAATCCGGGGCTTCTGTACATGTCTCTGTTCGTTGGCCAGCCTGGGACGGGATGGAAAATGTGAAGAGGTGGTCAGCCCCTGACGTGTCGTCGTGGGATGAAGGATTTTTGTGCTAGATTAGCATCGGTTGGTGTGTCACGAATCCCTAGTTGGAGTCCGCGAGATAGCTTGAAACGTTATCGGATATGGCCAAGAATCGTAGTCGATGGCGAACGTGTTGCAATTTCTTTCTTTCTTCTTTTCCCGATGATAGTTAACGAATACTGTTTGAACTTGTTAAGTATGACTGTTTTCCTTCCAGATGAAGTTCCTTATCCGTTCTCTACTTATATATATTTTTTCTCTTTCTTTTTTTCTTTTGATCTATGTTGTTTCTATTATTATTGTGTGGCGCATCCTTCTTGGTGCCATATTGTACCAAGTTTTTTTTGTGTTTAAATAAAATAAATTAAACGGCCTCTGCGACCATTATGGTTAGTTATCTGTTTATTATATTGTCTGCATTGATGGAGTCGTTACCCACGAAATAAATTTGTTGCTAATTTTGCTATCTGTAATTAATCTGAAGCATTTTTATTTTTATTTGTAAAACCAATACTGCAGTTTTTCAATCAACTAACTTTGATCAGCAAGTCACTATCTTTCATCTTCATATATATTTTATTAAATAGTTATTTGTTTAGAAAGAATAAGTTTTTCTTATCCTATTATTTATAAATTTACTTAGCTGACTACTGAACAAAAATGGCTTGAATTAGAATCGATTTTACATTCCACAACCTGTTCGCGCTTAAATGAACAGCAAATGTTGATGTGTATGCTCAATGAACTCCCGCAATCATATCAAGAATTAGTTTCACGCTATATAATTGCTCTTAAGCAAACTATTAATTTATCTGGTTATTCGTGGACTGAATCGAATCGTTTCAGTAGTTTAGGTAGGTTTTCCAATAGTCTTCTTTTCACTGATTAAAATGACCTAAATATTTTCCCGTCTTATTTTTAAAATGATTTCGTTCATCTTCGTTACTCATAAACTGTGAGATTTTATTCATGTAAAGCTGATTGATATACAAGATTTTCTCCCAAAGACCTAGTGAAACCTTTTTAATGTTATAGCCTATTTTTTTTAAAAATAGCAGCTATACACTGAAGTATTGTGTCTGATTCTCAACACCAATGGAACATCATAAAAATAAAGTCAGTGCATTAATCATTTAAACGATGAAGATCTATTGTCAGCTAGTCGGCCCTAATTTTGAATCCCATTCCAATGGGTAGTATCATCATACCTCACATATTGAGTGTGGTTCATGGTCTGCTTCATCGAAGACTTTTACCATGTAAGTGGTTTCAATCACATGGACAACTAAATCCGCCTTATTCAAGTATTGGTTTGTAGGGATTTGGTTGATTAGTTACAGGATTTCATCATGAGCTGACATTAGTTAGAGAACTATTGGAAACTAGGACGAAACAGCTGTCCAGTACTCCCAAGTTTTCCAATGGTTCTCTAACCAATGTCAGCTCATGATGAAATCCTGTAAATCCGCCTTATTTATCAGAAACTTTCTAATCATCCTTTAGTGTGTTGTATATCCCCTTTTTTCATCCACCAACTTATCGCTAAAATGGTTTCTTTTATCTGACATGACATTAATGTGTTCTTTATACTCTGTCATAGCTAATCGGTATCTGAAACTTTAGAGGTTGTTAAATACACATTCAAGTGGATGTCATACAGAGGGGTAAACGAACGTTATCAAGAAATGGACTTTCTCGGATAAGCATCCAAGCTGACTTATCGTGATGGGTGATGCGAAGATCTTACTGGGACCGGGTAATGCGTTTGCTAGAAAGATTAATATGAAACCAATAGTACGTTGATAAATTGTCACTAAAATACAACAGATAGTGATTAACCTTATGAATCAAACGACTAGAAAAGTTTAAATAGTTTCTAGAGAATCATGAAAATATTCATTCTTACCTTCATTAAAGCTAAATTTATTACACTTCATTGCATTCCGTTTGATTTACAAACATGAGTTACGACAACGTTGACCATTGTGTAATAATGTTGGGTCTTTTGTTTTTAATGTTTATTGTTGAATAAATGCTTCACAGTTATATAAGCATTCCGTAATCAATTTTTATCTTCATTAACCTATTTTTAGTTAAATTGAGTGGAAAAATTATCAAATACTTGCGACCACCATGGTTTTTTTATCGTTCATGTCAGGTAAATTCTGATGGTGTTTTAATGAATTTTGTCTGTTGGTTATTACCCTTAAGTGCATAATTTTCATTCCATTGTACAATGTAGTACTGAATATACTTGTTGTTATTTTTGTGATAAAAGATACCCCATACTTTAAAGCAGACTTGACTATCCATTAAAACTTGACACCAAAATCTTACTCAATCATGTTTTGTCTTACCGCTTAGGTATACAACTTTTACTTAATGGACCATGCATATTCGAACTTACTTGGGTTTGGTGACAGATTGGTGTGGTTTATTGCCAGGTGTGTTAATATGCTGCATATGCCTGTTGAGTGAAACAGAAATCTCGCATGAATAATAACGAATTAAATCTCCAACTAATAAACCTTCTGAAATAGTAGTCATTAAACTGCTAGATGAAAAATATGTGTGGCATTCATGAATCAGATAATGACGGATACATTTTACTTAAAAGTCATTCTTCTTCCAAATCCAAATGAGTTATTAACTTTGAAATTTTATGACGCTGTTAAATATTCCTAGGTATCGAAGAGAGTTCAGTAAGTGCTAACATGCATACAAGGGAATTGGTGTTACAGAATAGGCACATTGCAAGTAGTCAAACTTAAGGAAGGCGTCGGTGGCACAGCGGTTAGTACTCTCGCCGACCATGGTCCGGGGTTCGATCCCCGGCCGACGAACTCCTTTACCTCGCTAAGCCATAAATAATTCTGGTAAAGAGAGAAGGTTGGGCATGAGGCTAGCAACCCCATCCTGTAAAAATAAACACTGCTACAGAAACTTCAAGCCACTAGCTTGAAGCCCTATGTTCCACTGGGAACGTGAAGAAAAAAAAACTTAAGGAGAATTTCAGACTGCTGATATAAGAGTAGAACTTGTACACTGTATTAGAGCATAATTCCATTATGGGTAAAATTTATTTTGATAAAGTCATAACGTGATATGATGATTATAAGCGATAAATTGTACTCAGTAAATATTACTGTATAACACTGTGGGATTAATCAAAATAAATTTTATCCATAATGGATTTTCAGACTGCTATTGTATTTCTAACAGAAAGTATATTCCGTTTACGTCAATTTCATATGTCTAGATGAAATTCGACCCACGAATAAATTACGAAATAATACCCTTCGCTTCAAGTAATTTCATATATGCTCTTAAGCGTATTAGTCGGAAACCATTGTCTTTTGCTGTCATTTCTTAAAATCTCTGAGAAAGACTTTATGCATATTAGTTAATAGTTAATTTTCCTCTATGTTGCTTACATTTTTTGCGTTGAAAATGTTTTTGAAAGCTTGCCTAATCATGTTTTAGTCAGTTGGAAAAGAGATGTATGAATTGCGGTCATATGGTTCATATCTTAATGCAAGCTTTTCACCTTTCTGTCCACCATACTTATCATCTGACCCACACACTCCCAACTATCTCTTGAGTGGAACTATCCAATCTTCCAGAAGCTTCCTCTGCTGAAACTGTTGATCGTTAGCGTGGCCTTTTTGAGCTCTTTCTAAGTGAGGTTAATATTTTAACTTATCATTGTAATAGATAGCTTTGGTATATGAAATCATATAATTTTTTTTTAAATAGAAGTTTTAAGGCCCATATAAAAGTAGAGGTTCATTCAGCTAACAAGTAGTTGTTGTGCGTCCTGCCGTCTATTGATAATAATAGAAAATCTCTTCGATCCCATTTATAAGAATTTCAATTTAAACTACAATAATGACTACTGATCTTTTGAATTAGGTTGCCCAATTTCACTAAAGTTTATGAAAAGTTGAATAATAGAATAATATAAATACATGTACAAAAGGCAGTTAGTTCATCCTTATTACTTTCACAATTCATATTCGTTGTTGTAAATGTAGTACAGCTGTTGACAATAAAATATTTTCATTTTCTTATTCCTTATTTTAGAATGTTCTTCCTGAAACAAGCCAAAAACAATTAATCACTTGTGTAACAAATCTAATGCGGGTATATCACGAAGTTCATAATCAATTCTCCGGATTGTGCAATGTAAGTTGATCTTACATACTTAAAATCTTGTGCAGTTGTGCATCTATCGTCTACAGTAACCTGACATTGTAACAACTCTAAGAAACAAAACTTCAGTTGTAACTCTCATTGTTTTCTACGTTTTCCGTGTTACTACCTTTCCTCCTGTACATATGTCTGCTCATTATAGTTCGTTTGAGTGTCTTTTCTCTATCTTCGTGTGCTACATGAAGTGTAGCAACCTGAACTGATGCATCTCTGAGCAAACTTCTATGCTGAAACACAATCGGTCAGTTGTTCTACCTGGTATAGATTCATTACATTGTGTTTTACAGTGACTTAATAGAATTACTTGTTTTTTTTACTTATATCAATCTAAATTTTAATTGGTGAGTATTAAAGAATTGAATACTCTGGACACATACTTAATTTCTATCTCAAATTTTTTTTCTGATTTCCTTTATTGCATTTAACTTGACAGGTGTTACAGACCACAAATGTCGAGGATATTTTTCAACTGTTAAGTCATATGTTGTTCACCTTACTAGGATTTGTCAAGCATTCTCATGCAGAGGTTGAAGCATTGTACAATAGTTTAATTATATCTCATGAAGGTGAAATATCGACCAAATTACAGAATTCGTCTGTTCGTTTTCAATATTTACTGAAATGCCTTTTATCAAGTCTAGATTCACGCAGTATCGAAAGTTATGATGATGAATATAATCAGTACATACAGTCACTTAATAACGATGGGACCTCTTTGAACAACGATCTATGTAAACTGTTGACAACCATTATGGAAAACAATGCAAGCAATGAACTTTCAACAGAACTCAGTGATTTCAACTCAAAGCACTGTAAACAAGTCATTAAAATATACAAGTATCCCTCTGATAGATCTAAAAAGTAAGTGAAGAGAATTTGTTTTGAAGGAAATATCACATTGATATCATTCTTAAATAACTATTATGAAACACAAGGTTTTCGACTATCCATATCAAGTCGCAGTTGCGCACCCGCCACTTTGTGTCACTAGTATCTCAACTTAGAAATGAACCACGTAGATGCGAATGTAAGTTTCATCCATCATGCAACTTAGCTTTAGGATTATTATCGTAATTTTTTCCTGAAGAATTTAAAGACAATTTAGGAATTGATATTTTGACATGTAGGTCTTAGCCTTAGTGTAGTGAAGAAAAGTCAGGACTTTCATCTTACAGTTACCGATCACGAGGACATGGTGTCTATTACCGAATTCGTATGCACCGTTAATTTGAAGTCTAGGTTTTGTGAAATTTTCATGTAAACTTCTTGTACTCATTTAGTCTGTGATATTTTTGGCAGGCACCTGTGACACAAAAGCAACAGATAAGGTCTTGCTGCTGTATGGAAGTGTTTTAAGAGGAGAATAAGCTGGCGTCATTGACTACTTATTGGTTATCAAGACTTATACCTGTTATGGGAAAAAAACTAATGATACGATGAACTTATTCGAACTACTCGACTTTCTACTTATAATCATATAGCTGCAAATCACATCGCCAATATCACTGAACTGGATCTGTTGTTGTACTTGTATTTTATTGTAACATTTCTTTCTTGTAGATCAGAACAATCTATCGATATGATAATCAACATTTTAAATATTTATGCAAATCATATATATGAAAACAACCCGAATTCATGTAAGTAAACAAGCTGTAATCAAATGTTTAATTGTTTTCTCAGTGAAATGAACTGCTTTAGTTAATAATCTTTGGATTAATACTTTAACTTTTTGATTTGCGTGAAGTGTACACCTATAGATATTGAATTACTGTGATATCATACTGTTAAACCAAACAATGTGTAGTAACATTGTGCATAGTTCATGAATATTACGTTTCTCTTCATGAACAAATATGACTCAAATAGTTTACATGTTGCACCATAAAAATTTACTTGTATACCACATAGAATGAACTGAATAGTTGATTCTCTTAAAAGTCGGATTATATTTTCATGATTTCAGGTCAACTGTTTGATTACAAAGACAGACGTAAAATGTTAAAAAGTATTTTTTTCAGATAGTAGGAGGCCACTGCTTAGTTGGCCACATTAATTTCAGCAATAGGTCTACCCTGCAAGGGTTCTTAAGTGATTTATCCTTAGGTGTTAAGAAACAAACTTCTAAGAGATCACATCTGCTACATTTGGTAGGATATTAATGAAAGATGACCGTACACTTGGCGGTATTTCTTGTGTATTATAGAAACAACAGACGTCTTTGCTTACCCTAAGGAAAAGATTAGGAATGATCTGTGTGTCTCAGCAACTTCAGAATTAACAGGACCATGGAAATTCAGTTTTAGTGGACGATTGGGAGCTACAACAGTACCGTGTGATCGTAAGTGCTAACCTTAGCTCGCTGCTCTTCAAGCTAACCGAGGAAAGCGGTGGTTAAAAATCAAGGTGTAGTCAGATCCTAGACAAGAACACAATTAGGGCAGAAAAAAACCATTATGAGAAACAGTCTGACCGGCATCCTTTGACCTATTATCCTGCTGCAATGTGGGTAGAAAACTTACACGGTGTGTTTAACACTTGCATAGATTGTGTGCTGTAAACGGCCTTAAATAAGGGGAATCAGTTTTGGTATTATTAACAAACTAACTAACCGGTTAGTTTTAACTTTAAGCCAGCAATAGATTTGTTGTTAAGTGGCTAGAGACAATCGGCAAGAAGCCCTAGACCTAGGTTTCATGCTCGTGGGGAGGGCCTATCTGCAAATAACGTTTTGTCCTACCTGACCTACCATGTTTTCATGTCGGCGTATGCATTTTGTGCAAAATTAATTAAGGAGGTCAAATGCTGTCAGTCAACACAACGAACTGTTATTCTGAAATGAAATTCATGTATGTTAAATCTTAATTAAAGTATCCGTTTTTTGTTCTCTTCTACTTTCACTTAGTTGTTTTATACCTCCCGTTACCTATACTGGATGAAGAAGTTAATAATCACTCAGATACCAATACTTACTGTATGTATTTAAGTGAACGATTAAAACAACTCGAGTCCGAAAACTGCAGCAGTCAAGATCAGATTTATTAACGTACTCCTTTTGTTTGGAAATGTTATTAATAAACAATTTATAGTTATGCAGAACTTTTAGATGATAAAATGTACTTCCTATGTTTTTTTGTACAGAAGACTACTGTTACTTGTAAATTCATTTACAAAATGAGATTATTAGATTACTTGAAAAAGTTTCCTTTCCTAATGACAAGATGAATTCGGATTTCCTCCTTTTTCATAAAAATAACATATTATTCGAATTTCATATCTTATTTTTCATCTAATCATCACTGTATATTTTTTTAGTGTATAAAGTGGTTATTAGTAATATTGAACTGCAAATCTTAATATCCTTGGGGTGTTTTTAGAGACTGTTATCTTAGAATGAGTGCTTCAACAAATCAATGTGATCGAAAATGAGCTCTTGTAATGTGTAACGTCATATTGAATAAAAGTAACGAAATTCACTAATTCAGGCTTAAAATGTCACTATGACGTCATACAGTATTAGTAGGGTACAGATATTCGTCACATTTCCAAATATTTTCCCTATGCATCTCGAAACAGAAAGCGCCCTAGCATGTCTTATGCTTCAACCATGTTGTCTAACTCGTTTTCCTCACCCAATAATACAATACGCGCTCGACTTTATTATTCCTTGCTCTATAGTCCCATTACACGAGATATTGTTTCGAAACCATCTACAATCATAATTGTATTCACTTCCTAAATACCCCCCTTCAGTAAGGCATATGTCAGAATGCGCTCAAACTACTTCCTCAGTGTTAAGGAAAACATCAGTGAATGACAGACTAATTTACGAACTTTGTACTGTAGGTTCTCAAATATGTGCAAAATACTTCAAAGGCAATATTCTCTGAGTGGCTTCAGTTGAATGGTGTTTTCTAAGCGTCACTTTCCCATAGTATATTGGTGACTAGTTTTTGTGAAATAAATGAAGTCACATATATGTGTGTATTGAACAGTATGACGTAAAAATACAATGCGACACTGAAACAGAAAAGTCTTTTTTACAGTTCGCTTACAATATTACTGACTCAGATAAACCCGTGATCTTATTCATGAAAAAGGAAGAGAACAGAAAGAATAGGAATTTCTCATATTCAAAGTAGAAGTATGTACAAGAGATCCATACTATTTTCGCTTTCTGCGTCCTTTCTTGTATCTCAGGCGTTTAAGTTGTTTCTTCTTTTTCTATTTTGTTATGAGTAAATATGTAAGAAAATGCCTTACCTTCGTCGGAGGTGGTTTATATTCCATTTCTTCGTCTGACTACAAAACAATGTAGTTAATCAAAAGCGTTAAAAATATCTAAACGCACAGCTTAAGAAATGATTAAAGGCAAAAACGACAAATTTATGTAACACGTGTCATAATTTGTGATACTTATTGGAGTCTCCATACTTAGAAATAACAAGAATATAAGCCGACTCCGTGATATCTAAAATTCTACCTTGAAAAAATCAAGCAATAAAGTCTGCAATGCTGGCTAAGATTAAGATCTTCAGTACAAAGTAAGTTAAATGCAATTCAGTGGACCTTAGCTATGTGAATACACTGAACCATTAGTTGCCTCCAAGGTGGAAGGTTAATTAATATTCATGAGCGTGCTTAAATGACGTAGTAGTATAACGAATTGACTATATCAGTAAACTTGAGACTTCCCCCACCTAGTGGGTGTACAAATTAGTGAATCATGGCTCTATATTTAGAAAAATACAAGCGCATAACAACAGACAAGTTATTACCAAAGTAGATTAACCTGAAGAAACGCGGTTTATTTTGTGCAGAAATATGGATTGAGTGGTCGGCTTCCAACCCGTGTTTCTCATGTTCGAAAATCGTCCCACTTTATAAGTAAATGACCTTACAATCTTGTTTCCGCTTTAATACGCAAGCCAATGAGTTCGTTTCGTTAAGTATATGACACATTTGTAATTCGATACGCACAGAAAATTGCGCATATTACCGAATCATATCAGCAGTTGTAGAGACATGATTTATTAGTTAAGTAGTTCATTCCTAACTAATGGGTCATGTTTCACCAACCGAAGTTTGGATAATTGGGTCTTAATGCCACCTTTCACCTAATGAATTAACTCTCTAGTAGACATAGATATGTATGGTATTTTATTTTGACTGTAATTTAAAACCAACAGTCGACTTAATCACTGAACATCGTTAACCTGGTTGGACGCATATGTTGGTTAAATAAAGTGTACAGATATTCCAATTTATGAGTTAAACTTACGCTTTGGAGCAGTATTTGCATTTGTCTTAACCTTGAAGATGTATCAGACAGTCCACCTGGAAGGAAAGAACGTTGCAATCTCTTCTCCTGCTTTGTTGTCTTTAAACGGACAAAGTTCTCCTCTTCATACCTAAGGACCTGTACTAACCGGTGATAAAACTTACTGTTGCTTTTCCTGTATTCTCTTTCGTGCGGAATTCTCTTCAGAACCGCATCCAAACTGATTAACTGAAGGAAGTAAGAGAATTGAACGTACATAAACTTCTTTCGGTAAGTCTTCAGATTCATTTAAATCCACATCTTCTAGAATAAACCGAGCTGCCCTTAGTTTTGCACGCTCTGCTGACGACTTGCTTTTAACTCCCTCTGGAAGTATGTAAGAAAAACTAAAACTTACCGAAAAAAACTGGAGCCAGGTGTGGTGGCTGATAAACCCCTGTCGATTGGGAATCACTCTCAAATGTCGCAGGTTTGCTGACTGAGACATTAGTTATGTTCTTATCAAGTGATCAGCAGTAAAAAAAAGCTGAAAACTTACCACAAATCTACTAAGGTTCGGTCTTGATTCAGTATCATGCATAGTTAAAAAGCACTTCAATCAAAGGATTCTGTTTAAAATAAAAGAAATCACCAGAGATCAGTCGTGCCGAGGTTTCTCATTCAAATAGAACAAAACAATTGTTTGGTTGGGATATAGGGGTCACGAATACCAATGTTTACAACCCAAAATATGTCTAACGCGATATTTAGCATTTTGACATGGTACTTATCCCGAAAACCTCATGTAGTATTTGACCACAACAATCTGCGGAATCATACTGCTAAATAAGGATCATTAATATTAAGCTAAGCATAAACCAAAAACTATGTTGCATTGTCATGTGTGCAGCATTCGGTCCTATACGACATAAGAAGAGACAAGTAGATACTCTTACGAATAAAAATCACAAAACTGACGAAGTCGCCCATTAACGAGACCAAAAATATCTGTCAACAAGTGATTTTGACGAGATTGCACTTAAACTTAGATAAATTTCCTAAACGACCTATGATACTCATTTCAACAGTCAAAAAATTAAGTTAACCAGTCAACAAGAAGCGAAGGTTGACGACCAAATGATGCCGAGTGAAAGTTAAAACCTGAGATATCAATCCAGTGCAAGATAACAGTCTCCCACTGAGAAGGAAACCTAATTTCACAATTCTTCCCTTGTCTTCCTGTACACATACCAAAGCTCCAGAGGCGCCTTCTATCCGTTCAGGTAATTCCAGGACTGCGATAGCCCTGAAACCTTTTACTTTTTGTTATCTTAACATGAAGTCACTCATTCTCTTGGTCCCTTATAAGTAAGTGTTATTTAAACGATTAAGTTTAGTGTGCACTTGAACGTTCATTATTACATAACATATCCTTTGTCATATATGATGGAATGGATGTTACATAATACACCGGACTCAAAAGTCTCATTAGAAGTCTTGTAACATGATAGAGCAAAGTTAAACTGTCATAGCCAAAACCACAGTGACATTGAACGGCCGGAGAGAATTCAGATGCAAAAAAGTCGCATAATTGTACCATCGCTTACATGATATTACATTGTGTAGTTGTAGTGTACGTCCTGCAAAAATGTCTCCCAGTCAATACTCAGATAATCTATAGAGAAATCGTATACCCATTCATCTAAGTGACTGTAAGTCAGAGTACTTTGAGATCCATTGGTATTCATGACACCATTCTTCAACCTACTCTTAACTATACCCATAATCCTAACTTTCTCCCAAAGCTTAATCTTATCCCTAGATCCTAAACCTTAATATCAAACGCCATAACTTTGGGGATGTAAGCTGCCTAACAGTATAAATTCGCAGAAAAAGTACGTAGCAAATCAGTAGATACTTTATCATCCCCTCCAATTTTAAAAGGCAGGCTAGATTCGATTTGGAATGACATTTCATTGCATTCTCTGTATCTGGTGTTCTTGAAGGCCAACTTTCGAAAGACCATGGCTTTCGCTATTTTACTTCAATTTCGCCTAGCCAAGATATCAATATAACGCAAAAAATTAAACACTTAGTACGCTTCATACCTGATGGGATGACAAGAACTATACATCCAATGTGAAGGCGAGATGAGGTGGAAAATGACCAATGCAAACGGATTTTGGCATTTACAGGCCACAAGGTCACGCCACACTCACGGTCAAAATTCCCCAACACAATTTCAAATTCAATCCTCGGTAAGTAAACTGAACTGAACCTTACAAAATTAGTGGAGGCGCTTGACAAAGCCAGCAGTTAAACCAAATGACTAAATAATAAACAATTTTCAAAAACAAAATTTTATTATTTTTTTGATTTTTGATTTACAGCTTGATTCCACACAGAATTTTTGGTACAAGTATGGAATTTTCAGCATGGATATCGGTAGCCCAAATTTTGCAGGCCAACCATAGATATCAGGTGTGCTTCGTCGGCAGGGGATCGAACCTCGGACCATTTGCATGGTCGACGAGAGTCATAACCACTGTGCCACTGACTGGTGACATATAAAAAAAGTAACTATACCTTATACGAAGTCAGGTAGATTTCACAACCAGCAAATAATGTAAAGAAATATACTTTGAAGACTTCAAGAAATAAGAGTAATCACTTACCGTTGTTGTGGAGGAGCAACATTAGATCACTTCACATTAGTCTCCTACGCTTTCCATGTCAGACGATTTCATATGATGTGGCGCGATGAGTGAGCCTGTAGTTAATTTGTAAAGCGTGGCCTCTAATTTTGTTGGACATCGGATTTTTTTAATGTTCGTTTCTTTTTGTGAGACTTTCCCAGTGACGGTTACTTATGGAATTGCGTGCAAGTCCATCCATAATCATACGTTCTTCTTCCGAGTCGTTTTACTAATCGAATGGAGTCTTGATTTGATTGTGACCATTATTTTTGCATTATGATTCAGACTACCGGGGATAAGAGGCCCGAGTAGGCATTAACAATTCTCACTAGGCACGCATTTAGTTTCTTCCCTGACAAACCACCTAACCACTAGTCCGGAAATTACGTAAATCAAAGAGTTTTTAAGTAAACTAGCACTCCAAAGAGCCAGAAACATCTTTTACTTTAAAACATTCCACCATTTCTACGAAGCTGTTACACAGAAACAATTGACTGGATCTCGTTGATGTCTGCTTCATTAAAAAGTGTAAACGTCTACCCACTGAAGTCATTTCCTGAGAGAAAAGTTGGCTATTTGTAGCTTCTTGTGTTACTGATCTTTTAATTGCTTTTGAATTGCTTGAGCTATTTGGACAAAAAGTAAACTTCACTTCTGATTATACCTAACGAATATGACCAGATATATAAAAGGGGTCAAACACTGATTGACGTCAGTGACTGATTTACAGAATAATCGCCAGCCACTGAAAAGGTCTGGACTTGATTCACATCCTACGTACCCACAAAACGTCAGTAAGTTTGCTAACTGGTAGTAGGCCCGGGAGAGAGGGGAATTCGTCGCGAGGCAAGCAAGCTCATGTTAGAAAAGTGCCTCCACTCAAAACGGAAGAGAATCCAGAAATACGTTGTTCGCGTAAAACTCTCAGAAAACGAATTGTGCCAGCAAAAGAGTTTACAGCTAATTTGCTTACAAGTTTCAGCTAGAAATACCGTTGAATGGTTCTGTGTGGCGCCTCGCCCAATACACGTCTGTTGCAGAGAAACAGGCATCCCTCTATAGTCTGATTATTATTAATACAGGACATAGATCTAAATGCCGGTTCTCTGAACAGTACATGTAGGTTTACTTGAATAATTATCTTACTCTCTCCTCAGGTCTCAATTTACCCAGGTACATCCTATTGGCTATGAACGGTAGAAATAGGCCAACGGACTAACGGTGGTAAAATTAACTAGGTTTGAATGACGTGAGATTTATTAACCTACTCACAGTCGTGTGTTCTGCTACTTTTTGAGAAGAACTGACTGCTAGTAACCAACAGTCCTCAATTTCTGCACATTCCTGTTATTGATCTACGTTATAACTTAAAAAGACCGAATAGTGAGAAACAAGTATCGTTTCCGTAATTTCTTCATCGGGTTTTGCAGTTAAAAATCCACAAGAGTTAAACAACAACTTTTATTGACAATAATCGTGTTTTTTGAACAACGCCGAATCAATACACATTTGACACTTAAAAGATGCCACACCTGCTCTAGATCTTAAGCCTCATATTCACAGATATTCTTGTAGCTACGGTCACAGAAACCAATAGTTGTCTGACAAGAAAGGGAAATTGGTCTATGTAAACCATTCTATACCCTAGGATTTCAGATGGTCAAAAAAATCATATCGTGTCATCTGGATTCTGTATAACTGATTTGCGGTGATAGGTTTCATTTTTGTGACTTTTCTAGACTAATGAAGATGACTGAGGATGAGAGATCTGAGCTACCCGGTCCTGTACTTACCATCCTGTAGTATTTATTTGTCTGCAGTTCAGTCGCTATGACGTGCAGATGAAAGAGATGATTCAATTTGATGTGCATTTTGAAGGTAATCTCGGACAATCTCCTTAAAAGTACTGAGAAGTATAATATATGGTACATATTTTGTTTTATTTTTTTTTTGATTACAGCTTGATTCCACACTGTATTTTTGGTACAAGTATGGAATTTTCAGCGTGGATATCGGTAGCCCAAATTCGCAGGCCGACCATAGATATCAAGTGTGCGTCGGCGTGGGCTCGAACCCGGACCATGTGCATGGTCGGAGAGAGTCCTAACCACTGTGCCACTGTGATCCCTGCTCTCCGACCATCAAGTATCTTTTGGAATGTTAGGCTGATAGAGGCCTTTTTGTCACAGTAAACTTTTCTGCTTCCAACAGCAAAGTGCCGACAAGAACTTATCTGCATGCCTTGTTTTGCCACAGATATTATCGTATTTTTTCGTCACTAATGTCATCAGCTCTTTCTTTATGCCACTGCGCTTCGTTGAATTTTGGATGTTACATGTTTTTTATAATCTATTTCGGCATAAAATCAACTTCGGTCCAGTTGTTGACAAAGGGACCCGACCATTTCAAATAATCCAAGTCAGTGCGCCCAAAAGTAGTGTGACCAGATCACTTTAATTGTGACGATAGCATTATAATGACTCCTAAAGTTATTTCTAGTTTGACAAGAGAGCAAACAAGCCGGTGATTTTTCCTTGCTATGGGTACATTTTTTGTCGGTAACTGTCGACAGATTTGTAAATTTTCAAGAATAATTCTGCATGACTCCGTGTTCCACTTATTAGTATGTTCAAGAACCGAAAAATAGTGGATATTGCAATATGCCTTAATGCACTCCACATTGTACTATCATTCCCCGAGCACATTGTAATTGGTCCTTAATCTAAATCTTATGCTGACAAGGAATTATTTATTCCGACTAAGTTGCCTGTCAGTAATTCTAGTTCTTCTTATTTTAGCATGCAAATCACATGTTTAAACTGTCAAAACTTCTGCAAAATAGTGCATATATTATTGAGAAGCGATTTAAAGCATTCTCATCAAGGTAAGACAGTTTCCTTGAAACCCTTTTTAGCTCTGTATGGAAAGTTCGCTAGATATATTCACTATTTATTATTAAGCTGCGGTACGTATCAAATTCGCAGGTGTGGCACTTGATAAATAAAGTGCATTATGCTCCTCGGTGGTGTGTTTTACTTCCACTCTCTTATCTCTCATATTACAAAGCAGAATAAAGCAGTAAGCATGCATACGTATTTTCGTGAAGACATTAAATTTATGTCGAATGCATGCCATTTTTGTCAGAAGTTTGGGTTTAATGAAGTCCCTATGGGGAGATTTGTACTGTTTACACCTATATTTATAGAGTTCCTTTAAAAATAAGTTTGTAAATTCGGTTGATAACTGAATAATCTGTGGGGTAAGTGTAAGGTATCAAAGGAACTCATGGATCTAGTTGAGCTTCGTATGCTTACCCCTCCACTCTGCCGTTGAAATTAAGAGGAAGAAGAGCACATCTACAATTTGGGTTTTAGTGGGTAAGATGTTGGCGGCCATATTGTGTTGCATCTGTGGGTTCTCATACTTCTTGTGGTACTTCTGTCAAAATATGTTTCGGCACTGCGATTAGTTTAGCGGAATTACAGAGAGCGTAATCTCACAGTTAGTATCCACGGTTGTAGGTAATCACCAAAAACAACATAGAAAGTAAACAAAACTGCGTGTAAAGTGGTCGTGACTTGACCTTTAGCTCCTCGAAATTACTTCACCATTTACTACGAAACAGTGTATGCACTTTGAAACCAATCGGTAGTATGAAGCTGATGCTCACTTGATACGTGCTAAGGAAATGTAAAATTGGTTTGTGGTGAACAATAATGTGTGCCGGTAAACCGTCTATCACCTATCACCGTATTCAGAATAAAATAAATTATAATAACCACTAATCTCTGTTGCAGTTGTGGGTCATTAGTGTGCACCGGTTATTAATTCCCCGAAATTGTTAGCCTAATGCATTCACCACTCGACATCGGATGGTGACTTCTAATGTTCACATCGATTCGTTATGCTGGGGTGTTACGGATAATCATCAAGGCCAATTTGGCAAGCCACTGTGTTACGTTCGTTCTTGAACTAGTTAGCCAATCACTCAATACCACCCAACGATTTGATCCTGAAATGCACTTTGTGCTCCAGATTATTAATCCGGTATTTTGATTTGACTTTGGTTTCCTTAGAATGAATTCGTTCGCAGTCGTGTGTGTAAGAACTTCCCTTGGTACACATTGTATCTTGCACAGAACTCAGCACCACCTTACCTCCAAAAGCTGTATTATACAAAGTTTTCAATTGCATTCGATGGTGGTTTCAATAATGTATGTAAACATACATCCTTAAAAAAGATACAGATAATCGGGATATTAAAATTAATGTCCTGAAAATTGGTGATAAATATCTGTTTGATCTAATAATTGTAACCTGAAGGCTTTAAGTTTCGGTAGCAGTACCACTTATTTTACGGGACGGGGTTGCTAGCCTCATGCCCAACCTTCACTTCTTACCAGCCTTATTACTGGCCTAGCGAGTCTCAAAGGAGATCGAAACTCGGACTACATGCGTGTTCTTCGTGCATTCTGCCACTGTGCCACCAACGCGAACCATGGGCACTTCGCGATAATCCCCACTAACGTAAACAGTTCTGCCAGATGTTTCGCCCATTTATT